AAACGGGAGTTTCTGTTTCTGCGCCGCTTTCGGTTTCTGATTCCGCGGGCTGGAAAGGAAAGTGCGTTTGGATGGAAACAAGAGCCCTCGGCGGCTCCAGCCCCCTCGTCCCTTCCATTGCCCCTCAGCCCCGCTTCCCTGCTCTGGGAAATTGGAAGAGCCAAAAGTCTGAAACTCAGGCCTGGAAACTCAGGGAGGGTCGGGGAGGAGCTCATCCAGGACAGGCAGGAACATGAAGAGGGGAAGGCAATGGAGAATGGAGGCAGGAGAGGGAACGGAAAGGCGGTCAGGACATGGGCAGAAGACGGGCAGGGGGTAGAGAAAGGAGGCAGGAGGGGGCAGGGATGGGGCATCAGCAGGGTCAGGGACAAATATAGGGATGGGGATGGGTATAGGGTGCAGTCGGGGTCAGAGACAGGGATAAGGTGGCAGGCAGGGCAGCGGTAGAGACGGGCAGAGACAAGGGAAGTTGCATAGATGAGGGCAGGGGCAAGAGCGGGGACAAGAGCACTGTTATGGGCAGGGATCAAATGGGAACAGGAGCAGGTGTTTGGGCAGGGATACAGGCAGGGGCAGGTACGCTGACAGGGGCAGGGATGTGAGCAGGGAGAGGGGAAGGAGAGGACCAGCAGCAGGGCTACAGGCAGGGGCAGGGCTGTGGGCATGGAGAGGTGACATGGGCATTTCACAGCCGGCCCCTGCAGCTCGAGGAGCAAGACAGGGACACCAAGGCAAGAGCAGCAAGACAGAGCCGTTCTTTATTTGCACCCACGTGTGTCCCAGACAAATTGGGGCACCCCAAATGTGTTTTCACACGTGGCTCTCGCACCTTTTGCATGCCGAGGTACAGCACAGTCTGATCAACCTCTACACCCCACCACACCCCTGCTCTGCAAAGCCACCACACTCTCCTAGGGTGGGATCATCCTTCTTCCCCTTAGCTGGGTATCCCTGGAGTCACTACAGTGCTGGTCTGTGAGGGTGGGTAATAGGAGGGGCTGAGGTGCTGCAGTGGCATTCATCCCTCGTGGTGATGCTCTATTCCCTCCTCTTGTTCCTTTTCCCAATGACCTGGGGTCCTGTAGCCACCAACCGTACACACAAACATCTGCACATGTATGTGCCTTAAGGAAGTTCATGCAACTTCATACTACAATGACTAATTGGTACAACAGAGAATGAGATTTTCCTAATGAGGTGCAGGCAAGGGCAGCAGAAGGGATTGAGCAGGGACAGTGATGGGACAGGGAAACAGCAATGGGACAGGGGCACGAGCAGACATACAGGGGATACGGGCGGGCACACCGGTAGGGATACGGGCAGAGACACGGGGAATAGCAGCGGGAACGGGGCAGGGCCACGGACCCGGGCGCGGGGGACACCGGCTCCGCCAAGGCTCGCAGGGCGCTCCCGGGTCACCCGGGGCGACGCGCGCCAGCAGCTGCAGTCCGCATGCGCAGGGCCGGTGGGCGCTCCCAGGGGGCTGCGCGGCGGGTCCAGGGGGCGGGTCCAAGGGGCAGGGCCTCCCTCCAGGGGCGGGGCTTCGCGCGCGTGGCTATGCCGCGGTTCCGCCGGGCCATGCGCCGTGAGTGGGGTCCCTGGCGCGGGGCGGGGTCGGGGTCGGGGTCGGGATCGGGATCGGGATCGGGATCGAGACCAGGACGGTTCTTCCGTCCCGTCTCGTCCCGTCAATGGGGGTCCGCCTCCCTCATGGCCCCGCCATGTGTTCGCGCTGACCGGGGCTTGTCCCCACGTTCCGCAGGTGGCCCCGGCAGCGGCCGGGCGGTCTCTCACGCTAGCGAGGAGGAGACCGGCAGCGAGGTGCTGAGCCACTGCAGCAGCGCCAGCGAGGGGGGCAGCCCCGCCGAGGAGCCCGCAGGTGAGCGCCGGTGTCCCCGCGGTGGCCGCGCTGCTGCGGTGTCCCCAAGCGGGACCTCCGTGACACATTGCCGCTGCGGCAGGGAGCGAGGCGGCGGGCGAGCAAGGCCAGGAGGAAGAGGCGGAGGAGAGGCTGAAGGAGCACATGGACAACCTCCTGGACAAGAGGTAACCAGGCGGCTGGCGGCCCGGGGCACCTGGCACGCTGCTGGTCCAGCCGCTGGTGCATGCCCTGTCCCGGGCAACCTCCCCTCATGCCCTCGCATGGGCTCTCCCAGCGCCAGGACGCGGCTGGCGGCTCTGCAGAGCTTGCGCCTGGCCTTCTCCTCCAGAGCCCTGTCCGAGTTCCTGCTGGAGCACCGGCTCACGCTCACCGACTCGCTGGAGAAGTGCCTCAAGAAAGGTCCGGGCGCAGGCGGCCGCTGAGGTTGGGGATGGCGGGGCCATGGCCCGTGTCTGAGGGAGCTCTCTCGTGCTGCCCGCAGGTAAAGGGGAAGAACAGGCGCTGGCGGGCACCGTCCTCACCCTCCTGTGCCTCCAGATGGGCTCTGGCCCGGAGGGGGAAGAGGTGTTCCGCAGCATGAAGCCCCTGCTCATCAGCATCCTCACAGACAGCATGGCCAGCCCTGCCGCCCGACAGAGTGTAAGGCCTGGACCCTTCCCTCCGCAGCTGTGGGGAGAGCCCAGGCAGTGCCTTGGGGGTCCCTGCAGTCCCAGGGGGTGGCAGAATTGGAAGCAGTGGGGTAAAGCAGGGACACACCAGCCCTGCTTCCCCTTGGCTGGGTGCTGGATCTGACTTGGCACTGCTGCCTCTGACTGCCTTTTCCTCATGTCTCTTGCCAGTGTGCTACAGCCCTGGGTATGTGCTGCTACATCGCTGCTGCTGACCTCGAGGTAACTGCTCCTGAGTGTTGTCTGTACCCTGCTGGAGGGCACCCTGCTGTGCCACCAACCCTCAGCCCACAGTGCCAGGGCAGCCTGGAGCTGAGCTGGGGAAGGGGCACAGGGACGTCAGTGACAGCCCAGGCCCCTTCCACGAGCAGCATGGAGCTGAGCTGGGGGGAAGTCTGCCTTGTAGAAATGGGGTGTCCTGGGTGGAGGAGCCTCCTGGTGCCATTGGACGGGGTTGGTCCCTGCTGTGTGGCTTCACTGTGGTGGCAGCTGTGTTCCCCCTTCCAGGACCTGGTCTCATGCCTGTCCTGCTTGGAGAGCATCTTCAGCCCCCCCAGCACACCTGAAGGGGGCTCAGCACCCTCCCAGCATGGCCCTCTGCACTGCAGCGCGCTCCAGTCGTGGTCCCTGCTCCTCACCATCTGTCCCCCATCCCACATCAAGAGCATCTTGGACAAGTAAGTGGGGTGGGGGCAGGCAGCTGCAGAGGGGGGAGCCCCCCAGCCCCCCTGACTGCCCTCTGGCCTTCCTGTCCCAGTGGCTGGCTGCGGCTGCCCCTGCTGCTGGCCAGCAGCAATGTGGCACTGCGCATCCTGGCTGGGGAGACCGTTGCGCTGGTCTTCGAGCTGGCTCAGGACATGGAGGTACCTTGGGGTACGGGTGGGCAGGCAGCAGAGAGCTGCTGGCACCAGCCCCCTGCCTGTGCCCCAGCTGAGCTGGCTCTGGTGGTGTTGGGACACTTCAGACTGGTGTCACCAGCAGCGGCCCAGGCAGAGGGACCGGATCTGGTGATGCTGGTGATAGTGGTGGGCAGTGCCTGGAGCCACGTCCCCTCCAAACCCCCTATTTTGGCAGGTGGACTTGTGCCACCAAGATACGGTGTTCCTGTGTGCCCAGCTCAAGGGCCTGGCTACTGAGAGCAACAAGTATCGAGCCAAGACGGACCGACGGAAGCAGCGCTCCATCTTCCGGGACATCCTGCACTTCATTGAGGTCCTGGGGGCTCGTGGTGCCCTTCCTGCTGAGCTGGTGGCTGGTGATCCCCATCTGCTGAGAGCCAGGGACACAGGGCTGGTGCCCAGGTTGTTGCTGATGCCCCTCTCTCTGTTCAGAGCGGGGAGCACCAGGAGGAGACCGTCCGTTTTGGCCTGGAGTGCATGGACCTGGATAGCTGGGCACGCCAGCGCACCTACCAAGCCTTCAAAGAGGTGCTGTCCTCTGGCATCTGCCACCACCTCCAGGTAGGGGCTGGGTGGTTGCGCGGAGGGGGGGTGCCAGGGCTGGTGCTGGTGAGTGCGGACAGGCCCCTGCTTCCCCAGAACAATGAGCTGCTACGGGAGATCTTCGGCCTTGGGCCCCCCTTGGTGCTGGACGCAGCTGCTCTGAAAGCCAGCAAGGTCTCCCACTTCGAGAAGGTGGGTGCTGCCACCCCCGTTTGTGCTGCCAGGGGCTCCAGCCGAGTGCCTGAGCATGGTGGGTGCCAGAGGGGCACCCAGTAACCCATCTCCTTCCTTTCCCCCAGCACCTCTACAACTCGGCTGCCTCCAAAGCCCGCACGAAAGCCCGGAGCCGGGTGCGGGACAAGCGGGTGGATGTGCTGTGAGGAGCGGAGGGGGCAGAGCCTTTGGCCCCCTTGGACTGCAGACCCAGCACTGTGAGGGGCTGGCACCCCCAGCCCTGGGGCTTTTATCTGTGGACAGTGAAGTATTTAATACCTGGGGCTGCCCCAATGGGGGCTGCCCCTCTTTTATTGTTTTACAGCAAAGCAAAGCCAAAAGAAGGATGAAAGAAGAGCGGGGGGAGGTGGTGGCATGCTGCTGTGTGCCTGCTCTGTGCCATGGCAAAGGGGGTCCCGCAGGACTCCTGCAGCCCCTTGCAGCGGGCAGGGCTCACGGACGCCTGGCACAGCTTGAAGGGCTGGCTGGGAGGGCAGAGCCATGCAGGGCAGCTGGCAGCACAGGGCCTGTGCTGGTGGCCTGAGTGTTCCCCAGTGCCACGCTGGGCACAGGCTCTGCCTCCACAGCCAGCCTGGCACCCAGGGGTGGTGGCAGAGCAGTGTGGGGCATCAGGCTCTGCCCAGCCCTGCCAGCTGCCTGCTCTGAGCCCTTCCCAGCCCAGTGCTTTATAGGAAATGGTTATATGGGAAATAAATTACAGGGGCATGGCACAGTGGGCAAGTGCTAGTGGTGCCCGTGCAGCCTCAGGGGCTGCTGCCCGCATGGGCGTGGGAGTGCCTTTTGCCCCAGGAATGTATCTGTGGTGGTGATTTTCTAAGACTTTGGTTACAGGAGGTAATTAAAAGGCTAATTGGAGAGTGCCTTCTGCCGCCTTGTTAGCAATAAGGGCTGTCACTCCCGGGTGCCAGTCCTTGCAGCCATGTCCCTTTCTCCCACAGCCTAGGGTAGGGGCCAGAATTGCCTCTGCTACTACTGTGCACCACATGGGGCCATGCTGCCAGGCCTGAACCGGTGTGGGGCTGGTAGTGCTGCCCGCTTCCCCCTCCCGCCCTTCAGTACCCCTTTCCATAGTGAGCCAGTGCCTGTGGGGGGGCCAGGAGCGGGTCAGCGGTGCCCACCAGGCTGGGCGCTGGTGTTGAGGTGAGCCCAGAGCCGCCCGTTGGCTGCCTGGAGCTGGTGCACGGCATCCTCTTGGGTCTCCAGCCACTGGGCCAGCGCCCGCACCGACTGGCTCTGCAGGACTGAGGACAGGAACACGCTAGGGGTGGGCGGCCTGGCCCTGCTGCAGCATCCCTTGGACCCTCCCGCCGTCCCCAGCACCACGTACCACTCAGGTATACAGCCAGTGTGGCCAGGACCAGGCTCACCAGCGCCACGAGCCCCAGCAGGGCCAGGAGCAGGGGGTGGCCAGGGCAGAGGGGAGCGGTGGGCACAGGGCGCAGAGTGGGCAGCAGCGGTGGGGAGCCAGGGGTTGTGGGGCGAGGCGGGGGCCAGTGCAGGCTGCTGGGGGGAGCTGGGCCGTTGCCTGTGAGCAGGGGAGAGAAACGGTCAGAGCCCGGTCGTGGGCACGGGCAGGGTTGGTGTGGGGCCCCCCTGCCCTGTGCTCACCCTCAGTGCCCTTGTGCCCGCCCGAGGCCCAGTGCAGATCGCTGATGGACTCCACAGGGCGCAGGCTGATGGCTCCAGGCTCACCGCTCTCAGGGTCCCCAGGCTCTGCTGCTGAAGCCCCCTCGGCCCGTCCCATGCTGTCTGCGGAGGCAGAGGGTGAGGGGGTGTCCTGCCCGCACCGGGCACCCCTGCAGAGCCCAGGCTCCTCCCGGAGGTGACCCCAGCTGGGGCTGTGCTGGGGCAGGCAGCCAGTGCTGTGCCATGGCCCGCTGTGGTGGCCACAGGGGGTGAGTGCTGTCATCGCCCCAGTTAGCAAGTGCTCGGTGGCCACGATCCCAGAGCCTCGTTAATGGGGCTGGAATCCGGTGCTGGCTTGGGGGCAGGAATGTGCCACCCCCCAGTCCAGGTAGCCTGGGCACTGTGGGGCTAGCCAGGGCCCTCCTGGGACAGCTGGGAGCCAAAGGGCAGGGCTAGGGCCTGCGGCATGCTGTGCCTTGCCCCATGGGCACCATGCTCATGCGCTGCTTAGGGGTGCATGGATGGATACAGGGTGTGTGCTGTGCTGGGGGTCCTGGTGCCCACCATCCCCCTGTGAGAGCAAGCAGGTTTTATCACAGCAGGCACGGCTCCAGCCCCGTCTGGAGACACAACCGTGCCCGCACTGGGGTGAAGGGGGTCATTTTGTCCATGTGTTCGCATGTTTGTGTGTGTTGGGCAGGGCCCGGCCCTGTGCCTGCCGCAGAACAGGGTGCACTGTGCCAGCTCCAGTCCCTCGGGGTCACTGGTGTGCTGCAGGGCAGCCTGGCACCACGCCACTGCCGTCGGGGTGCTGCATGACACCAGTGGGGCTGGCAGGTGTCAGAGCTGGGGGGGGGCTCAGCTCGTGCTCAAGGGACCCCTGGACCCTCCCCAGGGCCCAGCCTTTGGCTGGGGACTGGCCTGTGGGTCTCCCATCATGCTGCAGCTGAGGGGCACAGGGGGTGGTGGAAGTTGGGTGCAGGGGCAGTGCCAGCCAGCTGCCTGCCACCTCCCCACACCCAAACCCTGCTGCCCTGCGCCTGCACCCCTCCAGGACCCCCTTCTTGCCCAGGCAGACATCGCTGCCATCAGTTGCCCACAGCAGAGGGCAGCGTTTGGGGACTGTTCCCATCCTAAACCCAGGACCTGGTGCCACTGAGTCCCCCCCCGGGTGCCAGGGCCCCCCCCAGCCCACTCCCAGCCTACCTTCTCCAGCCTCCCTGGGCATGGCTCCCTGTGCCCGGGCAGCAGGAGTGGGCAGTGAGGTGGTGCGGGGCCCTGGGAGCCGGGCACTGGGTTCCCGGTGCGCCAACTGTGCCGCTTAAAATAGGACAGGGAGAAACACAGTTGGGGGCAGGTAAAAATAGCTGTGGGGAGGGGGGCCCAGTGGAGCAGTCAGGGCTCCAGCAGCACAGTGCCAGCATGGCAAAGGAGAAGCAGCCTGTGGTGGTGCCCATGCACCCTTCCTGGGTAAAGGGGCTGACGCTTCGCTGTGAGGTCAGAACAGAGCCTGGACAGGAAAACTGAGGCACTGGTGGCTCCATCCACAGCCAAACCGGGGTCTCTGCTGCCTCTCAGCAGCAATGGTGCCCATCCTGGGGGCACCGTGGAGCCCACCCAGCTTTGCCCACGAGGACCACGCCTGCTGTGCCAGGAGGATTTATTTACATCAATAAAACCCATTAAAAGCACGGGCAGCAGCAGTGCTGCCTCCCTCGTCACCAGCCCCACGTGCCCTGCAGCAGGCAGGTGCCGGAGGGAGGGAGGCCATGAACACGGGTGAGCGCCGGGCAGGAGGTGGCAGGGCCGGGCTGGACGCGCCGGTCACAGCCCTTGCCAGCCCATCCACGGTAGCAGTGGCAGCGGAAGGAGGCCGGTGGGCTGGCACCGGGGCCAAGGAGCAGGAGGCTGCCCAGGTCATGGGGCTGGCGGCGCACACAGCGCCCATGCCCGTGGCACTGCCGGTAGCTGCACTCCCAGGCTGCTGCCGTCACGTTGGCCACGTAGGGACCCAGGGTGGACACGATGTAGTGGCGCAGGCTGGCACAGCTCTCCTTGAGGGGGGGAAGAACCGGTGAGAACCCACCCCGGCACCGAGGCCCCTCTAGCCATTCCTCCCTGGTGGGCACAGATGTGGCTGTCCCATAGAGCCACCGCCAGCTCTGGCGCAGTGAGGTGCCATACTCACGGCTGAGCGGGAATACGCCATGTCTCCCCAGAGCACCAGCCCAGCCAAACCCAGTGCTGCGCTCTCCCCGATGGTGTGCCCCAGGTCAGCCTGCAAGGGACAGAGGGGTGAGAGCGGGCTGGGGGCACAGCACGTCCCCTCGTGCCGAGCAGGACCCATGGCACCGCCGCCAGCCCCATCCCTTTGGTGCTTACCGGCTCCAGGAACCGTGGCGAGTGGCGGAGGGCCAGGCGGGAGTAGGCGAGCACGGGCAGGAGGCGGCTGGTGCTGGCGGCAGCCACGCGCAGGGCCTCGCGCAGGCGGTGGTGCACGTAGCGCTGGCGCAGGGCGGGCGGCAGCGCCGGGGGCAGGTAGATGCTGGGGTACAGAGCAGCTGAGGCGGCCCAGAGCCAGCGCAGGCGGTCATTGCGCCGCACGGCTGCCGCACCGCACTGCCCGCTGTAGTTGGCCACCTTGGCCCAGTTGCTGTTGAGGCAGTCGGGGAAGCGGTAGAACCCCCAGAGCCCCCCCGGGCGCAGGGCCCGGCCCAGCAGGAGCGTCTCCTCCATCAGAGCCTGTGCTGCGCGCTCAAACTGCCGCCGGGCCAGCCGCCGCCGCCATCGCCGCGGCAGGAGGCCGTGCTGGGCCCGCACCCACTGCTCCGAGGCTGCCTGGTACACCCGCTTGTTCCCCCAGTTCTGGGCCCACAGGGGCCTCCACTCCTCCCAGTCCACCACGGCCAGGCCATGGAAATCGGGGTGCAAGAGGTCATGGATGTCCCCAGCCACCCTGGCGAGGTGGGCGCCGAGGGGGACCCGCTGGGGGATGCCCCCGTTGTGGGGTGTGCCCTGCTGCGAGAGGTAGGGGTACAGCCCAAACTTGTCCTTGTAGAAGATGGTCATGTTCTGGCCAGCAAAGCGGCCATCCTGGTTCTCCACAATGCCATAGTTGCCAAGGGGCAGCTCTACACCAAAGTGCTGCCGGCAGCGACGGGTGGGGACGTTCCATACCACCACGAAAGGCCGACCCCCTGCCACAGGCTCCGGTGCCGGGCTCTCCCCGCCGGCTGTGCCCAGCACCAGGCAGCCCCACAGCACCAGCACCAACACCATCCTGCCGGGCCGGCACCCTGCAGGGAAAGAAAGGCAGATGGGCACAGTGCCATGCACGAGTACCCTGCTCATGCTGACACTGTCGCTCTGCCATGTGGGCTATGTTTGCCACACGGGCATGCTGCCAGCCCCCAAATCCCATGGGACCCAGAAACTTGGGGGGTTTGGACACCTGCTGCCTCAGTGGGCACTGCAGCCTGCCCCAGGCCCTGGTGCCCACAGCTCTGTCTGCACCACAGCCACTGTTCTGCCATGGCACTGCAAGCCACCAACCCCAGGACATCAGCTTCACTGCTGGCTCCTACCCCTGCCTGTAGCACAGAACCATTGGGGTTGGAAGGGGCCTATGGGGGCCATCCAGTCCGAACTGCTGCCAAGGCAGTGCCACCTGGACCAGGTTACACAGGTTCTGAATGTCTCCAGAGAGGGGACCCCACATCACTGGGCACCCTGTTCCAGTGCCCTGCCATGCACAATGTAAAGAAGCTCTTCCCTAGGTTGAGGTGAAACTTCCCGTGTTTCAGTTTATGGCCATTGCTCCATGTCCTGACACTGGCCACCACTAAACAGATTTGGCACCATCCTCCTGGCACCTGCCTTTGAGATATTTATATCAACTAATGAGTTCTTTCTCCCCCATTTCACAGCAGAGCCTACCCAAGCCAGGCACCCTGGTGAGAGACCGAGCCCCCCAAGAACCATGGTGGAGTGAAGCAGAAACTGTGCCCTGAATGCGGGCAGTGCTGGCCAGACACTGGGTGAGGGATTAGGCAGGGAACAGGCCCAGTGACGCAGCAAGGACACTGCTAATCCCCTGGCGCAGCCCAGACGCTCGCTGACCTTCCAAGGCCACGTCTCTGGGCCTTGCTGCTACCGGCTGCACTGGTGGGGGGGCCCTGCCATCCTCGCCCGGTGTCCATCCAGCCCCATGTGCCTCAGTATCCCCAGGCTGCTGGACACGGTCTCCCGCCAGCCCCAGCTGCTCCACAGTGAGATCCATGGGTGCAGGACACACTGGTGCAGAGCTGCTGGGACTGGTCGGACCCTCAGAGGAAGGATGGGGCTGGCTCCTTTCCATCCTGGCGGTCCCAGGGCCCCAGCCAAGCGAGCTGGGGCCTGGTGGGAGCAGAACCAATGTGCCCATGCAGGGCAAGGTGTGGGCCCACCTCCCCAGCAGCACCCACCCCAGCAACGGCGCTGGGGAGGCTGGGGGAGCTGGTGCCAGACCTGACGAATGGCAGCAGCCAGGCACTGCTCCTGCCCACACTGCTTTAATGAGCGGCTCCGAGCCCAGGCCCCTCAGATGTCCTTCTTCATCCAGAAGATGGGCAGCCCCTTGGCATCGTGGTGCGGGGTCTCCAGGAGGCTGCGCCCGCTGCTCTCAGCCAGAACCCCCCTGGCCCAGATCACGTTCGGCGGTGGGGGGGGTGGTGCAGGAGCAGCGGGGGGCGAGGGGCGAGCTGGAGGGGCAGGAGGCAGCCTTGGCCTGGTGGTGGTGGTGGTGGTGGTGGTGTCGGCCCCAGGACGGGTGGAGAAGAGCCGCAGCACTTCAGCGGGGATGGCGGGGCTGAGGAAGGCCACGCTCTGCACCGGCTCGCCCAGGACGAAGCCCAGGTGCGCGTAGAAATGCTGCTTGTCGTGGGTGCTGAGGTGCAGGCAGCGGAAGCCCCGCGCCCGGGCCCACTGCTCCGTGGCCTCCATGAGCCGCCGCCCGTAGCCCTGGCCCCGCAGCGCCCGCGCCACCACCACGCTCTCCACGAAGAGGCTGTGGGGCCGGGCGGCCACGCGGGAGAGCCGGACGTGGCCCAGGAGCGGGCAGGGGCCCGGGCCCCGGCCCCGCAGCAGGAGCAGGCAGGTGGGGAAGGAGTCCGAGGAGCGCTGGAGCGTGTGGAGCCGCGCCGCACGGCTCCTTCCCCACTCCTCGCGCAGCAGCTCGGCACAGGCCTCCAGCAGCTCCGGCCTCCGGTGCAGGGGGACCAGGGTGAGCTCCTCCGACACGGAACCCATTCTTCTCACTGGGGGGAGAGCAACAGGCCACAGGTCAGAGGCAGTGCGGGACACATGGGGTGCTTCCCCCAGCATACCCATGGCTGCCCAGCTCACAGCGGGATGGGGTTAACGGCTCTGTCAGCCTCTGAGGGGTCAGAACCCCCCTACTACAACCTGTGTGCCGTGGGGACCCCTCTCCCAGCCCGTGCAAAGAGAAGCCAGAGAGGGCAGGAGGAACTGCCACACTGCTGGGGATGAGCAAACTGCTCCACTTCCCCCTTTGAGGGGTGGGGAGGGCCTGGCCCTGCTCCCCCACACTCTCAGGAAGTCCCCAAAGTCACACTCCAGGCCTAAGACCTCTGGCTGCCAGCCCAGGCTCCATCCCGCCTGGTTTGGAGACCAGGCACCGCCCCAAGGCCCCTCGGCACCATCAGGCAGGGGATGCGCTTTGTGTCCCCAGCAAACACACCGGGGACCCCACCAGCAGTGCCTGCACCCTGGGGGGCCTTCAGTGGCAGAGGGAGCCCCCCTCACGTCTGGCCTCCTGCCACTTCTGCCTCTGGTGCCCTGCCCACCCTGTGCCCAGTTCCCCCTATGCCTGCCCCTCTCCAGCCCAAACCCAGGGGCTGCCCACCCTGCCCATGCTCACACTCACCCTGCCCACCCTGCCTGCTGCTGCCCACCCTGCCTGCTGCTGCCCATGCTCACACCCACCCTGCCTGCTGCTGCCCATGCTCACACTCACCCTGCCTGCTCCTGCCCATGCTCACACTCACCCTGCCTGCTGCTGCCCATGCTCACACTCACCCTGCCTGCTGCTGCCCATGCTCACACTCACCCTGCCTGCTGCTGCCCATGCTCACACTCACCCTGCCCACCCTGCCTGCTGCTGCCCATGCTCACACCCACCCTGCCTGCTGCTGCCCATGCTCACACTCACCCTGCCTGCTGCTGCCCATGCTCACACTCACCCTGCCCACCCTGCCTGCTGCTGCCCATGCTCACACTCACCCTGCCCACCCTGCCTGCTGCTGCCCATGCTCACACTCACCCTGCCTGCTGCTGCCCATGCTCACACTCACCCTGCCTGCTGCTGGCAGCTCCTGAACCCTCGGTGCCCGTGCAGCAGGAAGCAGCCCATGGCCAACCGCAGGGCCTGGTTCCGCTTCCCCAGTGCCACACGGCACCCCCCTGCCACAGCACCCAAACCACACGGCATCCCCCAGCACTGCAATCCACACTGCACCCACATGAGGTGCACAAACCTGAACGACATCACCCAGCTGATCACTGGCCTCCCCATCACCAATCCATCATTGTTCCATCACTGACCCATTGACCAGGTTCCCCCTGGTATCCAGTAGAGGATGGAGGTTCTCCTGGGCCCTCCTTTTATTGCTAATGTACTTGTAGAAATACTTTTTATTATCTTTTATGGCCGTGGCCAGCTTGCTTGGCCTTCCCCCTCATCTTCACCCACAAACACTCAGCCTTCTCACTCACAACACTGAGCTGGAGGCAGTCGAGGCACTCCCTGACATACAACGCAACCCCACCACCTCTTCTTCCTTGCCTGTCCCTTCTGAAGAGCCTGCAGCCATCCACTGCAGCACCCCACACCAACGTCCCACCACGTTCCTGTGATGGTGATGATGCCACAATTTCCCTGCTGCACAAGGGCTTCCGGCTCCTCCCGGCTGTTGCCCATGCTGCGGGCACTGGCACACGTGCACTCAAGTTGCTCTGTGGACCTGGACTCCAACTACCCCCTGGCTCATTTCTAGCGAGCCTGGGGTTATCCCTCCCCTATCTCCTAGGTCCCATCCATCTGCCAAAACCTTCTACCCCGCACGATCCCTTATCCACTGCATCACCTTCCTCAGTTTCCAGACCCCCCGCTCCCAGGGCCTTGAATCGCTTCTCGAGGGGCGCTTGGGAAGGTGACCTGAGCTGGGGTAAAATCTGTGTGTACTACGAGGAGTAAGCTGCTTCCAAACCCCCGTTTCTGCCAGGTCCCCTTCATCTGTTTGGTGGCAAGAGGCAGGGCCAAGAGCGGGGCAGACAGCAGGGCAGGGGGTGGCACAGGGATTTCCCCCCTGAGGCCAATGTCAGGGTCAGGAGGGGTTCTGATGGCCCCTGTAACGTGGGGATCAGCTCAGGGCTCCAGCCCTGGATCTGCCTCCTCCAAAGAGCTCTTCCTTGTCCCTGCAGCAGAGCAGAGAAATGGCCTCCTGGAAGCCAGCATGTTCCAGCTGCCTCCGCAGGACAGCCAGGGCCCCGAGGCTTGGCTCTATGGCAAGCTTCTGACACCCCGCAGCTGCAGAACATCTTCAAGGTCTGGCCTTGGCACAGGCTCCCCTTGGGCAGTGCCCCCCCCCAACCCTTGCCTCCTGGCTGCTGCCAGAGCCCCTTCTCCTGCCCCAGCACACCCAGGTCCTCACGCACTGCCTGTACTGCACAACCCTCCAGACACAGCTGCCTGCCTGGAAAGGGGAGCCCAGCCCTGGCGCTCTCCCCCTGCGGCTTCACGGGCCATATCCCAGAGCCCCACCACAGGTCCCCAGGGAGGGCTCACCCCGAAGCCTCGGGGTCCTCAGGGGCAGCGGCTGGAGGGAGGGGCGCTGAGTGCCCAGCAGCAGGGCAGCAGCAGTGGGATGTGGGGACCCGCCTGGCCACAGCCCATTGCTGCCAGGGGCAAGAAGGACACGTGCCCCGTGCCAGGCACTGCCGAGGGGCTGTGCTGTGCTGTGCTGTGCACCCCACCTTCTGGCACACCAACGCCTGCACCTGCCTGCCCACCCCACCGGCAGCGCCCTGCAGGAGGGGGCCCTGCCACCCTCGCCCGGTGCCCATCCAGCCACGCGTGCCTCGGTTTCCCCAGGCTGCTCAGTGGGAAGAGCGGCAGCCACGCTGCTGGACACGGCCTCCCGCCAGCAGCCCCCGGCCACGGCACTCAGACTGCGTCCCCCAGCACTGCAATCCCCACTGCAGCCACACGAGGTGCACAAACCGGAACGGCATCACCCAGCTGATCACTGCCCCCATCCCTTATCCGCCACTGACCCACCGCTCACAGTCACTGACCCGTCACCCATCCCCTCGATGGGCCCACCATTGACCCATCACTGCCCCTCTCCCTGCCCCGCCTCTGCCCATCACCGACCCCCCTCTCCTCCCGCTCCGCTCGCCCCCCGGGCCGCTCCTCCGGACCCACCGCTTCCGCCGCCGCGGGATCACTTCCGCCGCCGGCACCGCTCGGCGCCCGCACCGCGCCCCCTGGCGGCCGGAGGCCGCGCTCCTCCCGGCCTCGCTTGTGGCACGCGCGGTGGCCGGGCTCGTGTCGTGCCGTGCCGTGTCGTGTCGTGTCGTGTCGTGTCGTGTCGTGTCGTGTCGTGTCGTGTCGTGCCGTGCCGTGTCGTGTCCTGTCGTGTCGCGTCAGTGTGCGGAGCTCACCGCCACTGGCACCACGTGAAACTGGGGTTTCACTGAACACAGAGACCTAGACACAGACAGGGCGCCGAGGATGCTTCAAGTGGTGTTTCAGTGCCTCTGGAGGCTCCAGCTCTCCGGGTAAGGCAGGCTGCAACAGGAGAACCAGATGTCTTCTCCCACCCCAGTGTAGGCTCCTCCTTTTGCTAAGCCTGAGAAACAGGTACAAAGAAAACACCTCGAGGAGCCTCTCAGGGTCCTAAATGAGAGCAAACAAGAACATGTAGGTGGTTGCAAACACCAAACACGCATTCCAGTGCCCTTGACTAAGGGATTTCCATCACAGTGTAAAACAAGTCAGGGGATTTGTCCCCAGACGAGCACCACAACCCCCAGAGACCACTCCTCAAATGCACAGCGCCTTACCTGCCCAAATTACCATGTGCATCAGTAACGAGAACTGGGTGGGCATTGCACGCATCACAATGACTACGTATGTAATGATGTGTCTAAGCTGCAAACTGCCCCTTCTCCGTGTGTGTGTTAGGCAGAGGGAGTCCCCACACACCCGGTACCCTAACAAAGTAACATCAGGTTCCTACCCTGTCATTCTGGTTAGAGTTTATTTCCTGGATTTCGGTGGCAAGCTCAGTGCCATGGCGTGCCCTGCTGACCCACGGGGGTCCTGGTGGCACAGGAGGCAGCACTGGCCTTCCCCATCCCCGCCGCGGCTGCCCACTCCAACCGGCTCCTTGTCGCTGCTTCCCGCTCCCTCCTGCTGCAGCCCGCTCCTGCTGCCCAGGGCTCTGCCAACCGGGGGTGAGGTGAGGAGGGATCCCCTGGCAGGGGCCATCACTGACTCATAACTGACACATTGTTGATGGCCCTGGCAACCGTAACCAGGGGACCGGCTGTGTTAGGGGACCCCAGCATCCCCAGGCCAGTGCGGCTGCAGCAGTGGCTGAGTGCATGGTGTGCACCCGGCATCCCTGCGTGCTCAGCAGCCTTCATACGAGGGGAGAGGCCCTGCACCGTGTCCAGGGCCTCCTGTGGAAGAGGAAAGAGCCTTCGAGTACCCGAGGGCCACGGGCTGTGCCCCGGGCCAGCCACAGGTGGGGGTGGCCCCAGCCCCCAGGAGCGAGGGGACAGTGGGGTTGTGACAAGGGGGTGCTCCGGCTCCCATGAACCCCAACCCTGAGCCGGGACAAGGAGGAAGGCGGAGTCAGTGCCACTGCCCTGGGGCAAGGAGGGCTCCGTGGGGCGCTGGGGTCACAGGAGGAGTGCTGTGGAGGGGGGATCAGGAGCTTGGGCGGGGGTGACATCGGGGCACTCTGTCACCTAGCCCTGCCTGCAGAGTGTCTCAGGGACATGGTGGGAGCAAGGAGCCCCACAAGTGCTCTGCCCCCCCACTCCTGGCAGGGCAGCTCTGGTGCTGGGGGGTCCCCTTCACCCCTTTCCTCCCTCCTTCCCTCAGGATGGAGGCGAGAGACCCCCGCCAACCCAGGCTGGCCTGGGTGGAGGAGGACGAAGCTGGCCCGGCTCCCAGCTCCGGGCTGAAGTGCAAGGAGATGCGTAAGGGTGAGTGTGCGGGTGCCCCATCCCTGCCCTGCCCCATCCCGTCCCGCCCCATGCTTGCAGGCCAGGCATCGGCCCCGCAGTGCAGAGCCCAGGGAACAGCCCCGGGCCAGGAACTCGCTTCTCCCCCTGGTGCCAGCTCTCCCTCCTTGGGGCACACTGGGCCTCCCTCCCCTGCTGCCCTCCCGCATCGCATCCTCGCCCCTGGGGTGCACGGGGGGCAGCCTAGAGCCGGGGCTGGGGACATCCCTGAAGCTGGGCAGAGGGCTCTGTACTCCCCACTGCCTGCCCTCCAGCCCTGCCTGCTCTCTCGGCCAGGTTCATGCATCTCAACCGTGCACATGTCCAGCGAGGAAAAGAGCATCCTCAAAACCATCAAGGAGTCCATCAGGAGCAGACCGAAGGTATCCACGGCCACTTCCATGCGGCTGCGCCTCTGTCTCCTGCACGGTCTTTGTGCCCCCGTCCCGTACTCAGAAGGTGCTGGGGGCTCTTATGGACCCCATCAGTCTCTCCCGCCTGACAATGTCCATCTGGCACCCCCCTGCCTGGCAGCAAGAAGACCAGAAGCTGAAGTTTCTGGATGCCGTCTGCACCATCTGCACCACCAGCAGCAAGCACTCCTTCCTGTGGGGCACGCTGCTGCTCTTAAAGCCTGAGCTGGCGGAGAGCCTCGAGGTGAGGGGATGGCCGGTCAGGCTGAGGCAGGGTCAGCGGCACAGCCCTGGGGCAGGGAGTGGGAGCGGAGCGAGCGCTGCTCTGGGGCTGCATCCTTGGCGATGCTCCAGAGCCACCTGCATGGCCCGGCTGCAGGTCCCTTGGCCAGCCTGTGCTCTGTGATGGGTGCAGCCCTTCCTGCTACACGGCTGGGACCACTGCTAATGGTTGGGGGTGCTGGGATGGGCTCTGACAGCCCCCCAGGCTATTGCTGGATGAAGGAGCTGCCCTGTGCTGACCCACCCACGCTGTTGTGCCCCTCAGGTGCTGCTGCAAGAGGAGCCCGTTGATCGCCTGGACACCACGGTGCGGCAGCAAGTCATGCTGACCATCGCTGCCATGAGGTACCTGCCCCATCGGCCCCGTCCCGGGGGCACCCACAGAGCTGGGACTGAGAGGGAGGCAGACAGCAGGGCAGGGGTGGCACAGGGATTTCACCCCTGAGGCCAATGTCAGGGTCAGGAGGGGTTGAGTTGGCCCCTGTACCATGGGGATCAGCTCAGGGCTCCAGCCCTGGGTCTGCCTCCTCCAAAGAGCTCTTCCATGTCCCTGCAGCAGAGCGGAGCTGCTTCTGGAGGACAAGAACAGCCTCCTGGAAGCCTGCTTCTGCAGCATCTTCCAGCTGCCTCCGCAGGACAGCCAGGGCCCCGGGGCTTGGCTCTATGACAAGGTATGCCATGGGGTGAGCCACAGGGAGCTCCCTGTCCCGAGGCCCCTTCCTGGTAAGAGCAGGGCCACGGCTGCGCTGCTCCCCCAGGCTGCCAGGGCTGCCCTTGAGACCCTGCTCCCTTGCAGACCCTGTCTGCGATGGACAGCATGTTACAGGTGCTGGTGTGCAGCGCCAGAACCCTCGGCATCCGGGAGCTGAAGAACATCTTCAAGGTCTGGCCTTGGCACAGGGTCCCCTTGGGCAGTGACCCCAAGGGGAGTCACTTGAGCAGTGCCCCCCCCCCAACCCTTGCCTCCTGGCTGCTGCCAGAGCCCCTTCTCCTGCCCCAGCACACCCAGGTCCTCACGCACTGCCTGTACTGCACAACCCTCCAGACACAGCTGCCTGCCTGGAAAGGGGAGCCCAGCCCTGGCGCTCTCCCCCTGCGGCTTCACGGGCCATATCCCAGAGCCCCACCACAGGTCCCCAGGGAGGGCTCACCCCGAAGCCTCGGGGTCCTCAGGGGCAGCGGCTGGAGGGAGGGGCGCTGAGTGCCCAGCAGCAGGGCAGCAGCAGTGGGATGTGGGGACCCGCCTGGCCACAGCCCATTGCTGCCAGGGGCAAGAAGGACACGTGCCCCGTGCCAGGCACTGCCGAGGGGCTGTGCTGTGCTGTGCTGTGCACCCCACCTTCTGGCACACCAACAGCTCTTCTCCTCCCAGCTCCTGCTGCCCTTCATCAGTTCGGAGGTGGCCGTGGTGCAGGAGAGGGCCGTGGCATGCACTGCCCGGCTGGCCAGATGCTTCAGCACCAAACCCCTGCCACAGGTACCGAGCTGCTGGTCTGGCAGCCCCAGCGCCCCAGCCCCATGCCCCTGAGCCCCAGCAGCACCCGGTGTGCAGGAGCTCAGGAGCAGGGGCTCTGCCCTGCCCGGTCTCTGCCCTCTCCCAGGGCACTGGCCCTGCCCTGCTTTGGGCTGCTGCCTGCCTGCTCTGGGAGCGGCTGTGCCCCGGTGACCTTGTGCCCATCTTCCCCCAGCTCTGCTCCTGCTCTGTGCGAGTCCCAAAGCTCCAGTGTCAGTGCTGGAAGACTGTGGTGATGGGGAAGCTGGTGGGGCACCTCACCCTCTGCTGCACCCACAAGGACACGGGCACCTGCCTTGCGGCTGCGGAAGCTCTCTTTATGATGCATCCCTTCACCCTAAGTAAGTGTGGGGCCGGGTTCCCCGGGGCATGGGCAGCCAGGGGCCACTCTTCTTGGCAAGAGAAAGCCAGATCCAAGCTACCCGCCCGCAGCCCGAAGAGCCAGCTCCCCTTGCCCACACTTGCACCAGCCCTTGCCCTGCCCTGGGGGGGGTCCAGGCCTCCCTTTTGAGCCCAGCGCTCTGAGCTGCACCCCCAGCTTGGCACCCTCTCTCTGCTGCTCCCCAGGCAGGTACCCCTGTCTGCTGAAGAGAAGGCAGCAGCAGCACCAGCAGAGCTGGGAACAGACGCACAGCCTGAAGATGTTGAGAACCAGCGACACGAGGCACATGTTCTCGGTAGGAAGAGCCTTTGGCTGCTGGCCTGAGGGAAGGGACACCCCATGCATGGGGGTGATGGGGCTCATGCTGTTCCTGAGCAGGGGCCAGGCAAAGGCCCCAGCGAGCTCGGGCTCCCCGCAGGACCCTGAGCCCCACCACTGGTCCCCTCCCAGCATGGCCTGGCTCTGCGTCCCGCTCTCACTGCGCAGCCAGGATGCTCTGGGTCACGGTCCTCCCTCTCCTTCACCCGCAGATGTTCACAAAGCACCTCCAGCCCTCCGAGAGGACAGATATCATCCTCGTGGCCATAAAGACCTTGGCAAATCCAGGGGTCTACAGCGTCAGCACGGCTGCCCACATGCTGGACATCCTTGTGCCAGACACTAGCTTCCGCACAGGGCAGGTGAGCGGGCTGTGGTGGCACTGACGCTGCCTCCAGCTGGCACATCTCACTGGGAATGGGAGCCGCACGCAGCTGGCTCTGGGGACACAGCCACGCTCACCCTGCTGACCCCACTCCTCGCTGCCACCCGTGTGTCCCTTGCAGGTGCTGAACATCACGTGGGCCATCTACAGAAACCTGCCCTCCGTCAGCACAGGAATAGCCCACAAGAGCCTGAGGACGGCCCTGCTGACGCTGACGCTCAAAAAGCCCAGAGAGGTGGTGGCCAGCCTGCTGCAGTGCTCCCCAGCGTGCGGCAGGTATAGGGCACAGCAGCCTTTGGGGCTCCTCTGCCACTGGGACGGGGGCCCCAAGACCCTCCTGGGGGCCTTCAGCCGCCCATCCTTCAGGGTGTCCCTGCTGACGGAGCCCTGTGTCCTGCAGTGACGCCATGGCCATGTGGACAACGATGCTCTCTGAGCCCAAAGCTGCAAGGAAGGTGCTGGAGGAGCTGCTCAGCACAATGATGAATCAGTCGCAGCGCAAGGTCTCCGCCGCCTCCATGGACAACCCGCGCATCCTGTCCCTGGCCGTGAGTTGCTCGATGAGGCCTCGCTGTCCCCCGGGGCTCCCCCTCCTCTTCCCTGCCCACCCCAGCCCAGACCTCCCCAGGGATGAGGCCGTCTCAGTTTCTGGGTGTCTTCTGCAGGCGTGCAGGATGATACACAAAATCCTCGAGCAGTCCCTCTGCCCTAAGGAAGTGGAGGAGGTTTTCCCCAGGCTGTTCCTTGCACTGCTGCTCCAAGTGTCGCTCGTAACAGAGCTGAAGGGAAAGGAAGTGCTCATTTGCTGGAAGGAGTACCAGCAGGATCAGCTCACTCCCATCAGGTGCTCCATCCCTGTCCTCTCATCCCTGCTGGCCGCCCGGAGCCAAGCCAGGGGTCCCGGTGGCACCTGAGCATCTCTCCTTGTGCAGGTCAGCAGTGCAGTCCATGAGACTGTTGCTCCACACCATGGGCTTTCAGATGAGGGAGCAGGTCATTGAGGAGAAGGGTGGCTGGGACAAACTGCTCCACGTCCAACAGCACCTCGAGGGAGTGTGCATCGTGGCCAGGTGAGAGCCCCTTCTCCGCGCACCCCACAGCACCCACTCCCTTGGGGCTGATGGCGAGGGGGTCCCCGCTGCTCAGAGACAGTGCTGCAGACTGGTGATGCCCAGACTGCTGCAGAGCCCAGGGAGATGAGGCAGCCTGGCTCAGGGCTGACAGCGCCTCCTTCCTCCTGCCAGGGAGATGATGAAGATCCCCGGAAGCCTGCACTGCATGCTGTTTGAGCAGCTGGTGAACCTCCTTTCTGTGGAGGACCCCACGTGGGAGATGGTCGCCATGGTCATGTTCACTGAGGTGAGCCCCATGCCAGCCCCCCAGCTGCGGGGGGAGCTGCGGTGGCGGATGGGCTTTGCTTGGTACCGTGGAGAAGCAGGCACCAACCAGTGCAGTGTGCTGTGGGGCATGGGGGCTCTCTGCAGTCCCTGCCCCTTCCGTCTGAGCTTGCTCTTGCCCCAGCATCCTTGCCTTGAGCCGACGGTTGGAGCCAGCACCACACCTCACCGCCTCCTCCTGCGTGTTTCAGATGCTGCAGTGCAACGCCACCAGTGAGACTCTGGACCGTGCTGTGGACATCTTCCCTATATACCTGCAGAGCCAGTGCGTGGGGATGCCCAAACTGGTGCTCAAGACTCTCTACAGGCTCTCCGAGTGGCTTGACACGGTGCGCAGGGGTCACTGGGGCAGCGGTGCTGGCTAACACGGTGGCTTCAGCATTTCTGGCTATCGGGAGAAGTGCCAGCTCTGTGCCTGCCCGCTGCAGTGCCCCATGGCTGCATCCTGCAAGAAGAGAGGCAGTGGTGCTGTGGGGAAGGCTGTTCACCCCTGCCATCGGTCACTGCGTTGCAGAAACGAGGTGGCATGTCTGACACAGGCAGAGAAGCTCCTCGCCCTGACGCCAAGCATCGTGGCGTGCCTGGACAGCACTGGTGACAGTGATGACACCGCCCTGGCCTTGCGGGTGCTGGAGAACATCCTCCCGCTGCTGGAAGAGAACGCGCTCGGCCCCACCGCCCATGCCATCGCTCCCAAGCTCCGGTTGCACTTCGACAGCGTAAGGCTGGGGGACAGACTTGTGCCCTTGCACCGGGCACCTCCGTTCATACCTCCCACCCCAGCCCCATGCTCTGCAGGAGGATGCTTTGCCCCACTGCCCCGTCGCTGCCCTCCGCGGCTCGGTACTGTCCCCCATCCCCTCCCCGCATGGACGACGCCTGGCTTGGCCTCCCTGCTGCAGGAGTTGGTGGTGGCAACAGCCTGCCCTGGCAGCATCTCCGAACCCCCCCGGGGTCTCCTGCTGTGTCCCCAGCCCCGCTGGGAACACATTGTGCATGCTGCAGCTCGCTCCCTTTTGGAGCAGGCTCCTTTGGGAGCATCCATCTCCACGTCAGCTCCCTGCTCGCCACGGGCTCGGCGCTGAGGTCCTTCTCCTGCAGGAGTCAGACACCGTGAGGCAGCTCTCCATCTGCTTGTTCCAATTCGTGATGGGGTTCGTGACGGGTGCTGAAGAGAAGAAGATGAAGGAGCAGGTGTGGGAGAGTCTGCTGCCGCTGGTCTTTCACCTGCACGACCAGAAACAGAACGTGGCCAAGGTGGGATCCCCAAGCGGACCGGTCCTTTGGAGCCTTCAAACGTGTGCCACCATGAGGTCTAGCTTGCTGAGGCTCTAGGACCAGCCAGACCCCCCACCACCCACCCACTGCTGCCTTTCTCCTCCTGCATGAAGAGGGTGGTGGGTCCCTTTCCCACCCACCTCCCTCCGCACAGTCCCTGCCATGGGGCACGGGGCCCTGCAGCCCCTGAGACAAGGCTATTGCTCCACAGCAGCCTGGGGACACCAAGGCCAAAAGCTTGCAGCCCCAAGGGGCTTCCAGGCAGAGAGGGTGGCTGGCCTTATCTTCTCCTGGGGTGCTGAGCCTGGGGGCAGCACCAGTGCCCAACAGTGCCGGGACAGGCTCGGAGCCCTGCTAAGAGGGAGGATGGGGGTGCTGCGCCCCCAGGGCTGGTGGTGGCATCTCTTCTCCTTGCCAGGCCGCCCAGGAAGCCCTCTACTTTGCTGGCTGGTTCTTGAAGTGGCGGAAACTGAGGGAGCTGGCGCTGACTGCAGAGCCATGGGACATCAGCAAGTGCCTGGTGAGCACTGCTGGGATCCGCACCGGGAGAGCCCTGCCCCGTGCCCAGCAGGGAGGATGCAGGGCTGTGTCCCGCACCTGTGTGCACCGTCCTGGAGCAGGCTCTGTTCCAGGCTGTCCTCACCCCCAGCGCCCCAAGGGGGACCCTGCCACCAGAGGGGCACCCCAGCACCAGCGGCGAGCCCTGCGCTCCCTCTGAACGCCAAGGCCACACGGTGGAGAGCTGGGAACGTCCTGCTGGGGGGGAAGAAGGGTGGCCCTGGCTGGGGGAACGGCCCAACCTGGGGGCAGCTCTGTGCCAACCCTGCACCGTTCTCTCTCCAGCTGGAGAGGAAGAGGAAGAAGACCAAGGACTTCCTGCACCAGACTGAGGTCTACCTGCAGAGCCCCCAGGAGATGCTGAGGCGGGACGCTGTCAGGTTCATGGGTGAGCCACGAGTCTCGGGTCCCTCCCTCTGACAGGGTCCCTGCATCCCAGCGCAGGACCTGTGGAGCATCCCTTGGTCCCCTCACGTTGGGCTGGCAGGAGGCTCACCCCCTCCTCGACGCAGCACCCATGGGTCGGCCCTCCCTGGGGAGCTGGGTGCTGGGGTCCCCGACACACTGCATCCCCCCAGGGCTCATCGGGCAGCACGTGGATGAGCCCAGGACGACGGAGTACATCAGACAGGGTGAGTGAGGGCAGTGGGGAGGAAGGAAGGACTCTGGCACAGAACTGCCCCAGGCGAGGGGGGCTCTGCTGCCAGCGCGTCTATGGGGAGAGCGTGTTTGTGGAGGGGGGCTCCCTCCTGGCCCTGTGTAATGCGCCCTGCCTGGAGGGGACACAGCGCTGTCACCTCACCTCCCCTGCTTTGTCCCCACAGCCCTTGAAGGCCCAAGACAAGACGCCAGCCCCCTGGTCTCCTCCTCGGTGACTGAGGCTCTCCTCATGCTGGAACAAAGAAGGCAGAGGTCAAGGCTCAGCCTACAGTGGCTGCTGCCCAGGGCATGGAGGAGGCGGCGCTCGACCCCCAGCAGGGACTTGCAAAAACCCCGTGAAGATCAATGAGGTAAAGCGCAAGGTCCTACACGTGGGTCCCGGCAATCCAGGCACAGCCACAGGTTGGCTGGAGCATCCCCCATGCAAGGACAGGCTGAGACAATTGGAGGTGGAGAAGAGAAGGCTGCGTGGAGAGCTCAGAGCAGCCTTCCAGTGTCTGAGGGGGCTACAAGGGCATCCAAGTCCCTGACTCTTCATCAGGGACTGTAGCGATAGGACAAGGGGCAATGGGTTTAAACTTAAATAGGGGAAGAGACCCCCCACACCTCTCTCCAGCCTCCTTTCAGGTAGTCAGAGACAGAAGGTCCCCCCTGAGCCTCCTCTTCTCTGGACTAAAGCCCCGCCAAGCTCCCTCAGCTGCTCCCCATCACACTTTGCTCCAGGCCCTTCGCCAGCTCTGCTGCCCTTCTCTGGGCCCGCTCCAGCACCTCAGTGTGTTGGGGTTACAGCAGTGAGGGGCCCAGAGCTGAATGCAGGATTCGAGGTGCAGCCTCCCCAGTTCGCAGTCACTGGCCTGGCCCTGCTGGCCACACTATTACTGATAGAAGCCAGGATGCCATTGGCCTTCTTGTCTTGGCACGCTGGCTCATGGTCAGCTCCATCAGTTAGCACCCCCAGGTCCTTTTCCATGAGCAGCTTTCCAGGCCTGGAGTGTTCCATGGGGTCGTTGGGACCCCAACGCAGGACCCGGTACTTTGCCTTGTTGAACCTCATACCACTGGCCACAGCCCATTGATCCAGCTGGCCAGCTCCCTCTGCAGAGCCTTCCTCTCCTCCAGCAGATCAGCACTCCCACCCAGCCTTGTGTCGCCAGCAAACTGAGGGTGCCCTCGATCCCCTCATCCAGAGCATCAGCAAAGATACGAAACAACACTGGCCCTAACACTGGGCCCTGAGGGACCCCGCGAGTCACCGCTCACCAACTGGATGCAACACCGGGTACCACCGCTCTTTGGGCTCGGCCAGTTTCCAGCCCAGCAGAGAACACCCCTACCCAGGCCATGAGCAGCCGGTGCCACCAGGAGAACGCTGCGGGAGGAGACACTGTCAAATGCTTTATTAAACTCCAAAGGGACAATGCCTACAGCCTTTGCCTCATCAATCTGGCGGGTCACCTTGTCATAGCAGGAGATCAGCTTGGCCAAGCAGGACCTGCCCTTCGTCAACCCATGCTGACTTCACCTGATCCCCCATTTCCCTGCTTGTGCTGTGTGATCTCGCTTAGGATCATCTGCTCCATGACCTTCCCTGGCACCAAGATCGGGCTCACGGGCCTGGAGGTGCCCTCCTCACCTTAGCAAGGCACGTAGCTAATGCCCATCGTTATGACATTAGGGCTGCAGAAGACAAGTAAGATGGGCATGGAGGATCTCATCCATCCTTATGTGTGCCCTGTAAATATATGTCTGGGTCCATGGGGTGCAAGGGAAGGGGCACTGCTCTCTGCATTACTTAAGTGCACCATGGATGCTCCAAAGCATCCCTGTGCTTGGGGGGGGAGACCTGCAGACCTGCCCGTAGATCCGTGCCTTGAGCCCTGAGCACCTTGAGGCTGAGCTGTCCTTGTGGAAGGACCAGGCCAAGGGTGACCGTGCTGATGGAACACAAGGCTCGGGGACCCTGGTCCCCCCTTGCTGAGCCCCCGCTGGCTGTTAGGAGGCAGCAGCTGCCTGTGGGACTGCCACAATGCAGGCAGTGCCGGGAGTGACAGCTGGTGCCATCCGCAGCTGGCGGGATGCAGGGATGCAAACAGTGTGAGGAGCGGGTGACGGTGTGGGAAGGGGGAGCGTGGCCTCACACAGAGCCAGTGGCCCCATTCCGCTGTGGGAGCTGCACCCTGAGAGAGACCCTGGGCGAGGAGGAGACGTCACCGACCTCCACGGGAACAGAGGTGAGCTGGGTCCTGTCCCTACCCCCAGAGTGCACCGTGGAGGGAGCAAGGAACAGGGATGGGGCAGGCAGGTTCGGGCTGTCCCTCTTCAAGGGGTGCTGGTGCGGTTGGGGCAGGGGGATGGTGTAGCCTGGCACGGGTACATGCGGGTCCTGGCAGTGCCACCCGTGGCTCAGATGCCAGCCCAGTGGTAAGCGGGGTGCCATGGCCTCACCAGGCACTTCTCCCTGCTCCAGCATCTTGGAGGGGTTCAGGCTGTCTCCAGGTTTCTCTGTGGCTCTCATTCATTTTGGCTCCCCTCAACAGGCAAGGAGAAGACGGTGGCCATGGTTGTGGTGGGGTTTCTCTCTAACGGATGCAAGAAATGAGCCCTTGCTGCCCAGGCACCAGAGCTGCCGGCTTAGCCCTCAGTGGGGATGGCAAGCCAAACGGGGCTGAACAGCACGGACAGCCTAAAGCCGCTCCCTGTCCCCGAGCAGTCCGTAGCCCAGGAGGTGGTGGGCCTCCTCTGCATGGTCCTGCTCACCCTCACCGCCCTGGTGGCCAACACCGTGGTGATGGTTGTCATTCTCAGAACCCCGCTTCTCAGGAAGTTCATCTTTGTCGGCCACCTCTGCATGGTTGACCTCCTCTCTGCCATTTTCCTCATGCCTGTGGGCATCATCTCCAGCTCCTCCTGCTTCAGCAGGGTGATCTACAGCATCGCTGAGTGCCAGGGCTTGATATTCCTGAATGTCTGCTTCATCAGTGCCTCCATCCTCACCATTGCCATCATCAGCGTGGAGCGGTACTACTACATCGTGCACCCCATGAGGTACGAGGTCAAGATGACCATCAGGCTGGCGGTGGCAGGAGTGATCATCATTTGGGTCAAGTCTGTTCTCGTCACCGTCTTGGCACTAGTAGACTGGCCTCAAGGCAACGGGGCCACCAGTGCCAGCCGCTGCACGGTTTACTGGAGCCCTGGGGCCCACAAGAAGGCTTTCCTGATCATCTTCAGCATTGCCTGCTTTGTCCTGCCCACCATCATCATCATCGCTGTCTATAGCAGCGTCTACCGTGTGGCCCGCACGGCATCCCAGCAGCCCGCCCCTGCGCCGGCACAGGCGGTAGCACCAAGACACCGCTCTGACTCCATTGCCAGCCTGGTGGCCGTCATCATCACCAGGAACCTGACGGTGCCCAGGCTGGCGCCAGAGCGCTTTTTGGGAGGCAACAAGGCCGTCCTCACCTTGCTCCTCATCGTGGGGCAGTTCTTGTGCTGCTGGCTGCCCTTTTTTGCCTTCCACCTGCACTCCTCCATGGCCGCTGGCACGGAGGCTGGTGGCCACGCGGAGATGGTGGTCACCTGGATCGCCTACTCCTCCTTTGCCATCAACCCCTTCTTCTACGGGTTGCTGAACCGGCAGATCCGGGAGGAGCTGGCGCGGCTCCGGCGCAGCTGCTTCAGGCAGCCCCTGGGCCAGGAGCTCTGCCTTTCCATCTCGGAGCCTTCTGTCCAGGAGAACCTCTTGCAGTTCCTCCAGAGAGCAACTTGCACCCTGGAGACCCATGCGAGCTGCATCAGCCCCGGCCCCGGCCCCAGCCCCAGGGATAGGCTGGACCAGAGCAACGTGAGCTTCCCCATCCCAGGTCAGGCTCCTGAAGAGAGCAGCTGAGCAGCAGGAGGCCCTGTCCCACTGTGCTGGGCAGGAGGATGGGCAGGGAACCTGCAGGGACCCGCTGGACCTGCTCTGATCCAGCCTCTTGGGTTTGGAGGGCTCCTTGTTCAGGTTCTCTGAGCTTATGGTGGGAGATGGTTTCTCCATGCAGGAGCTGGAAGATCTGGGGAAGCCTCATCTCCCTTCCACAGCCTGGGATCGTCTCTGGCTCCACCAGCACAGGCCAGTTGCATGGCCCCTTCTCAAGACACAGGGTGCCAAGGGGCTCCTGTGCAGAGGCAGATGAGAGGGCACCTCCATCTCCATCACCGTGCTGGGACCACTTGTGGCCAGCGGGGAAGAGCAGATGTCCCTTGTACCCTACCCAGGAGCAATGGAGCAGATAACACCACTAACACCAGTAATCCCCACTGAGCCTGGGCAGCTGTCATGGAGCCCTCCATCCCTGCCTGCTTAACCCAAACTAACTTCTGGGTGGAGGAGCTCCTGTCACTGATGGCACTCACCAGGGGGACAGCACCCTCGGGGCTGGCTCTGGCCATGTTTGTGCTTATGCTGTTGGCACGGCACCATGCCTGTAACCATGCCCTCCATGGGGAATACTGCCCAGCCGGGACCAGTATGTCTATGGACACAGCTGCCCAGCTGAAGCCCAGCCAGTGGTGCCACATGCCAGCCAAACTGGGCTGCTGGCCAGTGCTGGCACAGGGTGGTGGTGGGGCCATGGGGGCACCCCTGGGCAGCAGTGGGAGAGGACCAGGAGCTGCTTTCCCCTTCCAGTCTCATTTCTCTGGGGACCCTCCCATGGGGTCCCCAGCACAAGAAAGGGGATTGGGCACTGCTGGAGGCATCACTCCCAGCCCACTACACAGGGCCCAGGAATGGTGCTGGTTGGAGATGGCCCTGCCCCAGTAATAACTGGTGGGCTGGAAGAGAACTGCCCCATGGGGCTCTGGGAAGACCCTAGAGAGAGGCTGGGGCTGAGGGTCAGGGGCACCCCCCTGGCCACAGGGATGCCCCTTCCAGCCACCACCCGTGTCCCCAGGAACCGATTCTGCCCCTTGTTTTTGGGGTGTCTCCACCCTGTTTGGGGGATGTTGTTATCTGTTTCCTTGTAAATTTGATCTTTTTATTAAACCATTGAAAAGTTACAAAGGAGGAAAAAATATAGACTTATATATACAGCATTTCCAAGCCAGCAGGGACTGGCTCTTGGATGGGTATGCTGGGAGGCGATTGCCCCAGGGTGGCCCCCCCACCAGAGCCAGAGGAAGGGGGACCCCCAGAGAGGCCAGTCATCCAATGGGACCCAGCATTCGGGTGCCAGGCAGAGGGTGGGCAGCAGCAGGAGAGCAGGATGGGGAGAGCGAGGGGCAGGTGGTGGGGTCCCACCCTGGCACTGGGCACTGAGAGAAGGGGCTGCAGGCCAGCGGGGACGGGTACCCCCCCCCAGTACCAGGGCATGTGGTCCCCATGCAGGGAGACTGAGGAGGGGGACACAGCGCTGCCGGGATGGGCAGCAGGCAGCAGAGCAGCCTGTTCCTCCATGGGCACCTTCCTGGGGCAGGGTCCACTGTGGGCATGGGGGGCACAGACTGGGGTGGGCATCGGGGGTGTCCCTGGTACCTGCCGGCAGGGCTCAGTAGGGTGAGAACTTCTGCCGGTCGGCTTTCTTGGTGCCATTGGCAGCGGAGATCTTGGCTGTGTAGGTGGCAGTGCCGCCGTTGGGGCCCACCACAGAGGACGCGGACAGCGCCAGGAAGGACATGGGCTTGAGGCCGATGAAGTTGGAGAGGGAGACGGTGTAAGGGGTGCCCAGCAGGGCTGGGTGGGCAGGGGCAACGCTGGGCAGCGCCGCACCAGAGCCAGGGGCGAGGGGCTGGGTGAAGCTCACGCCGAGGTCCATGGAGCCAGGGCCTGGCGGCACCTGGGAGGTAGATTTGGCCGTCTCTAAGCTGGGGAACCAAAGGTGGTGATGAGCGGTGAGGACCACAGTGACCGAGCAGGTCCTTCACCCCAACCTGCCCATCTTAGGGTGCAGGGACTGCGTGCCCCATCCCTTCTGGCACAGGTCTTCAACCTGGGCATCCTGCTCAGGAGGGCTAAAAAGCTGATGCTCAAACCCTGTGGGATCTAGGGTCCTGCACCCAAAATCTCAGGCCCTCAAAGCACTGCCCAGCTCATCCCTCTGAGGATGCTGGGGGGCGCAGTGTCCCCCCAGAGCCGCACTGGGGTGCTGGGGAAGTGCACCTGGTACCTACCAGGTTGTGATGAGGTACTGAGCCAGGGTGATGCTGACGGGGGACCCTGTGATGGTGATGTGCCGCTCGCTGGAGCCCTCAGTTTGGTTCCCAATCTTGATGTGGGCGCCTGACATCTGACGGATCTCGCTGATCTTGCTGCCGTGTCGGCCAATGATGCAGCCGATGAGCTGGAGAGGCAGAGGCTGGGGTGAGCTGGGAGCAGCTGGAGGGGCCGTGCCAGCTCCCAGGGGCTCACTGGGAGTACTGGGGAAAGCGAGGCAGGCACTGGGAGGGCAGGGTGCTGCTTTCCTTGCTCTCACTCAGGGCCCTCCCTGGCTGGCATCACTGGGCTGACACATCCTTGGTGTTGCCCAAGCCCTTTCCCCCTTCCCGTGCCTTAGTTTCCCTTCCAGCTGCTTCTGCCCCTGGAGCCTTTCCTGAGCTCTGACAGGCAAGGCAGAGCCTCCCCCGTGGGGGCCAGTTCTGGCTGTGGGGTGGGACACATGGATGGGGACAAGCTGCGGTGACCGACACCATCCCAGAACATACACGTACGTCATTGGGTACGAGGAACTCCTGGGAGCTGCTCTGGGAGCTGGTATCCAGGCCTGGAGAAAGAGAGAGGGATGTCAGTGGATGATGGTGGGTGTCCAGCAGCTCTGTGCCCCTACCCCAGCCCCATGCTGGGACAGTCAATGTCCATGGGGACACACGTAGCTTGGTGCTGGTGCTCCCCCACGGCAGGGTTGGGGGTCTCTGATGGGTGCAGGAACCCAAGGAAATCAAGGACAGGCTCATTCAGGGGGCAGGTAACCATGCTGGGGGGCTGGGCCCAGGGAGGGTGCAGGGGATGGGGACCCCTCCATCACGGCCATGTGGGTGGGTGGGTCAGGAGGGGCACAGGAGATGCTCACCCGGCACCATGGGGGGTGCGTGGCCCAGGGAAGCAAAGGGAAACGAGTGCCCTGAGAGCTGCTGCAGCTTCGTCACCTGCGGGAGGCAGGAGGAAGAGGAAGGAGGGGTTATTCCCTGTGGACTCCTGGGGCACCTCCCAGGACGGGCACCCCTGGCAGGAACAGACCCGGTGCCCATGGGACCAGTGATGTGCTGCCACAGGGACAGGCTCACCTCTGCAGGAGAGACCCCGCTGTACTGGCCCTGCATGGGGAAGCTCTAGGGGGAAGGAAACAGGCGTCAGTAGGGGGGCCCTGCCTCAGGCCGCACCCCAAGCCCACTGGGGTTGCCCTGCTGGGCAGGAGCTGAGCCCCCATGCCACCTTGCAGCCCCTTACCTGGTTGGCAGACAGCAGGATGGTGCCCAAGGAGAGGCCAGGGTGGTAGGGGATGGTGGCCCCCTTTGGAGGCGACTGGAGAGGGAGGGAAGGAGGTGGAGGGGATGAGATGAGGTTGAACGTCTCCATTGCCCCACAGGCCCCCCCGAACCCCTTCTGCCACCCCCATGCCCGCAGCACCACTGAGGCAGCGTGCCCTATGGACTTCTGTGCAGAGGGGTGCCCGTGCCTGGGTGCAGGTGGGCAAGGGAAGCCCTGGCGAGGGGGGATCAGGGACCATGGCCCCCCTTGGCCGGTGCTCAGTGGGTACCTCCAGGATGACGGCGCAGATCTGCCTCACGCACTGGATGATGGTGTCCGGCACCCCCGAGATGGTGACGGCCCGTTCGGTGGAGTTGGGCAGCAGGTCAGCACCCACCTGCACCTGGGCCCCTGAGCTCTGGGGGGCAAAGGGAGACGCTGGGGTCCCTCAGCCATTCCACCCCCAGGGCTCAGCACCTCGCACCTCCCCTGCACCCCCATGGGCCCCCAGGGAGCTCTGCAGGACCCGCAGGGTGATGCTCACTCCTGCATCACCTCCCGCAGCCCCTGAGGGACCACAGCAGCCCCCGTTCCAAGGGCTCTGTGCTCCCTGGGGGGAAAGGGGAGCCCACACCCAGAGCAGCCGCAGCCTCACCTCCCGGATCTCCCGGATCTTGGCTCCTGCCTTGCCGATGAGTGAGCCACACTGGCTGGCGGGGATGACCAGGCGCAGCGTCACCGGTGCTCTGCCTGCCGCTGCCCCATCGCCCCCTGCTCCCAGGTCCTGGGAGGAAACGGGGATGCAGTGTTGGACCCCCAGGCGTGGGGGTACCCGGTGGGACTGTGGGGTCTGCCTACCTCCTTCAGCTTGAAGGCTATCATGGAAACGGCACGGAAGACAGCGTCGGTGGAGCCGGTGATGGTGGTGATGCGCTCAGGGCAGGACCCCTCCGAGATGGTGATGCGTGCGCTGCTCTGGGGACAGTGTCACACCCCATCAGCGATGGTGTGGACCCCCCACCCAAGGAAGGGCTCACCATGGGGGGGGAGTGGACCTGGGCTTTCCCCTTCCACCTGCAGCCTTCCTGGGAATGAAGCTGCATTTCCCCGGGTCCATCCAGGACTGGGGGCAGCGCTGGGCTAGTGGGAGCCATCAGGTGCGTGCAGGACAGGCATTAGGACCTGGCAGCCCCCCAGCATGCCCTTACCTGCTCTCGTATCCTCTTAACAGTCTCTCCTTTCTGCAGGGAGAGGAACGGGGCAGGGGGTCAGGTCCAGGGAAGCCCAGGGCTGGTGGTGCCCTGGACCCCAAATCTTACCTTGCCAATGATGCTGCCGATCTCCTGCAAAGGCAGAAATGAGGGTGGCCCCATCAGCAGGCAGCTCCCTGCCTGCCACATCCCTCCTCTGCCCATAAGGAAACAGGCAGGCCCTGCCCCATGATCGTGCCATGGGAATGGCCCCTCCCCAGTTTAGGACGTGGGGAGAAAGCAGGGTCTGGTGAGGAGCTGGTGCTCCAGCATGGTCCCGCACCCTGACCCCCCCGAGCAGAGCCCAGCTTCCCTGCTCTTACCTTGCCGTGCATGAGCATGCGGAGGGTCAGGGTGATGCTGAGCTCCGTCTCTTCGGGGCTGCCGCTCAGGCTGCTGGCTCTGTCCTGCGATGCCATGGCAGGAGGGCGAGCTGAGCCTGTGGGACACGGCAGCTCCAGCAAGGGGGAGGCCCCAGATACCCCTCCCCATAACCTGCAGCCTGGAAAGCACCCAAGGCTGGGAAGCAGGGAACTGAGGCAGAGCAGTGCTGTTCCCTCCTCTGGCAGGGGAGGCTTGCACAGCTCCAGGGTACCCCACTGGCACCCTGCACCCCTTCCAGGGGCTCCCCAAAAGGGACTCGCTGCAGTGTCTGCCTGAGCCTGCAGGGAGCTGTCTTCAGCATGAAGCCAGGAGCTGGATGGATAACGGCAGGGAAGGAGGATGCTGTGGGATGGGGTTCACTTTGCAAATGGGTAGTGGCACAGAGGGCAGGGGGAGCAGAGGTGGCCTGGGTCATCTCACAGGCCATGTGAGCCTTCCTCTTCCTCCTCCTCCTCCCTTCTCCTGTCCATGCCCAGGGGAAGCTGAGGCAACCTCCAGGATGGGGACCCCGAACCCAGCGCCCGAATGGAGTGATGCCATCACACGGTGCCGCTGCACCCTGTCCCCCCCCTGCCCCGAGCACCCCTCGGCTCCTGTGTGCTGTGCCCGGGGGTGGCCCCGGGGACAATCGCCGTGTGTCCGAGCAGGGTGGGCGGCTGCGGCCCCGCTGGCTCCCGGAGCGCCGGGCGATGCCAAGCAGCTCGGAAACAAAGCACCCGTGTTGGGGCTGGGGCCGGGGCCGGGGCCGGGGCCGGGCACGGCGGGGGGGTGGAGGGGAGGTTATTTTAGGTGCTGGCAGGACTCGCCGCTGCCACGGCACATCCCCTGCATCAGCGTGAGGGGGGCGAGGGGCAGGGTGCGCGCTCCACACCCCCGGGGTGCCCCGGTTTGCACCCCCCGGGGTGGTTTGGATGCTGCATCTTCATCCCTCTGTTACCGGCAGCTGAGGAACGGCTGGGGAAGGGGGATATTGCCGTTCCCGATGGAGGGGAGGATGAGATAGGGCGTGTTGGGGGGTGCACCCCCCTGGAATCTGCCTTCCCGCAGCCTTGGGTGGTGCCGGCAGGGGCGGGCAGGCTCCGGGGTCCCCCGAACCCCCGGGATGAACGGCAGCGGAGACAAAAGATCCTGCCGGAAAGAGAAGGATGAGGCTGGCGGTGGGGCAGGGGGGAGGCAGGAGGGCAATGGGTGCCCCTCACGGCCATACGCAATGTGGGGGCTCCGCGGGCAGGGGGGTGCTGTCCCCCAGGTGAGCCACGGCAGGGATGCCAAAGACCGCGGTGATGGGCGTAGGCCACCTGCCCCTGCTGGCGTCGGGACAGCCACAGGCTGGGCACCGCCCGCCCTATGGGGCACCTTCTGGTGGCAAAGGGAGGTGAGGGGTGGGAGGACACAGGGGGCAGACCCCAGCCCGTCCCAGGGGGATGCTCCCGGCCGCCCCCAGCCCCCGGGCCTGGCCGTGGGTACCTTTCCGCGCTGCTCGTCCCTCCGCCGCCGGCCACCCCGCTCAGTGCCACATCGTCCCCGGCGGCGCCCAGTGGCACCCGGGCCAGGAACAATGAGCCGCTTGACAGGCCAGGGCCAGGCTGGCAGCCCCGGCCCCCACCCCGGGCCACGCCGGGGCCCCCCTCGCTCTTCCCCTCTCCCACATCCCTCCCTCCGGGATCCTATTACAGCGGATAAGAGGCACTAAAAGGAACAATGCACCCTGGGTAAGGCCATCTGCCACCGCTGGGGACATTCCTGCCCCCGACGGCCCCCCCCTTTGGCTCACACATCACCCCTCTTTGTAATTGCGTGGTTTGTTTTTTTTCCTGGAAGCCGATCAGCTGGCAGGGATCGAGGGCTCAAGGACACCCGAGCGGGCAGGGACAGGGCCGCTGGCACCCCAGAGCCCGCCGGCACTGGGGTCTGTGCTTGGAGGGCTAGAAGCACCCCTGTATGGGAGGCTGAGCTCCCACAGGGAGCCGGATGGGGGGGGTAAGGGATGCTCCAGACAGAACTCCTCCCTGGACCAGCTCCTGCACCCTGGCACTGCCCTGTGCCCCCTCCCCGGCATCCTGCGCCCACAGACAAGTATTCCCCCCGCCCTGTTATCTCCCCTACTAAATCCTCCTGGGCCCTGGCGTAAGCAGCTAAAGCCCAGGCAGGCTTGGGGAAGGAGGGGCAAAGGGGGGCACCCCGCTGCAGGCTCCATCTGTGTCCCCAGCGCAGCAGCACCAAGGCAGGGGGTGGGCAGGGGGTTTGTCCCCCTGTCTGTCCTGATGGGTCTGTCAGGCCTCCCCACCCGCCCCTTCATCTGGTCACGGCAGACACTTACTCCATAAATCGCCCCCCCGCCTCCCTGGGGCGCTGGGCAGGAGCCTGAGGGGCTGGCGGCTCCCTTTTAAGCTCCTGTGGATTACAGCAGGGGGTGTGGGAGGAGAAAGGAGGATGAAGGGAAGGCTGGCAGGCTGGGGACATGGGTGCCACCACCCTGGGGGGCATTCCTGCTCCTGAACACAGCCCCTCTGAGAGCACCCTCTGAGGCTCCATGGGGTCCTGCCAGAAGCAATGGGTGGGCTCCAGCAGCCTCACAGCCAGCACTCACCCATAGGGAAACGCTCCCCAAACATCCTGTCCCTCAGTGGCCACACCTCCCCTGCTGTCACCCCTCCAATGTGGCTGTGGAGAAGGTGGGGATCAGGGGAGCAGGCAGGGAAAGTGGAAAGAAGCAGGAGGAAGGTGGCAGGAAAGTGGTGGCAGAGCTCAGGGCTTTATTTGGTCCCAAGGGAGGTGGTGGCACGGTGTGGACCCAGCATGGTGCGGCAGAGCTGGGTTGGCACACGGGTGTGTGAGCAAGGGGAGGGGTGGGAAGGCCGGTCACACCCCCCTGCCCCATGGGCCCCCCCATACAGCCCATCCTGCTCACTCCAGCTCCTGCAGGAAGGCCAGGAGCCCGCGGTGCCACTCATCGGGCTTGTCCAGGTAGCAGGGGTGCCCGGCGCCCTGCAGCATCAGCACCCGGTGCTCAGGGAGGTGCTGCAGGTTGTTCAGGCTGGTCTGCCCCAGCTCCACGTCCTGGTCCCCATAAACGATCAGCGTGGGGGTCTGCAGAAGGGGAACACAGCCTGAGCTGCAGAAGGGGAACACATCCAAGCACCTGCTCCTCTGGATAGGGACACCCTGGTGCAGGAAATGGAGGGGAGACACTTGCCTTCTCCCCCACCCACCATGACAAACTAAGGCTTAGACTCCTGGGTCTCCTAATGCCCTTCTTTCCCTTCTGGCTACCCATGGTCACACTCCTTTTCCAGTGGCAGAGCCCAGTTTGGTCTTTCTCCTGCCTATTCTGGTGGCCAGGTCTCTTCCCCATCACTCCCCATCCCCACCCTCCCTCAATGTCCTTCCAGTCCATACTTTGATTTGGGCGTATTGCTCCGCAGTGAATTTCTCGGTGCAGATGGGTGCCACAGGCACGTATGCCTTGAGCAGGTGGTTGTGCTGGAAGAGGAAGGGCAGGGAGTACATGCCGCTGAGCGATGGGCTGATCACCACAGCTGGACCAAGGCACAGAGCCTCCGAAACGGCTCTCAGGAAAGCCCCGGGCGCCGGCTGGCCCACGGGTGCTGGGGCTGTAGCATCCTTCGAGCGGCCCAGCCCTGAGCCATGGGAGACAGAAGTTGCTCTGTCACTGTCCCAGCCGCCTAGTGACCGGGAGAAGCCAGCACAGCGGGATGCCGGGGGTGCCACCCTGGCACCACAAACCCGAGCAGCTCTGTCTGCTCCCCCTGGCTCCAGCCTGCGCTCACCACCGCGCCTCACCCGGCAGGTCGATAGCCACGGCTCGGTAGCCGTTCTCGGCCAGCGTGGCAAGCGTCCGCAGCTGAAGCCAGGTGTCGGAGGAGAAGCGGATGCCGTGCAGCAGCAGCACCGGCAGCTTCGGAGCCTGCTGGGCTGGCTCAGCTTGGCGGTAGAAGAGGGTTTGGCCTTCCACTGTTACGGTGCTCTCGGTGAGCCGCGGGGCTTCCATGCTTGGGGTCGGGAGGGCTGATGGGGGGGTGAGGAGTGAACACCCACAGCCGCAAGGAGGAGTGACGGGCCTCGTCCCGGGGTCGAGGACAGCGGTTGTGGGAAGGCAAGGGCTGTGGCGCTGGCACTGGGACCGGGGCTTACCCTGGCATCACCCTCTTTCCGGGGGACCCCGACGGGGTCCAGCACCGGGGTGCGTGCGTGGGGCTGCTCGTTCACCGGCCCGGGCCCGGCCCCTGCCGCAGTTTCCCGGCCCCGCGCGGGGCCGGCGGCCCTTACCTGCTCCTCTGCTCCCAGTGCCGGCCGCTGCTCGCCTCCCGCTCCCCGCAGCGCTCCGGAGCTGCGGGTGCCGCGCCCCAGGTCCAAAGGGCGGTGGAGCGGAGGCGGGGGGGAGCAGCGGCCCCGTTCCACCGAGCCCCACCGAGTTCGGGTCGAGCCGAAACGAACCGGAACCGAAGTACGTCGAGCCCTAGCCGAGCTCTGGCCGAGTCGAGCCGAGTGCAGCCGAGAGCCCTACCCGAGCTCTGCCGAGCTTTGCCGAGCCCTAGCCAAGCTAGCCGAACTCTGCCGAGCACCGCCGAGCCGTTGCCGAACCGACCCGAGCGCTGCCCGAGCACCGCCGAGCCCCATCAAGCCGGAGCTCCTCTCCCGGCGCCAGCCGTTCTCCCCCGAGCCCTGGCACCGTGCGGCGGGCACGGCCCCGGCTGACAGCCCTCGGGGCCTGCAGCGCTGCGGCCTCCCGCCAGGCGGAGCCTGGGGCAGCGGCCTCGGCGCCGTGAGGGCCGAGCCGGGGGAGCCGCATCGGCGGGGGCCAGGGGCAGCTCAGGAGGCCGGGGCCTGTCCCCCGCAGCAGTGAGGTTTGGGGCTCCAGGTCCCCGGCTGCCGCTTTTCTTCTCCAGATGCCGCTCACCCGCAGCCGCCTGGGGCTCCTGCTCCTCGGGGTGCTCTTCACCTTCCTCCTCTACCTCCTGCTCCCGGCCGCCCCGAACGGGCAGGGCTCGGCTGGTACCCGGGCTGACAAGGCGACGCGGGACTGGCCGGTGGCCAGCGCCATTGCACGGACGGGGATGGCTGCGGGAGAGCCCCCTGTCTTCTACAGGGAGGTTTCTGCAGGGCCCCAGGGCAGCGGCACTGCCGGCCCCGGGAGGTGGGTCAGCCCGGCGGCTCCGGTGCCACTGCTGGGGGAAGGTGGGGAGTGACAGGCCCTGGGATCCATCTACAGGAGCCCTCATGGCTGCTGGGCCTGCAGGCATGGCATCCTCCCTGACCCCCTTCCTGCCTGTCTTCCCCACTGTAGGCCCGATGTCCTGTTCCTGCATGGCCAGGCGTTCACCTCCAAGACGTGGGAAGCCTTGGGCACACTGGCACTGCTCGCTGGAGAAGGCTACCGTGCGGTCGCGATAGATCTGCCTGGTAGGACCATGGCACTGCACTCAAGTTGATCCCTCTGGACAGCTCCAGTCCCTCACCTCAGCCCCTGCTGGGCTCTGGACCCCTTCATGCTAGCGGTGGTCCCTGGGGCAGTGTGCTGGGGCATTGGCCTCTGTGGCCACCTTTGGGTGGGCTTGCCTCAGGCTGGCTGCAATGTGGCTGTGGCTGTAGAACCACTGTAGCTTGATCGGGTGCCCATTTCTTGCCAGCCAGCTGAGCCTTGGGGGAAGAGACCATTGCAGGCTGCACAGTCCTCCCACCCCATTCTCTCTGCCCCATGCCAGGCTATGGGGATTCACCTCCCACAGAGACAGTGGCTACGGTGCAGGGCCGGGTGGCTTTCCTGGACCACGTCCTCCGGGAGCTGGGCATGCAGAGGCCTGTTCTCGTCAGCCCCTCCATGAGTGGCCGCTTTGTCCTCCCCTTCCTCCTGGCACATGGGGACCAGCTGGCTGGATTCGTGCCCATTGCGCCCGTGGGCACCCAGGACTACACTGCTGAGCAGTACCGGCGGGTCCAGGTGAGGGGGGTTATTGGGCTGCTGGGGGGTCCCTGTATCCTGGCAAGCTTTGTGGACCAGCTGGCCCTGTTTTGGGGTGAGTGAGGGGGACCTCTGCCCATCCAGCTCATGGGGGAGCTAGCTACTGCACCAATGGCTTTGTAGCCCCATATGGTGACAAGATGGAAGTGGGCACAGCCCAGGGGAAGCTTGGTGGCCTCTCACAACCTCCCTGGTTTTCTCTCTCCCCATACCAAGACACCCACCCTGATCGTGTATGGAGACCGTGACATAAGGCTGGGTTCCCAGTCCCTGCAGAGCCTGCGGCACCTCCCTGGGCACCGTGTGGCCGTGGTGCCCGATGCTGGCCATGCCTGCTACCTGGACAAGCCGCAGGATTTCCACCGGGCCCTGCTGGGCTTCCTGCGCCAGGTGAAGTAAGCACTGCCTCATTCCCTGCCGAGGGGAGGACTGGGACGCACGGGGGGAGTCTGTTCTCTTTTGGGGTGTCCCCAGGGGACAACGACTGCGAGTTTCTCTTGCTGGCAGGACGGGGTATCCCCTGCCAGGAGGCCAATAAACTGATGCTGCTCTGGTTCCTGCGTGTGTCTCCAAGCGCCGAGGGGCTCCAGCCCCATCTCTCTCCCCGCAGCGTGGGACAGCGCGGTCCCCCTGCCTTGCCCCTGCCTTCAGCTCATCGGTGGCCCCGCTCCTCCCCTGCCCGCCTCCTGCCCGCCTCCTGCCCGCTGCCGGTCGCGGGGCGGAGCGGAGCGGAGCGGGACCGAGCTGGCGGAGCGGGGCCAGGCCGGGCCGGGCCGGCGGCAGCAGCGCGGAGGTAGGGCCGGGGAGGGCGGGTGTCCGGAGAGCGGGGTCGAGGCAGCAGCCCCCGGGGGCCCTCCCCGTGCCTCCGTTTCCCCCTGAACAGGAGCCCCTTGCCCCGGTACCCCGCACCCCCCCGCACCTCCGTGCACCCTTACGGACGGTATCCCGCCCCCTCCTCATCACGGTACTCTCCACCCTCCTGTATCCCTTAACCACGGTACCCCACCACCCCCCCGTACACCCTCTTACCCTCAACCATGGTATCGTGCATCCCCTGCACTCCCAGCCACAGGATCCAGCACCCCTCTGCCCTCTCACTTATGCTGCTCCTGCACCCCAATAATGCAACTGCTGCATCCCAACCCGTGCAGTCCTTGAACCCCTAACCACAGTACCTTGCATACCCCTGTACCCCTAACTGTGGTGTGCTGCTGCCCCCTCCCCTATTCACCCCGTTAACCACAGCATGCCTGCACCTCTACCCATGGTACCCCACACTCCCATAACTCTAACCATGGTGTCCCTGTGTCTCTTCACACTCTGATCCCCTGCACCCCTACTCCCATACTTCCCCCGTGTTCCCCTAAGCACCCCCCATCCTCCTGCTCCTCTGGCTGCCCAGCACCCTTCAAACCCCCAATAGCCTGTCACTCTCGTGTACTCCTGTGGCCCACAGCCCCTCTGTCCTCTGTAAGCACCTGGTTCCCCTTCACCACCCCATTTCCCTGCATCTTTCCTTGCACCTCTCCCGCACTCCCTAAGCATGCAGTGTCCCTCTTCCATTGCCTGGCACTGCCCTGGCACTGTGTTTGAGGCAGGAACATGTGCTCTGGGGGGAGAATGAAAGGACACATTGGGGGCATCCTGCCTCCATACCCAACTAGGGGGATGTTTCTCCCACGGAGATGGTGTTCCAGTACTTGTACTGGGGAGACCTTTGTCCTCTCCCACTCCGGTTTCTGTGACGACGGAGCCTGCTGCGGACTTTGGTGGGTGATTAACCATCTTGCGGCTCTTCCCCAGAGCCCTGCAGCCTTTGTCCCTGCCATGGCACCTGGAAAGCCTGGGAAGAGTGCAGGGGCCTCAGAGGACCCCTCGGTTACACTTTTCCGGGAGTACCTGAGGATCGACACTGTGCACCCCAAACCTGACTATGGTGAGGGGGGGGGGCATGGGGGGAGCTGTGTTGGGATCTGGCAGTGTGACTTGATGGCTCTGGTCTTTGGACCCAGGTGTCTAAATCCTGTGCCAGGCCTGTTTTGGTTGTGGTGTTAAGGAGCAAACGCTTTTGCACCTTATCTCCGCTGGCAGCTTTGGTTAGGGCAGGGTTGTCTTGGGTGCTCTCAGAGCTGCTGTTCACCTCCTCCAGCCCCATGCCCCGGGGTCCCCCTTTTCCATGCTGTGGGCAGCAACGCCCTGCTGATGTCCTTCTGTTAGCATTCCTATCCTTCCATGTGCTGAGGTGCATCAAGATTGTTTTATTGGTGAGGAGCTCCCAAACTCCTATGGAAGTCATCCCCCTGACTCACCCCCATTAGCATGTTCCCCTAATCTTCACCCAAAGGGATGATGATGAAACACTCCTGTCCCTGCTCCTGGTCACCTTCTGTGCCCAGGACCTCCATCACCTGCCCTCTCTGGTCACCTTTTTCCTTGGCCTTGGAACCCCAGCGAGCCTTGAGGTCCCTAGAGGGTCCAGTGGGAGGGGAGGGAAATCCCAGTGTCATTCCAGGCATCCCCGCTCCTCCCTAGATGCTGCTGTCCGGTTCCTGGAGCACGTCGGCACTGACTTGGGCTTGGCCTGCCAGAAAGTGGAGGTGAGACAAGGAGCAGCCCCTAGGCTGTCCCTCTGTCCCTTCGTGCATCTCTCCATCATCTGCCTTTGCCCAGAATCCTAGTGTCCAGGCTGTTCCTGCATGCTGCCCCGAGCTCAGCGGGACTGAGTCGCCTCTGCCCCTAATCCTGAGCTGACCTGAGCCCTTCCTTAAGCCCGTATTCGCCTGGTCCCTGCTGACCTCTGCAGCTGCCTGTGCTATCATTAGCCAGGAACCTGGCAGGGTCATGTTGGCTGCAGTGCACTTCTTGCTGGGCACTGAGTGACCCAGGGAGCTCCTTGGCTCTGGGAGAAGGCTCTGGTTTGTCTCCTTTCCTCTGTGAACGACAGCCAGGTCTTGTGCCTGATGCTGGGCTTGGGGTGGATGGGATGGGGTGGATGGGATGGGGTGTGCAGGCATGCCTGCGCCTGCTGCCTGCCCTATCCCAGCAGAGAAAGGGCTGACCTGCCAGGGGGCATCAAGAAACACTTCTCAGGATGTTGCTTTCCAGCTCCTCTATCCCCAGCCTGGACCCCATTGACATCCTGTGCTCGCCCCACAGGTGTGCCCGGGCCATGTGGTGCTGGTCCTGACCTGGCAGGGCACGAACCCCCGCCTGCGCTCCGTCCTCCTCAACTCACACACTGACGTTGTGCCTGTCTTCGAGGTGCTGGGACAAGGGGGGGCGTGGGGGGGGCGTGGGGGGGGGATTGGGGTGTAGGAGAACGGGAGCTGGGGCCCACTGTGTCCCTCTGCCATCGTGGCTGCTCTTCCCCCCAGGAACACTGGACCTACCCACCCTTTGAGGCTATTAAGGATTCTCAAGGCAACATCTATGCCCGTGGTGCCCAGGACATGAAGTGTGTCTCCATCCAGTGAGTGGAAGGCTCTGTGCCCACCGGGTGGCCATGGTGGTGGGGGTGCCTCTGATAGGTGCAGGACAGGATGCCACCATCCCCACGGCCCCTCGGGGACTGAGGACCATCCTCATTGGTCCTTAGTAGGGGCTGAGGGTGCCACTGCTTTATCCCCCCGGGGTTGCTCTGAGCACACCAGCCCCTCTCTTGAATGGCACCACCTTCACCCTGCAGGTACCTCGAGGCCATCCGGAGGTTGAAGGCAGAGGGAAAGTGTTTTGCCCGCACCATCCACCTCACCTTTGTGCCTGGTGAGTTTCCAGGGGGCCCCTCTTAGGGGATAGAAGGGGCTGGCAGCTGGGTGATGCTCTGGGGTTCCCTGCCAGCCTCTCCTCGCTCAGGGCTGGAGGAGCTTCCATATCCAAGGACATCGGGTGCACTGGTGGCACCCAGGCTGATGGGGAAGGAGGACTGGGGAGGGGGGTGGGCCAGGGGACACCCCGGTTCTTTCCTCCATGCCAGGCTCTCCCCTGCAGATGAGGAGGTGGGGGGACACAAGGGCATGGAGATGTTCGTGCAGCGCCCGGAGTTCAAAGCACTCAACGTGGGCTTCGCCCTGGATGAGGGTGAGTGCTGGTAGGGCTGGCATAGGGACGCGTCTCCTCTTGGCACACACCCCTCTGCCTCTTGTCATCACCCCTTGGGCACTGACACCCGGCACGGCTTCGGGGACCCCCTTGGGGTCTCCTTCCCCAGCAGTGACCCACACGGTGCCAGCCTGGAGGGGAAATGCTGCCAGGGCAGAGCGAGCAGAGGGGGTTACATCACGGCACTTCTGCCCCACTGACCCCCTGTCTGTGCCCACCACAGGCCTGGCCAGCCCCTCTGACACCTTCAGTGTCTTCTATGGCGAGAAGAGCCCATGGTGTGAGTAACTGCATGCTCACTGCCCCATCCTGGGTGCTGAGACCCTGGTGCCACCCCGGCTTTCTGCTCAATGCCTTCTCCCCACACTGCTGCAGGGATAAAGGTGAAGTGCATGGGCAGCCCCGGGCACGGATCCCGCTTCATCAGCAACACAGCAGCTGAGAAGCTGGTAAGAGATGGGGTACAGGCTGTGCACTCCCCTGCCTGCCCTGGGAGCGGTCCTCACCTCCTGCCCTTCCCTCCCCAGCACAAAGTCATCAGCTCCTTCCTGGCCTTCAGGGAGAGTGAGAAGCAGAGGTAGGAGACAGGCACTGGGATGGCTGTGGTTTCAGTTTGGTCCATGGAGGGGGTCCTTGGGTTCCCAAGCCAGGCTCTGACGTGGCGTGACCGCTCTGTGCCTCGGTTTCCCTGTTTGGGGCTGGCAGCGGGGTCGGGGAGCGCTTCTCCTCCTCCTCAGGTGGCCGAGGGTGACTCTCCCTTGCATCCCTCGAGGCTCAAGTCCGACTCAAGCCTGACCCTAGGGGACGTCACCTCCCTCAACCTGACCATGCTGGAGGGGGGCGTCTCCTTCAACGTGGTGCCCTCTGAGATGGCGGCCGGCTTCGACATCCGCATCCCACCCACTGTGGACCTGAAGGTGGGCCCCGTGCCGGTCCCGCTGCCTGGGAGCGGGTTGGGGGTACCCTGCTCACACCCCTCCTCTGGTGTCTGCCGCAGGCCTTTGAGAAGCAGGTAGCTGCGTGGTGCCGGGATGCTGGCGATGGTGTCACCTATGAGTTTCTCCAGGTGAGGGGGTCTCAGCCACCTGGGTGCATCGTGCCCATCCCTTCCCTGCCACGTGCCCACCCTCTGCCCATCACCTGCCCTATCCCCCCAGAAATGCATGGACCAACACATCACCTCCACTGAGGAATCGAACCCATGGTGGAAAGCCTTCAGTGGAGTCTGCAGGGACATGTGAGTAGTGCCCCCAGCAGGGACAGGACCCTGATGGGCACATCCTCTGGTGGCCGCCAGGTGGTCCGCAAGGGTCTCTGGGGTCATGGCAGGGATGGGGAGGGTGTGCTCTGTGCTGTGCCAAGGCATCTCCCTTGGGATGGGGATGGGACTGAGTTTACTGGAGGGTATGACCTTCCTGGCACGGTGTCTTTGCCCATGGGGTGGCAGGGGGACAGGAGACCTGGCTGCCCCTGTGCCCATGCTGACCCAGGGTCTCGCTTGCCAGGAAGCTGCAGCTCAAGCTCGAGATCTTCCCAGCTGCCACTGACAGCCGCTACATCCGAGCGGTGAGTGCGATGCCAGCCCCGCCATGGGCTCCACACCAGGGTGAGGCCTGCAGCTCCAGGTCTCACCCTCTACTCCCATCCCCAGGCAGGACACCCTGCTATCGGCTTCTCGCCCATGAACCGCACCCCAGTGCTGCTCCATGACCACAATGAGTTCCTCAACGAGCAGGTCTTCCTGCGGGGCATTGAGATCTACGCCCGCCTCCTGCCCGCCCTGGCATCGGTGCCCCCGCTGCCCTCCGAGGCCTGAGCACCCTGGCAAGGGGTGGGATGGGGGGATGTCAGCAGTGGGACACAGGGCTTTAAGAGGGGGCATGGCATGGGCCCAGCAGATGCCTGCCAGCATGGCATCATGCTGCACGGCTGTGCTCAGTGGTGATGCCTGTGCCGAGCATCCTGGCTGTGTCCTCAAAATCCAGGTCCCAGCCTCCCTCCTGGCGGTTGTGCTCCCCTTGCCCAGGGGCCATTAGGACCTTGTGCCCAGTGCCTCCTGCCTTTCCTGGTCTCAGCGATGCCATCTTGTCCCTGTGCCACCTCTGCCTGCGCTGGCTCTGGGGTAAGGGGCTGGCCAATGCCTGGCTCTGCCTGCCCGTGCCTTGTCCTGCTCCCTGCCCTCTTATCAGGGGAGCTGGGGCCAGTGCTGCTCATCAAGCCAATAAATCTTGGTAAGCACAGCCAGGGGCTGTGTGTGTCTGTCTGTTCACAGCATTGCCTGTGGGGTCTCAAGGAGCCCAGGCACAGCGGATTTCCAATGGGGTCTGCTGGGTGCTTCACCTCCCCTGGGATCACTGGGCTGTGGGATGGGGTTGCAGGCAGGATCCTGCCTGGGCAGGCTGCGGGGCTGCCTCAGGGTACTGGGGAATGCAGGAGCGGCTGGTGGTGCTGGGTTCATCCTGCTCCTTCCCTCCCATTAGCTCCTGCTGCTGTGCTGCTCCCCCAGACCCTCAGGCCTGGGCAGGCCGTGTGCGGGTACGGGCAGGAAGCCTGCGCTCATCTGCCTGAACTGCTGCAAGCTGCCTCTCCTCCTTGCACTTTCCCAGCTCTACATGGTTCCAGCACTGAGAGGTGCTGGATCTGTCCTGGAGCCACGCTGCTCCCCAGGAAAACCAGGGCAATGGCCGGCCCAGAGCTTGCTGAGCTGATCTGAGGTGCTTTTACCCTGGGTTGCAGTTACTCCATTACAAAAGTGGGAGTGTTGTGTGTGCTGTGGGGTCCTGCTTGCTGGCTGGATCCCCACTCAGGGTGCAGATGAGCACCCTTGCAGGCAGACAGCAGTGCATCCTTGCTGCTCTGGGAGTGCACCAAAACTGCATGTGGTACCCCGTGCCCCCCACAATCTGTGCAGCCCCCTCCCAACCAGCCTGGTGTCTCCAGCTTGCCTGGCCTCTGAAGAGGCATCCGAGAGCTAATGTTTGGAGGTCACCCCATGCTCAGCATCCTTCTAGGGGGACCCGTGTGTGTGCCCTCCCCTGCTGCTTCAGAGGGCAAGGCTGGGGACCCTAGCTCCTGCCGCCCCCCTTGCTCCTGATCCTCGGGATGAGCCAGAGGCGCTGGTGGGGTTACTTTGGAAGGGGGGTGCGCAGCAAAGCGTAGACTGCCGGTGGCGGGGGATGATTTGTGGGTGCGCAGAGCTCTCACAGACCCCATAGCGAGAGCGGAGGTTCGGGGCGTTGTGGCCGTCGCCGGGGGCCGGGGCCGGGCCGGGGCGGGTCGGGGCGGGCCATGGGCGGTCGGATGTCGGCCCCATAAATGCTGGGTGCCAGCATCAGGCACGGGAGCTCCGGCGGGATGCGGGCGGCGGTGCCGGTGTCGGTGCCGGTGTGCGTGTGCTGGCTGGGGGCTGTGCTGCTGGCGGCGGAGCGCAGCCCGCCCCGGCTCCGCCTGCCCTACCGCGGTGAGTCGGAGCGGGGGCACCTGCAGCGGGCATAGGGGGGGCCTCAATACCCCCTCCACGGGGGCCGGGAGGGGCCTTGGGGGGGCCTCAGCTGCGCCCGAAGTGCGGGCTTGGGGGGCACCTTGCGCTGGGGGCTCGGTGCGTGGCTGCTCTGCCCTTCACCACGCGGGATGTGCGGGGAGTCCCGAGGAGGAGGAAGGAGGGAGCCGGTGATGGGAGGAGGGGATGCGCCGCTTCCCACGAGGGACCGTGAGGGACCGTGTCCCTCGTGGAGGGGAATGGGGGGGGGAAACTGAGGCCCGGCTCTGCCGCAGCACCGGGGTCCGGGTTGAGGCTCGGGTGGGTGCTCCCCAGCGTGGGCATCCCCGTGCGTGCTCCACGTCCTGCCCGCGGGTGCTGCCCGGCGGACGGGCCCCCTTGGTGCTGTTGGACCCTGGGAGCCACCCCTGTGGGTCCGTGGGGGCTGGGGCGCAGCACGGGAATGCTTGGTTTTAATTCCAGCTCTCCCTGTATCCTGCTCTGGCTTGCTGCATCCCCAGCTCTGCCAGCTGAATCCACAGGCTGCTTCCAGCCAAACCTGACAGAGGAGTCTGCAGCGCTCCCATCTCCTTCTTGCCTGAAAGCAATGAACCTGCTCTAAAAAAGAAATTCAATAGAATAAATGGCATAATGCATGTTTTCCCAAGGAGGGGAAACGCCTGGGATAGCCCAGCTCTCGGAGAGCCCTGGAGCTGCAGAGCACATCCCTGTGCTGGGGAGAAGCTGTTCTCCATCCTTGTACTGCCCGGGCTGGGGGTCTCCTGCCCTGGGGCAGGGGCTGGCTGCATCCCTGCCTCTGTCCTGAGGCACAGCAGGAAACCCCAGGGGCTCCCTCCCTGCTGAAAGGCACGCAGTGAACCAGCTTACCCCGGGAGGCAGCAGGCGCCCAGGGTGGCTCCTGGCTCTGCCCCATGGTGGCAACGGCAGGGTGGGAGGTCGGGGGTCCCAGCAGAGCTTGATGTAGGGCTCAGGGTCTGCCTGGGTGTCTGATCCGCTCCAGCACAAAGTCCATCCGTGCCATTCAGGTGCGAGGGGCTCCTGGGGCTTTGCAGCCTCCCGCGGGGAGCAAATAACCTTCTGAAGCTGTTTGTATTTCCTTCTTAAGCTGATTGTTCTGTTCCTCTTCCAAACTGGAAACAGAAACTGAGATTTCCCATGAAGCAAACTCTGCCACCGCCTTCTCCCTGGGGGGCAGGAAAAGAAAAACCCAATTAAAGCCATTGGAAGCCTCTGAAATGAAACCCGGGGTGAAGTGAAGCTGCTTGTGCCTGGCTGTGGCTCTGACAGCTGGGTGTTGACTGGGGGGGGATAGGGGAAGGTCTTGTGCTGTGGGTGCAGCGCATCCCCAGCTCTCCCTCTCACTTGGAGCCACTCTTCCTTTTGCTTTGACTTTCTGCAGTTGCTTAAGAGGGAAAGGAGCGGTTTGCTGTTGTGGGACTGGGGGCACTGCAGCACAGCCCAGTGCCCTTCTAGCTTCCCGCTGTCCCCCCCAAGGGACACCCCCCTATAGGACCCCCACCCTGGGGTAAAGGGGTTGGATGGTGCATGGAAGGGTGCTGCTCCCTGGGGAGGTGAAGCCAGGGAAGGGAAAGGGCCCGGAGCCGGTGTAACCGAGGCACCAGGAGGAATTTGCCGGGGCTGGGGGAGAAGGGGAAGCCTCGCCTGAAACAATACAAGGAGCCCGCTGACTTTGCCCGTGTTATTCGGAGCTGGGAAAGTGTTCTTGCTGGGCAAGAATAGGAGACGACAGCGTTGTCCCGGGCTGGGCCGGGTGATATGGGAGGACCGGAGGCGCTGGGAGGGCACAGGGAAGAGGGTGCCCTCCCCGGGGAGATGGGGTAGAGGGGCCCCTGGTGCCAGCTCCGCTTGCAGGCATAGGGATCTTCCCAGTGAGTTGCTGTGGCTGTGATGCCACCAGCATCACCAGTTAGGGCACTGGGACTGCCCTCGCGTGACGTGATGCGGTGGGAGCTGTGTGTGATGGGGTGGCAGTGGCTGTTGTCCCGCAGGTCCCAGCAGAAGCGTTTCCCCCCAGCTGGGGCATTGCATCGCTGGCCACCTCCTCACTGGAAGCGATAAATGTCCCTCCAGCAAGAGCAGGGCTTGGGACCCCCCTCTCATGGGGACATGTGCGGGGCTTGCCCAGGCTGGGGGTTTCCCTGGGGTCAGCAGTGGCAGCGTTCCTCAGAGAGGGTGTTTGGGGACACAGCTGCGCTCATCAATGGCGCTTTGTCCTCTTCCTCCTCCCCAGCCACTGGGCTTCAGAGCCGGGTGAAGCTGAGCCGCTGCCTCTCGCCCTCTGTCTCTGCAGCAGCCGGGTGGGCGCCACCGTGGCGGGGTTTCAGCTCGCTGACCCTACAAGTCAGTTCCCACCAGGACCCAGTCTGGCCACTGCCCCCGCGGCAGCATCACTGCGAGGGTGCTCTTGGCATCTGACAGGACTCAGGACTGGACCTGCCTTGGGAGCTGTCAGGCCCTGTTGTTATGGAATGTGATGCCCACCCCAGGGACACAGTGGCCCCGTGCCGGTCCAGCCTCTCCCCAAGTGCTGTCCCCGTGCCATGGCATGGAGGAAACCAGTGAGGTCTGGTGGTGCCACCGAGGTCTGGCGGTGCCGGTGGTGGGCTTTGTGTGCCGGTTTCCCCATGGCACTGGCTGGGTGCCTGCTATTGTGTCCCTGCCTGGCACCTGGTGGGGGCAGTTCCTGCTTTGTGCCCACCCTGTGCCTGCTCTTGCCACCCTGCCGGGTGAGCCCAGCCTGGAGCTGTCAGCATGGCACAGCCGTTGCCAGGCTCTCACACACCTCACTCGCTGTGGCACAGACGTGGTGGAAGCCTGGGGTGGCTCAGCCAAAGCTTGCTGGGCAAGGTGAGGGGGGATGGAGGTGAATGATGCTCTCGCAGCAGTGGGAGCAGCTCTTCTGCCCTTAGAACTCGCAGCTCAAAGGGACCCTCCTGTCTGTGCCCATCACAGCCCTCCAGTTACCCCTTCTAAAGGCAAGGAGCCCTTGGTGTGGCCACCAGGGTGGGGGTCTAAGTGTTCTCTTGTGTTTCCCAAGAGGGTTTGAAGGGTGTTAGGGGGGCTGATGCTTCCCTCCCTCTCTGGCAGACCTTTTGGGCACCAACCGCTCCATCCTCTTCTTCGGCCACCGTGGCTTCCTGGGCTTCCGCTCCCTCTACCTGGATGAGTACCACGACCGGCTCTTCATTGGGGGGAAGGATGTGCTCTACTCCCTGCTCCTGGACAGGGCCAACACAGACGCTAAGGAGGTGAGCTGGGTCCTGCTGAGCACCCCGGGGGCTCCATCCCTGCCCTGGCCCCTCTGAGTGAATGGTGCCCAACCAAGCCACTTGAAGTCACCTTGAAACAAGAGCTGCCCTGGGGATGTCTGCACCTCAACCATGCTGAAATACATCAGGAGGTTTGCACACTGCTGGTGCAGCCCCACTGGTGGTTCCTGGGTGCTGGGCTGGGTCTTGGACCCCACTCTCCTACAAAGCTACCATTGGGAGAGCAAGATGCCTGTCCCCATCTGGGCATCCCTTCACAGGGCAAATATACAGCTAAAAGCCTGCAGAGACAATTATAGCATCCCTCATAGCAACAAGCTATGGCAGGGCTCAGCTGGCAAAGCTCCTGGCTGGGAGAGGTGATGGACCAGAGTGGACGATGCTGCTGGTGGGTCCCCTCCTCCTTCACACTCTCCACTTTGACTTTGCTTTTTAAACATGGATCTGGGCTGTTTCCAGCCAAAGAAAGTGGAGAAGGAAATGAAGTGCCCCTTGGTGTGCTGGGTCACTGCAATGGGGTCAAGGGCTTGTGTACTCAAGCTGCCCTTGGTTGAGAGCAGCCTAAGGCTGTGGGGGATTTGGGGTCCGTCACTCCCTGCTGTCACACAGAACCCCTTCCCAGGCCACCCGCAAGGCAACCCTCTTGCAGGCCACCTCCAACCGTTCCCTGCGTGACCAACTGAATCCAGCTGTGGATGTGACCATGGGGGGGCATCACCCCTGGGCTGCAGGGTGGGCGCTGGGGAGCTCTTGGTCCCTTGCACTGTCCCCTCTCCTTGCTCCAACATCTCCTTTGTGTTCCAGATCTACTGGCCCCCGCTCCCTGGGCAGACAGAGGAGTGCTTTCGGAAGGGGAAGGACCCAGGGGTGAGTCTTGCTCCATGTGTGCTCTTCCCTTGTCCCTTGTGTGGCTGAGCAAGGGACCATCCCTGGGTGAGGGAAACCGAGGCAAGGAGTCAGCAACCGAGCCTGGCCATGTGAAACCAGTAAATCCCACCTCCAGGGCTCTGCTCAGCCTCATGGATGCAGAGTGGTGGCCAGTGTGCCCCAGACGTGGCTGCGCTGAGCAGGGACAGCCGGGGTCCTAGACCTGAGCTCAGAGGGAGCAGAAGCCCTGAGCCGTGCTCCAGGCCCCAGTGATGTGGTCTCCAGCAGTGGGAAATGTGTAACTCACTCCGGTTCAGTTCCTCGCTCCCCAAACCTCACCCCTCTGCATCCCCCCTGCCCCGATCTGAGGCAGGACGATGGTGGGGACAAACCCCCCGGCTCCCCCTGCCCAGACTCATTGCTCCCGTCCCACTCTGTGTGTTTGTTCTCCAAGCTCTCACCGACAGATCCCTCGAGCCTTTATTTTTCTTGAACATATATGGGTTTTTTCACTTGCTATTTTAGAGGCTCTTTTCGAAGGGAAAACAAACAGTGGGGAGGCTGGGAACCCCTGGGGCGGCTCGGTGGCTCTGTTCCCAGCAGACAAGGGGCCTCACATCCCACCAGGGGGGCAATGGGGGCAGCTGGTGATGCTCAGGGAGAGAGGGAAGGGAGCCCTTTTCCAGTGGGAAGTGCCAGGAGGGAGTGCGCAAGGTCAGAGGTGCACGTCTGCACCCCCAGGGATGTCAGTGCTACCAGCCCCTGGTAGCAGGGGACAGTCCCAGAGCAGACAAGGATGCCTGTAGGTATCCGTCTCCGTCTGCCGTGTTTCCTCCTTTTGTTTCATCCCTGCGTAAGCAGGAATGGGACATGAAGGACATCCCTGCATCTGGGCACGTCCTGGGCGCTGGCAAGAGGAGCATTCCCAGGGGTCTGGGACTGGGTGTAGGAGCTGCTGCCACTGGGATGTGCGGGGCGGCTGGCAGGGGCTGTGTGACGGTGTGAGCACTCAGGTGCCTTTGGGCAGGAGGTGCCCATGTGCAGGCTGGATCATGTATGGTTCTGATGGGATGCTCTTGGTGGCAGGAGCAGTGAAAACCCTGTCCTTTTGCAATGGCTGGGGCCCACCCAGTGAAGTCCATGCCAGCCCTGCCAGTGGGTGCCAGCTGCCATGTGGCATCCCCAGTGCCAGGGTGAAGGCAGAGGGGGGTGCAGGGCTGGGACTCACCCATTGTCACGGTGCCCCAGGCAGCGACAGGGAGCCGGGTGTGGGGGACGCACCAAGCCCCCCCCCAACCCTTCTCCTCCCCTGCTGTCCCCCCAGACCGACTGCGCCAACTACATCCGTGTGCTGCACCCCTACAACCGGACACACTTGCTGGCCTGTGGCACAGGTGCCTTCCACCCTGTCTGCGCCTTCGTCTATGTGGGGCACCGTGGTGAGGTAGGGCAGCCTCCTGGGAGGCTTCAGGACTGTGCAGGGATGCTGGATCTGGTGTTTGTCCCATGCTGAATACTGGGGTGCATGTGAGGAACCAGCTCCCTGCTGCCCTTGTGCTGCTCCCTCCCCAGCATCTCCACCGTTTTGGCTTGGCCTGGCCTTTCCAGACAGGTCCCCGGGGCTGGTGTCTTGCCAGGGCAGTGATGTGGATGGCATTTCCTCCTCTTCCAGCTCCCTGCTCATAAATCAGCTTGGCCAGGGTGGAAGCACAGGGCCCCCTGTTCCCACCTTGCAGCTTGGTGCTGTGCGGGCAGTGGGAACCCTGCCCTCTACCATGATGCCTCCAGCCAGGTCCCTCCAGACCGTGCACATCCCCTTGGGATCAGACTTGCCTCCCAAAGCACAGCTCCTGCTTCCAGAGAGTCCCTTGGGTGGGGGGCAAGGTGCCTTTGAGCTGGGCAGGGACCAGCCCCAGCCCCAGCCACTGCTGGGACACGTCTCGGGGCTCACCTGCCTGCTCCCCTCTCCAGCACACCTTCAGCATGGACCCCAGCAGCGTGGAGCCCGGCCGGGGCAGGTGCCCCCACGAGCCCAGCGGTGCTTTCGCCAGCACCCTCATTGGTGGGTTGTCTTCCTCGGGTGCTGAGAGCCTTTGGGGTGCCGGGACCAGGGGCGGTCCCTGTGCAGCCAGGGCTGGTGCTCAGCACCACGGGGGATGCTTATGCAGGAGGGGAGCTGTACACCGGCCTCACCGCAGACTTCCTGGGCCACGACCCCGGCATCTTCCGCAGCATGGGCACCCGCTCTGCCTTGCGCACCGAGGTGGACCAGCGCTTACTCAATGGTAACAGCACCCCTCTACCCCTTCATCCCCCTTGGCTGGCCTGATTCTGGGGACCATGAGCCTTGCAGTGGCCGAGGCATCCCCCATGCCGTGTATGAGCGAGGGAAGGCACCGGGGCAGCAGCGTCTGGGGGTCCCCCTGGCTGGCACCAGCCGCAGCATGGTGTGAGGGGTCCAGAGATGGTGGCTGTGCCCTCTCACCCCTGATGGGGCCGGCTCTTGCTTGTAGACCCCAAATTTGTGGCGGCCCACATGATCCCAGACAATGATGACCGGGACAACGACAAAGCCTATTTCTTCTTCACGGAGAAGGTGGTGGAGGCAGACAGCAAGGAGCACACCATTGTCAGCCGGGTGGTGCGGGTCTGCGTGGTAAGATCCTGGTGGAGACTGCAGGGGACAGGGATGTGTCAGGTCACAGCAGTGACTCTGATGCTCCCTGTCCCTGCAGAACGATGCTGGTGGCCAGAGGGTGCTGGTCAACAAGTGGAGCACCTTCAACAAAGCCCGTTTGGTGTGCTCTGTCCCCGGCCCCGATGGCATAGACACCTACTTCGATGAGCTGGGTAAGGCGGGCATGGAGCTGGAGACCTCAGCAGGGCCGGTCTCACAGTTGGTGGCTTCAGGAAGTCCCTGGGCTTCCAGCAGAAACCCTATGGTTTCATCCCTAGAGGATGTCTTCCTACTGAGGACGAAGGATGGGAAGAGCCCGGAGATCTACGCCCTCTTCAGCACCACCAGGTGGGTGCTCCAGCTCCAGCCTCTGCAGACATCCAGCCGCAGCCACCCATGACCTGCCCTGCCGCTATCACCATGTGGCTGCTGGCTGCTCCACCAGCTCTGGTCCATACAGTGATGCCAGTGCTCCTGTGCTCCAACTGATGCTGTTGGTGCCAGCATGGCTCTGCTCACCCCATTCCCTGTTCCCTTTCAGCCACGTCTTCCAGGGCTCTGCTGTCTGTGTCTATCGCATGGCCGACATCCGGGAGGTCTTCAATGGGCCCTTCGCCCACAGAGAGAGCCCCCACCACCAGTGGGGTGCCTACGAGGGCAGGGTGCCCTACCCACGGCCAGGAGTGGTGAGCGGCTCCCTGGAGCTCTGGGTCCCTTCTGCTCCTCTGCCTGCTCTTTGGGGGTGGTGTGGAGCTGATCTCCCACCTCCTCATCTGCTGGGATGGGCTCCATATGGGACTCACCCCAGGACCCCTGGCAAAGGGATGGGGAAGATGGGTCCCAGGTTAGGAGGCAGGGAGGACCCAAGCAGGGTGACGGAGGCGGAAGGAGGGGTGGGTGCTGGGGTGGCTCAGCTGGTCCCCTCCCATCCCACAGTGTCCCAGTAAGACGACCAACCAGCCCCGGCGGCAGTACAGCACCACCAAGGACTTCCCCGACGAGGTGCTCCGCTTCGCCCGCGCTCACCCTCTCATGTACAAGCCCCTGTACCCCCGGCACCGCCAACCCCTCCTGGTGAAGACCGACCTGCCCCATCGCCTGCGCCAGCTCGTGGTGGACCGGGTGGAGGCTGAGGATGGGCAGCACGATGTCCTCTTCCTCGGGACCGGTGAGGGGCAGGAGCGGCGCACAGCCTCGGTGCTGGGGCTACCGGTGGGGTGCGCCATGGCGGGGTGCTCACCCCTCTGTCCTCCCCACAGATGCTGGCTCCGTGCTGAAGGTGGTGCTCCTGCAAAAGACAAGCTCATCCACGACTGAGGAGATCGTCCTCGAGGAGCTGCAGGTTTTTAAGGTGCCGTTTGCTGCCTCGCTTGGAAGGGAGGGAGGGAGGGAGGCAGCGGAGCTTGCTTGGGTTGGGGCACATATGGGCTCAGGGCTCTCGCCACACTTTTGGGCACTGGGAGGTCTCAGTGGGCAAAGCATGGCTGGCACATCCCTGTGCCCTGTGGGAGGCCTGGAGAAGCTGCATGAGCCGGGCAGTTCCTGGTGTGGTTGACACCAGCCTCATGTCTGCTCTCCTCCCCTGCAGGCACCCGTGCCCATCACCCAGATGGAGATCTCTGTCAAGCGCGTGAGTACAGAGCTCAGCTGGGGACAGAGCGGGCGACCCGAGGGACTGAGCTGTTGTCACCAGCCCCTCCAAGCCCACATGGTGCTTGCCCTGCTGGGGAACCTTGGGTACCGTGCCCATGGGAGCTGCCAGCGTCACCATCTCGGTGCTGTTCTTCCAGCAAATGCTCTACGTGGGTTCCAGCCTGGGGGTGGCCCAGGTACAGCTGCACCAGTGCGAGACCTATGGTACGGCCTGTGCCGAGTGCTGCCTGGCCAGGGATCCCTACTGCGCCTGGGACGGCAGCGCCTGCACCCGGTACCAGCCCTCCGGCAAGCGCCGCTATCGCCGCCAGGGTACCCGCCACAGTCACCCTGTGCACCAGTGTCTGGACCAGAACCTCACCGGTGAGAGACTGGGGGCCCACAGGCTCAGGGCTTGTCCAGGTGCCCTGAGATGTCCCGGAACCCACAGCCCTTGGCACGGGCTGGGGCACCCTCATCTCCCCATCCCATAGACCAAGGGGTGCCCCAAGAAAGGGTGGGTGCTGCAGGGCTTTGTCCCCAGGGAGAGGGGGAAAAGAGGACTGGAGCCACATGGGTCCAGGGTGGCTGACACCAGATGTGGGAGCCTGGCACTGCCCTCCCTTGAGCCCATGTCTCTCTTTGCCCCAGTGGATGACTTTGAGAGCGTTGAGGAGAAGGTGCTTTACGGGGCGGAGAACAACAGCACCTTCCTGGAGTGTGTTCCCCGGTCCCCGCAGGCCAGCATCCAGTGGTTCGTCCAGAGGCCCCCCGACGAGCAGCGGGATGAGGTGAGGCTCCCCCCGCACCTCCCTGTGCGAGGACACGGGGGTGACGCAGGGCTGGGGCTGGACCCGGAGCGCCCAACCTCACTCTGGCCACCACCACCAGGTGAAGACGGACGAGCGGATCCTGCAGACCCAGCAAGGGCTGCTCTTCCGCAGGCTGCACCGCCGCGACGCCGGCATCTACTACTGCAAGACACTGGAGCACGGCTTCACCCAGACGGTGGCCAAGACGGCTCTGGAGGTGATTGTGAGTGAGCAGCTGGCACACAGCTTCCCCCGGGATGAGCTCCCACACCTGCCTTGTCCCGAGCCCCGGCTGGCGCCGCAGGCTCCCAAAGCCTGGTTCAAGGACATCATGCACCTCATCAGCTCCCACAGCCTGCGGCGGGTGGAGGAGTACTGCACCCGCTTCTGGTGCGGCAGCCGCCCCTACCACCGCAAGAGCAAGCCAGGCCGGGACAAGCACGCCCTGGCTGGTGTGGACACGGGCAAGAAGGGACGGGTGGCCAAACCCCATGGCGAGAGGAGCCGGGTGCCCCGACAGGCAGTGGCCACTTAGAGAAGGCAGGGGAACGGCTGCGGGTGAGGAGCAGCTCCCCGTGCTGCTGGTGGCCCCCAGGACCTGTGGGTATTCCTGGCCACGGTGGATGGGGTGGCAGGGCCAGCTCCTGGGCAGGTCCCATCCCCTCAGTGGCTGCAGAGCCACCTGAAATGGGTGGCATTATGGGATGTATTAGCCAATCCCCTGCTCTTGTGTGCTGTGGCTGATGGGGGGCTGTGGACACCACCAGGGCGGGTTGGGGCTCAGGGCATGCGGTGCCACCACAGTCCGTGTGTCACCCAGGAGCTTGGCTCTCCTGCAAATAAAGGGCCTGAGTGTGGTGCTGCAGGGAGCAGCTGATGGCTCCAGGCTCTTTCCATGCCAGCTCCGGGCCTGGGACAGATGATGCCTGCTCCTACAGTGGCAGGAAAACTGAGCATCACCCCAGAACGCCTCCGTGCCCAGGATGAGCCCTGTCATCTGTTGCTGTGGTGGGGTGTATCCTGTGGACAGGGCACCTTCCAGCCTTCCCAGCAACACCAGGACACAGCCAGCTGTGAGAAGCTGGGTGCAGCTTCTCCTTCCCCTCTGTTCCCCTTCCAGCCGCAGACCGGGCCAGAGAGGCTGCGGGCAGGCTGAACCCCTTCTAAACATGAGAAGCACCAATGCCACCATTGTCACTGTGCCCAGGTGGGAGCAGGGACGTGCAGAAGATGGTGGCCCCAGCACAGTCTGGGGGGCTGCATCCCCGTCCAAGTGTTTCTGGTGGTTGGTGGCCCCCGATGGGACCAAGCTGGTTTGGGTGGGCTGATGGAGCTAAACCAGCATGCAGGGCCTCTCCCAGATGCAGGGTTGGGGGGTGAGTGTGTGGAGAGCACCCGCAGGCTGCAGGCAAGGTGAGCTCACTCCTCTCACCCGGTCAGCCTGGGGTGATAAAGATCTCCCCCTTCCTGAGGCAAGGCCGCCCCACACAATGGTGTGAACCGCAGCCCTGCCAGGACGGGCATTGTTCACAGGCAGAGGAACGGGAAAGGACAATAATAATAATTAAACACCCTAAATAGCTCACAAAAAGCCAGGCCATGATGTCATCGCTCCTCCCTGTGTGTGTGTGTGTGTGTGTGTGTGTGTGTGTGTGTGTGTGTGTGTGCTGCAGCAGAGCCACAGTGCCTTTGATGGGGGCAAAGTCCCCCAGCAGAGCTGCTTTGTCCATGGTGCACGTGTGGAGATGAGCTGTGGGTCCCATGCAGCAGCCTCGGAGTGCCTGCATGGGGTGGGAGCACTGCGGTGGGGCTGGCGGGCTGGGACACGTTCTGCAGGGAGGGGAGCAGAGCCGAGCCGGTAGCACTGATCTATGTGCCAGAAAGCACATGGATTTGGTTAATCACAGGCCTGGGGGGGAACAGAACTACAGGCAACAAGTAAAGACATGGAGGGACATGGGTGTATAGCCAGATAGAAGAGACAGCAGTCTGACTCCTCAGGGCCTAGATTTAATGGCTCTGCACATGCTTCGACGAGCCATGCCACTGAAATACCTGCACTCTGTTGTCTCGGAGTGAGAGGCAGAGCAGGGGCTGCACTGCACATCCCAGCGGGGCAGAGAGAGGGGGTCCCGAGGCCTTGGCTGCGCACAGGACCTGGCCCTGGGATGAGCTGCAAGTGATGCAGGGGCCAGCGATGTTTCAGACTGAGAGGGAACAACGACCAGAACAAACTGGTCCCGAAAGGGCCTCCCCCTCCTGCTGAATCTCCATCAGTCCCTGCTGCAGCCTGGCCCTCTGGGGCGGATTTACATCAGTGAGGCTGAAACAGGAGGGCTTTGCCAGCGGTGCAGGCACGGTTCTGCACATCTTACATTCCACTCTTATGATAACTGCTAACAGAGGCAATTTGGACCCCTCGAAATCTCCAGGGGCTGAAGAACACAACTCACACCCCCCAAGGGGGTGGAAAGAGACGACCTGGGAGGCAGGTACTGCGCTGCTGTCTCTGGTCTCTGCTGCATGAGGCTCACAAGCCCTACCTGGGCCTCGGCCTGCTGCCCCAGTGGGGCGAGGGGTGCGCTGTGGGACGGACGGGGTGTGTGTGGGAACAGCCGCACAACAACGCCGTGGATCCGGCTCCTATTTTTAGCGCGCTTCCTAAGGAAGTGCAGTGCAGGGGCTCCTGCGCGCTCCGGGGCGGCACCAGCGGAGCTGCCTGGGGGGTGATGGCGGTGCTGCTGCTGCCGCAACCTCACCGGGACCCTGACAGTGCAATGCGGGACACAGAACCGAGCGGCCTGGGAAAGCCCTCCAGGATCATCGAGTCCAAGCGTTGTCCCAAGCCCATCAAGCCCATCACCAACCCACGGCACTGAGGGCCTTGTCCACACAGTATGCGAACACCTCCAGGGACAGTGACGCCAGCACTGCCTGTTCCAATGCCTGCACACCGGCTCTATTATATCCAGTCTAAACCTGCTCTGGTGCAGCTTGAGGCCGCCTCCTCTTGCCCTGTCACTTGTTACTAGGGAGAAAAGACCCCCCCACACCTCTCTCCAGCCTCCTTTCAGGTAGTCAGAGAGAGAGAGGTCCCCCCTGAGCCGCCTCTTCTCTGGACTAGAGCCCCGCCAAGCTCCCTCAGCTGTTCCCCATCACACTTTGCTCCAGCTTTGCTGCCTTTCTCTCTTGTAGTGAAGGGCCCAGACCTGGCCGCAGGACTCGAGGTGCGGCCTCCCCAGTTCCCAGCCCGCTGACAGAAGCCCCCCCCCCGGGGCAGCCCCGCCCGGCCCCCGAGGAGGCGCCGCTCCCCGCTGCCGCTCCGGAGCCCTAGGGCCGCCGCGGGCCCCTCCCGCCTGCCTCGGGACACACGTGGCGCGGAGAGTGACGTCACGTGGCGTCACGTAGCGTCACGTAGCGTCACGTGGCGTCGCGCAGCGATGACGCGCCGGGGTGGGCGACGACGCGCCGCGCTGGGAGTCGGGGCCGGACATGGCGGCGGGGCCCGGCCCGCGGGAAGATGAATAAGGGCTGGCTGGAGCTGGAGAGCGATCCCGGTGAGCGCCGAAGCCGTTACCGGGGCGAGGGGAGGGCATGGACGGCTCCGGGGGGCGGCTCTGAGGGGCCGGGCCGGGCGTGGAGCCTGGACCTGGGGCTGTGAGGGGCAGGCTGGGGACTGGGAGGGAGCTCTGAGGAGCAGGCCGGGGCTGTGGGGTGGAGGGGTGAAGTGTGGAGGGGGTTGTGAAGGCAGGATTAGGGGGTGCAGCGCCGGAGTGGGGGGCAGGGGAGGGTGTAGGGCAGGAGGAGTGGGTGCTGGGGGAAAGGGGGCAGTGCAGGGTTGATGTGTACAGGACATACCCCATAGGGGGGTAGGGAGAGGTTATGGGGATGTAGGGTAGACAGAAAAGGGGTGTCAGGATTTTGGATGTAGGGCTGAGGACAAGGATGGGATGAACAGGGCTGCAGGAGCTCTGTGAAGGCTCAGAGTGGGGCCTGGGTGCCTCTGAGGTGCCCCAGATACCTACCTCTGTGTGTGTATAATCTGGTAAACCCACACGTGGGGGCTCCGTGGAAAACATCTGAATTGCCACAAAGGTGTCGCATGAGACATTCCTGTCGTTTGCAAATGAAGCCCCAAAACATCATGGAAATACAGGGAGGGGAACCGTGTGGGATGCTCCTTGTTACAGAAACAGCACTGGCTGGCAATTGCCCCAAAGCTTGGCGGGCAATGGAGGACAGCCTGGGTCACCTGGGGGTATGTGAGGGTGGCCTCTGTGTTCCCTGTGTATCAGATCCTGCCAGTGCTTTGCAGCTGAGTGGGTGGATCAACGCCTCTCCCTCAGGGAGCCCAGGAGGGTTCTGAAGAGCCTGGTGTGGTGCCTGAGCAGCTGGGAGCAGCATGGTCACAGCTGTCCCTTTCCTGCTGTGGTGGAGTCCCGGAGTTTGGCATTGGTGGAGCGTTGTTTTAACACCTCTGGGTTGCTGTAGTGCTGTGTGGGGTTGTCCTCCCGGGGGGTGAGAGCCTCTCTTCAGGACGTGGTGGTGTATTTTGGAGGCTGTGGGTAAGGAGATTGGAGCCCTAGCATTATACTCATCTTCCTGCACTCAGCAAAGGACTCTGCTGTTGTTCTCTCGGTCACCCCAGCTTTTGCTGCTGTTAATCCTAGTTTTACTGGTACTCGGGAATTGCCCAGGTTATTCCCATCCTCCCCCTTCTTCACCACATGCTGAAGACGGGATGCAGTTTGAATTCTCCCACCTGGGAGGGAAGGTTCTTTGCTTGGAATATATCTGCCTGGGCAGAGGTGAGCTCTCAGCATGCTTCAGATTTGTGGAGGTTTGGATGCAGAGTGACAGCTGGGACAGCAGTTAGGAATGTCTCATGTGCTGCTCTCAGCATTCAGCACATCCCATGAGCTGCCCAGCCCCTGCCTCAGGGCTGGCGATTGGAAGCTCTCGGTGCTTTAGTGATCAGGAGGGGTTGGTAGATCCAGATTAGGGCTGCCTGTTGTGCTGCTGGGTGGAGATGGCAGCCTTGGGAACCTCCAGGCTGCTGGTGTAGTGCTGCATGTGCTGGTGAACACCAGAATGTTTCCTCCAGGCAACCCACATACTTTGGGATGGGGATTTTGAGTGTTCCAGGAGGGATGGCAGCAGGACTATGCCTTTTGGGATGCTGAGGTAATACAAAATACTGAAATGAACTGGAGAGAAAACATGGTTGGAAGGGACCCCTGAAGTCTTTGGCCCAAAGCAGCTGACTTCAGAGGTAGTTCAGGTGGCTCATGGCTGTGTCTGGTTGGATACACCCAAGATTTCTGCACCCTGGTCTCAGGGCTGACCGTGCTGGTGGTGAAGAATTGGGGTTTTTTGGTTGCACAGGGAGAATTTCTCTTGCTGCAGCATGTTCCCATCACTTCTTGTCCTTTCATGGTGCACTCAGGGAAGTTTGGCTCCGTCCTCTCTGCCCAGTGATGTTGCTCACATCAACAGCTGAGTTCCCATACCCTTTGGTGCAGTCCTACTGGTCAGACACAGTCCTAGAGGACTGCTGTAGAGGCATAGGAGTGCTCCAGGCCACGGCGAGCTTGGAAGTCATGCTTGGTCATCTCCTTCTGGTGGTGCCTGCTTTTGGCATTTGGTGTTGTTTGTGTCCACAAGGCCTTGGTCTGGTGCAGATCTTCACTGGCTGCGAGGCAGAGCTTGAGGTGTGGTTCACATTTCACATCACACATGTTTTGCTGTCATCAGTTGACTTCAACTGTTGGAACTGGAGAGTGACTGAGGCCTTCAACCTTTGCAGAAGCTTTTGCACTTGAAAGACTCTACCTGGAAACAGCTGTGACTCCTGCTTCCAGCTAAAGAGGGAACAAAAGCTGTGGCTGCAGTGAGCATCTGAAGACCCTTGTGGAATGCAAGCACCACTTGCCTGAAGTGGGTTGCTGCACAGAAGGCAGCAGTGCTGCCTGAAGTCTCTGTAGATGTCACCTGTATAACACAGCCTTCCGTGGTATCATGAGAGCAAGGAGGCTCTCATCAGTTTGAAGCATGTCATTTCTACAGGGTGTTTCTTCCCACTGGCAGTTCTGGTTTTTTGCTCCCAGAAGTGTCCTCCCTGTTTTAATCATTTTAACTTTGGTGTGGAAGCTCCTCTGGCTCTTCCCTTCTTGACTGAGCAACTTCCAACAGGTTCCTTAAATCCGTTGCTTAAAGGGATGTTTTTCAGGATTGAATCCTTCTTATTGCTATTCCTTAGACTTTCTCCCAGGCTTTCAGCAGCCTTTGTATGGCAGCAAAAGAAGCAGATTTATTATTCCAGTCTTAAGCTCACTGAGGGGGGGACTGCCTGGAAACTAGGCTGGCTGCCTGTGCGTGGCAGTGGAAGCTGCTGCTCAGTTCCTGATGTCTAATCATCCTTCGGTCTCTTTGCTGTTGTGTGTATCCTGGTTATATCCTTTTGTAAGGGGAATTTTGTCGTCGCTGGTCCCCTGGGAGATGAGTTAGAACTGTGTGTGTCCGTTAGGTGCTCCCTGCTGCTCTTCATGGTGGGGGGTTATTTCTTGGCAGGTCATCAGTGGGTCAGATGCTGAAGGTGAGTCCAGCTTCCTTGGCCTCTGGCAGGAGAGGGTTTGTTGGGGTGCCCTCGAGGAAGTGGATGATGAATGGGATGGAGGGTTGAAGTGAGCCAGGACTTACCAGTCTGCTCCTGGGGGTTAACATGATCCTGGTGTTGCTCTGCTGCATTCTTCTGACTGTACCTTGGCCTGGCACCACATGGGACCTTCGTGGACCAGTAGCAGCAGGTTTCCTTTCTGCTCTCTTCCATCAGAAGTAACCTGTTGGGTTTGTTCCTTTCCAGGTCTCTTCACACTCCTGGTTGAAGATTTTGGTGAGTGCAAGAAACATTCCTGGGAAGTCAGTTTTGTGTTAACCACGTGTCCATTCTGGTGGGCTTTACACTAGCTTCTGCCCTTTGTTTGCAGGGGTCAAGGGAGTGCAGGTTGAAGAGATTTATGATCTGCAGAGCAAATGCCAAGGGTAAGTCACAGGTGTGAAAGCGTGAGTTTTATTAAGCAGAATGTGTCACTGCCAGAAAGATGGGGCTGGTGGTTCTCTTTTCCTCTCTGCCTTTGCTCTGCTGTAGTTTGAAATCAGAGGTTTCTGGTGCTGGGCAGTGCAGCCCCACTGGTTGTGGTTCATCCAAAATGATACAGCTGCTGACTTCTCTCCACAGCCCTGTCTATGGGTTCATCTTCCTGTTCAAGTGGATTGAGGAGCGCAGGTCACGCCGGAAGGTCTCTACCCTGGTGGATGAGACATCGGTGATCGACGATGACATCGTCAATAACATGTTCTTTGCTCACCAGGTAGGCTGGAGCCAAGGGGAAGCGTGTGTGTGTCTCATGTGACACCTCAGGGAAGCAATGTGGTGCTGAGGTCAGCTCCTCTTTCCTGAGGGTCTCTGCCCTGAGCTCTAGGTTGGAGGGACTCCAGGGAGGGCTGCGAACTCATGGGGCATGGTGGACCCTCTAAACAAGACTCCCCTCCTGTCCTTTGAGAGCCCAGGTCACTGCTCTCACAAGTGGTACTTGTGTCAGTACTTTTCACTTGATTATTGTCAACACTGGGGGTTGTTGAAGAGCTGCCTTTTTCCTGCTGGTTAAAATGGTCCTTGTGTCACCCTCCAGCTGATCCCCAATTCCTGTGCCACCCATGCCCTGCTGAGCGTCCTCCTGAACTGCAACAATGTCGACCTGGGCCCCACGCTGAGCCGCATGAAGGATTTCACCAAAGGATTTAGCCCTGAGGTAGGGGCAGGGATGTGCACGAGGAGCACATGGGAATCTGCCTCTTGCTCCCCTTGGATTGATGCTGTAATGGGCTGGCTCCTTTCCAAGCCCTTTGGCTCCACACTACATCACTATTGCCTCTTCTCTCTCATCTTCGTACTTTGCCTTGTGCAGGGCCTCAGTCCCCTTAGACTTGGCACAGCTCTGAGCTTTGTGTTGTGTTCTTCCCTAGCCTAGGTGCGTTCTCCAAGTCTGGGATCAAAGTTCCTCTCTCCTACCTTCAGACATATCTTGAAGTCTGTGTTTCTGACTCTAATTTCTTTAGCAGAAATTGTCTGTTCTTTTTATCTTGGGTTTCACCTCAGCAGTGCAGAGGGAGTGCCTGAAAGCTGCTCTCCCAGTCCTGGGAGGGAGGGAGGGACTGGGGAGCCAGTGGGTGAAGCATTTTGTTCGTTTCCTATTACTTCTCAGTTGTTTTCCTTGCTGTCGCTGCAGAGCAAAGGCTATGCCATCGGCAATGCCCCAGAGCTGGCCAAGGCCCACAACAGCCATGCCAGGTGAGTGAGGGGGGATCTCCAGCTCACTGCTGCTGAAGGAAGCAGGCTCCCCACTCACCTCTTGCCTCTCCTGCCCTTGCAGGCCGGAGCCACGGCACCTGCCAGAGAAGCAGAATGGAATCAGTGCTGTGCGAACCATGGAGGCTTTTCACTTTGTTAGTTATGTCCCCATCAAGGGACGGCTGTTTGAGCTGGATGGGCTGAAGGTCTATCCCATTGACCATGGTAAGAGCCTGCCTGTCCCTACTCATCGCTACAGTTGAACAGACACCCTGCTTTGCCCAGATGTGTGTGTTATTTTTCATTGCTGCGAGGCATTAGCTGATGTTTGTGGAGAATCACTCCAATGGCTTTGTCCTGAGTTTCTGCAGCTCACTTTGGAGCATCTGTGCTGGGGACTGTGTCTGGAAAGCAACAATCTCTAAATGCATTGCATTGCTTTTTCCAGCCTTGCCATTATCCTCCCCAGTGGCTCAGGGTCACAGGGTCCTTCTGCAGCTCTGACATAACTCTGTATTGCAAGAATCTGTCTGCTTGATCTCTTCATGTGCCCAATAACTGCTGTGTGTTGAGGCACAAGCTCCCAGTGCACATCCCAGCAGGCTGCTCTGGATACTTCATTTATTTGCAACTTGGCTACTCAGATCTGCCTTCCAGACACTTGTCACTGCTAGGAATTTACATGTCTGTCAGGCCCTTTGGTAAGGTACCCACTTGATGTTCTTGGGTTACTTAATCATAGCACCACATCCAGTGGCAGGTGGATCCCAGCAGGAGCTGGGATTTCCTTGGACTTTGGGATCCAAGCCTGTGAACCACTTGCAGGGTTCAGAACTTGCTTTTCTGCCCTGCAGATAGCCCATGTTTTCCATTTGGAAGGCAGAGGCAGGAGGTTCCACATATGGGCTAAGAGCATGGTCCTTCTGCCTCCTGGGCCCCTCTTGACTTGCTCACTGGTACAGAAGGGAGCTGTTGGATTGCCTGTGGTGTGGATGGCAAGATCTGCTCTGTGTGTCGGCAGCAGGAGCCTGGCTATGCCTTGTTGAGTCCAGCTCTTTCTTGTTCCCACAGGGCCGTGGGCTGATGATGAGGAATGGACAGACAAAGCCAGGAGAGTAATCATGGAACGCATCGGCCTGGCCACTGCAGGGTGAGGTCCCAGCCGTGGTGCATGCACTGGCCCATTTCTCCCTGGATTGTTTCTACTGTGCTCTCTCTGCAACAGTTGTGCAAATGGGGGTGGAGAGTTTTGCCTGGAAGGAGGTGGCAGGAGCTCTGCAGGGCATCTCCTTGCTGGGAGCCAGGCTGATGTCTCCTGTCCCTTCCTGCAGGGAGCCCTACCATGACATCCGCTTCAACCTGATGGCCGTGGTGCCTGATCGGAGGATGAAGTACGAGTCCAAACTCCACATCCTGAAGATGAACCGCCAGACTGTGCTGGAGGCCTTGCAGCAGGTAGGACAGCCCAAACCCGAAGGGAGTGTGAGCCTGAGATGGGAATAGGTTCTGTTTCCAGGGCATCTCCATGTGCTGTGGGGGCCCCTAGATTTTGGTTTGGTTTTTGTCCTTGGGAAATGTCTTCTGGGAAGAGGAGATAGCCAGCTTCAATGCTTGGCCTTTTGCTGCTCACCTGGGAGATTACCCATGGCATTGTCCATCGATAGTGCACACCCTCATGAGTTTTGCAGTGCTTGAATGGGAGGGATGTGGCTTTGGTCACCCCAGTGCTCAATTTCCATCTGTCATTTGCCTTCAAGCTTATCCGAGTAACTCAGCCTGAGCTGATCCAGACCCAGAAATCTCAGGACTCCCAGCCTCCTGAAGAGGTGAAGCCAGCCAGCAGCAAGACTGTGACCCTAGAGAGCACCCATACAGGTACAAACCCCCTATCAGTGTTGTTGCCAGCCAGCCTGGCCTGCTGTGGTGTGACAGTGGCTGCCTTGACCTGGAGCTTGAGGCAATTTTATGGTCAGCTTTGCTTTCTTTTCTCCACGCCCAGCTCCATGCACACGGTGCTGGGGTGTGGTGGATGCCTCTGTGCTTGGCAGGAGAGTTGTAGGGATGTGGAGTTTGAAAATGGGAGGGCTTAAGCTTGGGGACACAGGTGACAGCTGGAAGTGGAATGGGAAGTGGGTCTGATGGAGTATAAGAGCTCTTCTGTGCGGTGAGCAAGGGGTGGCAGAGGATATGGAGTAAAAGGTGGTGGTGCTGGTCATGAAAGGCTGTGCTGTGTTCGTGTGGCAGATGGCACCGATGAGCCTGCCACCCAGGGCCACCTTGCGGCCATGCAGAGCCCACCCACCAAATCCAAACCAGTGGCAAAGGCATCAGCGAGCAGCATCAATGGAGCACCTCCAGGAAACCCCAACCCCATCGTGCAGAGGTTGCCAGCCTTCCTGGACAACCACAACTATGCCAAGTCCCCCATGCAGGTAGGCTGCAGCTCCAGGCCAATAGTGCTTGGCTCGAGCTGAACTTCTTGCTTCCAGGCCCTCACCTCTGCGGGGCTGTGGCTCTTGACTGGTTTAAGCCCTTCCCCTGCCTTGCAGCCTGCCTGCCCTTGCACTAACCCAGACTGGGAGGTGAGAGGGCAAGTAAGGACTGGCCTGGCAGAAGATGTTAGTATCAATGTGGGTCAGCTGAGCAAGCAAGGGAAAAGTCCCGTCTCCTGTTGAAAAGGGCATGCTCTGGTGTTTGGCTGGACTCAGGACATGTCTGCTGGGCTCTTCTCCCTTCCCCTGCTGCCAGCAGGCCATCAGCAATGGTGTTTTGCAGGAGGAGGAGGACCTTGCAGCAGGAGTGGGTCGCAGCCGGGTCCCAGTCCGACAGCACCAGCAGTACTCTGACGATGAGGATGACTACGATGATGATGAGGAGGAGGAAGTTCGTAACACCAACTCGGCCATCAGGTGACTGAGCTGAGGGCAGGGAGCTGACTTCAGCAGAACTGCCAGTCCCAGATCTCTTGAGAGCTGATAGTTGTGTGGAGCCTGTGCCTGTGTGTGCAACTGGGGCTGTTCTCTTCACCTGCTGTGTTACTGCTGGATTTTGTGAACCTCTTCTGCAGTTCTTCACTATCAACCGTGAATTTTGGCTGCTCTATCTATAGCTGTTGATTGGCAGCAGGCTTTGAGGAACCTCTGTTCCCCAGTGCAGACTGCCAGGTTTGCTCCTGGTGAGTGTTGGTGTGCTTGGACTGCTGTGAAGGTCAGGAAATGGGGTCACAGCAAGGGTGTTTTGGGGGCTTGTGGAGGAAGAGTAGAGGTGTGTTCCAGCTGTGTAGGGGTGCCCACAGCAGAGGGGTTCAGTTTTGAAGTGCTGCCAGAGAAGCAAGCGGCAGTGGGGGCAACCAAGAAATGTTTCATGCCGTGCTTCATGCCAGGAGACAGCGAATACTGATGAGTGTGAAGCTGGCAGTGGCTGTGCTGGGCCTCTTTCCACCAGGTACTCAATTTCCCTTCTGTTTCCGTGGGCAGGTACAAAAGGAAAGGGCAGGTGAAGCAGGAGCACATGGCAGGGGCTGTGGATGGCCAGCTCTCCGTCCTCCAGCCCAACACCATCAACGTCCTGGCTGAGAAGCTGAAGGAGTCTCAGAAGGATCTTTCCATTCCCCTGTCCATCAAGACCACCAGCGGGGGTACTGCTGTGGCAGTGGTCACCCACTCCCAGCCCTCTCCTACCCCCAGCAACGAGAGCACAGACACGGCCTCCGAGATCGGCAGCGCCTTCAACTCCCCGCTGCGCTCCCCCATCCGCTCGGCCAACCCCACGCGCCCCTCCAGCCCCGTCACCTCCCACATCTCCAAGGTGCTCTTTGGCGAGGAGGATGGGCTGCTGCGGGTGGACTGCATGCGCTACAACCGCGCCGTCAGAGACCTGGGGCCTGTCATCAGCACTGGGCTGCTGCACCTCACAGAGGACGGCGTGTTCTGCCCGCTGGCTGTCGCAGGTAGGTGTGCGATGGCTTTAGGGGTGGTGGCATCTCCCCTGGGGTGACTGGACACTGTCCGTTGACTTCAGGAGTGGATGCCAGTCCTTTGATGTAGCGCCTAACACTTCCTTCCCCTGTGTGCAGACGGGGGGAAAAGCTCCCCACCTTCCATCAAACCTGGTGATGAGGCCCCGATCGCAATCAAACTGGACGAGAAGGAGGGCAGTGAGGCCAGTGACAGCAAAGAGAAGGTGGGACTTGGCAGGACCAGTGATCACCCTGGGGGGGAAAAGTATTCTCCCAAGGTGAGTTTTGTGCTGCGGCAGCCCTGGGGACACGGAGCCGCAGCAGCGCTGGCAGTGACTGAACCGCATGTGCACGCTGTCCCGCTCGCGTCGCCGCAGCCGCGCCTCCAGGTGCAGGGCAGAGCAGGTTCTGGGCCTTGTGTCACCGTGGGGATGTTTCCCTCAGCACGTGGGCAGAGCTGCTGCCTCCTGCAGCTGAGGTGTCCGGGGTGCTGTGCTCTTCTGCGGGCCAGAGGGACCCTGCACCCGCAAGCCCCAGCCTGCTGGGAACTCCGCTGCTTGTCTGTGCCCTCCAGCTCAGAGCTGGGGCAGCACAAGTGCAGCAGGGGCTCCCTGGAGGAGAGCTGGTGAGAAACTTACTCAGAAGGGAAGTTTGCAGCCTCAGTGCTGGCTGACTGATCACCCTGACTCAGAAGCTCACTACAATGAGCTGGTCTCTGGTATTTGTTGGTTTTGCTGAATTCTCCCTTTCCCAGTGCAGAGAAGAACATGTGCCAGCTCAGCCCGCTGGCTCCTGGGCTGCAGCAGGGCTCTGCCTGCTGACGTTTGCTCTGCTTGGTCCTGGCAGGAGCTGCTGGCACTGCTCAAGTGTGTGGAGGCAGAGATTGCAAACTATGAGGCCTGCCTGAAGGAAGAGGTGGAGAAGAGGAAGAAGTTCAAGGTGTGTCAATGGCTTGTTTGTGTTGCCAGTTTAGCTCCCCCAAGGCTCATTCTGGGTTGTTAAGCCAAAGTGGAAGCAGTGTTCAGCTGAGAATGGCCCTGGGGCGCATGTGGGACCCTTTCCCATTACCAAACCACCCTACGGAGCAGAGCTCCTGCCAGGACAAACTGAAGGCCCTGGTCAGGCACTGGTGGGCTTGAGGTGGGTGGAGCACTGCAGCTGGGCCACAGCTTGACACAGCATTGGCAGGAGGAAGCAGGGATTGTGCTTCAGGGCCTGGTGGGATTCCTCCCCTGCCCACGGTCACCGCTTCCCAGCTGTCCTTTGTGGAAAATGCTGGCACCTGAAATGGGATAGACAGTCCCAGCTGTGCCTTGGCCTGACCTGGCTGGGAGGCGGTCATCCTCTTCTGGTATCTTTGGCCTGGGAGGTGGGCCCTGTCTTGTCCCCGTTAGCCTTGAGCTCTTCTTCCTCCCCACCACCCATTTGTAGATTTGTCATCTCTTTGTAGATTGATGACCAGAGGAGAACCCACAACTATGATGAGTTCATCTGTACCTTCATCTCCATGCTGGCCCAGGAAGGTGAGCTGTGCTCTGTGGCTGAGGGGATGGAGCGTGGGGCTTGCATTCAGCTGAGGGAACCACTCTGAGCATGGCAAAGTGGCACCTGGGGCCCTGGGGAACTCATCCTGCCTCGCTCCCTGTTTCTGCTGGGGCTGGGGCATGAGGTAGAGCTCAGTCTGTGGAGCCACAGTGTCCTTCTGGTTTGATAGTCCCAGGAGGAGCCTGGGATGGGGCTTGGCTAGGCCAGGGAGGGCTGTGCTCCAGCGTGGGCAATACCAACGTGGGCATGTGTGTGGTTATCCCCTGCAGGTATGCTGGCAAGCCTGGTGGAGCAGAACATCTCCGTGCGCCGGCGGCAGGGGGTCAGCATTGGCCGCCTGCACAAGCAGAGGAAGCCGGACCGACGGAAACGCTCTCGCCCCTATAAAGCCAAGCGCCAGTAGCTGGGGAGCCAGGACTGGGAGCAGCAGCAGCTGGGCTGCTGGCTTTGGGCAGTGGCACTTGGATCGACATTCCCTCTGCCCAAGGAATGGGACCACAGCGACAACGAGCCCTCGGCCGAGGTGGAGCCTGGGGCCAGGGAGAAACCGGCTTTTCCTCTGAGCCCAAGTTGTGAAGGGCAGGAACACACAGTCCTGAGGGGAGGCCCTGCAGCCACCAGCCAGCCAGAGCACACAGCTCCCTGACCGTGCCACGGCAGCACCCACACGCCCTGGGCCTGTGTCTCGGCGCCGTGGCACAAGGGGAAGTGACTGGTCTGGCGCTGTGGGAATGCTAGCAATGCCACTGCTAGCCTGAGCTGGCCACAGGGGGCTGTGGCTCGTGTCCTCAATCCGGGCCTTCAGCTCTCTGCTTCCCCAGGGCATTTGTGTCTCTGTTTTCCGACCCTGTCCCTCCCTTCCCCAGTTTTGATTCCTACCCACACTTTTGGCCATTGCTGAGCGAGGTGGCTCCTGGACAGAGCCCATTCTCCTGCCCCGTTCCCAGAGCTGGCCCATGTGCAGCCAGGCTGGTCCTGCCTTGCCCTGTCCCCTCACCGCTCTGGGTATACAACCCCCCTGCCAGTGCAGCCTGGCTCCTTGCGCCCTGGGCAGCTCTGGTGCCAGGTGAGGTGGGGTGGGCTCATCCCTGGAGCTGGGCCTTGGCCCCAGCACTCTGTGGCTCTGCTGTCGTTGCTGCTCTCCTGGCAGCCTCTTCTGTGGTCACCCAGGATTGCTTCCAGAGAAACCCTGTGAATTATAAACAAGTTCATGGGGTGGCTTTGGTGCTGCTGGGCACAGCACCGGGGCAGATGCTGCATGCGGGGTCCCTTGGTGGCCTTGGCAAAGCCTTTGAGCACGGGGAGAGGCAGCTGGGTACTGCAGTGCAGAGATGGTGCAAGCCAGAGGTCAGCACCTTTGGAGGGGTCCTGGAGAGGAGCTAGTTTTGCAAGTCTGCAGGTTTGTGCAGCTCTTGACTCTGGAATGAAACAGTTCTTTTGGTATTTGTTGAAGGGAAGCAAATCCTTCTGTCTCTTGCCGTGTCTGATATCAAGTGCTGGAAAAAGATTGATCTGTCTGAAGGAATAAAGCTATCCTGTAACAGCCACCCAGGGGAGAGGCGCGTCTGTGACTGGGAGCACTGCTCTTCTGTATGCTGGACCTTTGAGGTAACCGTGGGGATTGCAGCACTACCAGGTCAATGTGATGCTGGTGGAGCTGAGCTCCCTTTATTGACAGCTCAGAGGGCAGGAGGGGAGAGGGGCTGCTGCCTGTCTGTGCTGGACAGCAGAGGCCATGACTCAGGCTGATTGGTTTCCTGCCTGCAAGTCCAGGGCACAGATCAGTGCTGTGCCCCATTTGATCCAGTGCTTCTGTGGCGTGTCTGTAGGGATCTCGGCAGCAATCACGCAGTTGGAGTGGCCTGTTGACAGCGTGTAATGGGGGAAGCAAGGGTGAGAAGGTGGCCCGGCAGCCCTCATGCTGCACACGCACTGGGGAGTCCTGTCCAAGTGACCCTCTCTGGGATCCCCTGTCCCATCCCTGTGCTAGGGGACAGGCGGAGTGGGGCTGGGGGAACCAGGCTCCTCTGGTTTTGGTGTGGGCTTGAGGATGGGCTGGCCAGAGGCAGAGCTGCAGAGCCAGGGTGCTTCCTGGTGCTTCCTCGCCACAACCAGAGCAGGAGGAATCCTTTCCCCCATGGATGCCCTCACCCAGTGTGGTCAGGAGCAACTCCTGGCCCCTCTCCTCTCCTCAGGCACCTACTTCACGGGTAGGGTCTTGTAGATGGGGCACAGGTAGGAGCCGGTGGCTGGCAGTGTGCGGTGTGGACAGGCAGTAACCAGATGTCAACCATCTCCGTGTACAGCTCCTTGGGGCGCGACTCCACCAGCCGGACCGCAATGGGGTCCCAGTGGGCACCTCCAGAACAGGCCATGGATGCAGCAGCCTTCACTGGGAGGGCTGCTGGGCTCACACACAGACACATTCAGCACCTGCAGAGGAGAGGGGGCGCAGGGCACTTACTGGTTCAGGGGTGTCCCTGGAGCTCCTTCAGCTGCTCCTGGTTAGTTCAGCACTGCCAAAGGGGAGCTTGGCCCAGACCTCAATGGGGCTGGGCTGGGTTTTCTGGCACCTCGCATCCTGAGGCCACGGGGCAGCCTGTAGAGGGGGATGTGAGCCCGTCTGGAGAGGCAGAGAGGCGCCTGCTTGCCTTGTGTGCATAGCTGGCAGTGTGGGTGAGTGTACCCGAGCACAGAGGGGATGATGGCTCCAAGGGCAGCAGTGCACCCAGTGGCAAGTCAAAGGTAGAGATGCTGCTTTTGTGGCTTTGTAGCAGCAGATTCCAAAGAAATCCAGAAAAACAGCCTCTGGCTGCCTGGCTGACCTTGAAGCTAACATGATGCTGTCGATGGAGATGATGGACTTCCTGGCAAAGTTCTGCAGCGTCCCAGTGAGGAACGCCTGGGAGAAGAAGATCCCACTGGTCCAGAACACAGAGGGGATCCTGTGACTGATCCAGTTCTTCAGGAATTCAATCTGCTGCCGCAAGCCGTTCACCCAGGATGCGAAGGGCTTCAGCAATGGGTAGGCCTGTGGGGCACCCACAGAGGAACGTGTGGAATGCAAAGACATCCTAGACCTTGTGCCCCAGCTGCTGGCAGCTGCCCAGAGCCCAGGGATTCACCCAGCCCCAGACTGGGAACAGTCATGAGCTGCACCAGCCTGGAGACATCTCCATGCTGGAGGAACACAAACCAGCTCAATGTAACCCCCATGCTGATTCCTATTTGGTGGGGTCTCATAGCTGCCCCCCCAGCCCTGAATTGCTCATGGTTGCAGATGGAGACCCTGCTTAGTTTCCACAGGACAGGGATCAGCTGGGGCAACACAACTGTTAGCATGGCTGCCAACCCCACTGCCATGCTCAGCAGTGAGGTTCCTCAAAGGTGGTTGGGAGCAGGGGCCTGAACATCCTTGCTGCTCCCCAGGGAAGCAGCCAGTTGCTGACCCAGCACATGATCCCACAGGGGCTGTACCTGATCGCCTCCTGCTCCAGCACTGTGTTCATGGACTCCATAGAGCAGTGGGTATCTGTGGATCACCTCCTCCAGGTCCATGGGAGCAGGGTGTCCCTGGCAGTCTTCTCCACGAGCTGGAAGGAAAGTGGCAAATGGGTGAGCCCCCTCCTGGCCTGGATGGCAGCATCACTGCTGGGGTTTGTGCTCGCTGCCTGCACCAGGCACTGGCTGGCAGAGCACTGATGGCATCAGGGCACCCACCTCTTCCCTGCTACAGCCTCCGATCACGAGGGTCTTAGGCTGCAGCTGCACAAGAGTCCCCTCCTGCCAGCAAGCAAGCTGCTCAGAGATGTGCACTGGATACCCCAATGAACATGGTACAAGCCAGCCCCAAATGCAAGCAAGGTATCTTTGTAAGAAACAGCTCAATGGTGCACGAACAAAAAGGATCTGGATCACACGAAATCATACTCTTAAAGTTTTCAAACTTCATCTAGAAACCAGCCAAGTGTAAAAAACCAGGTTCAGTATCCTATGGGAAGATAATACGCACATTGTAGTCATAGAATCATAGAAGAGTTGGGGTTGGAAAGGACCTTAGGATCATCCAGTTCCAACCTCCCTGCCTAGCTACTTTGCAAAGGAGACTGGAAAGCTCGGTTAATTACCAGTGCCTGTCACACAGCTATCACAGGAGCAGAGACAACAGGATAATCATCTGTTTCTGATAATGAGTGCAAAACGCACTGCTCATTGCTTCTGCTTAATTACTATTACCAAAGTACTCACAGTATCGCCTCCAAGAGGGGATCTGGCAGGAACATTAATTACTTGTAAAGGTCAATTGTGAAGTCTTTAATGGCAAAGGTAGTATTGTCTGGGAGTAATGTGCCATCTCTTTCCAGCAAACTTCACTTCTCAGTCCCAAGTGCAGTTCATCTGGGACACTTGGCATAGCAGGCTGCCCCCAGGATGGCAATGCAGATACAGCTTGTTCCACCTCGAGTTCCCATCACACCATACGCAGCCACTGTACGTATCTGGGGTAGGATTTCACAGGAGAGCCCTGGGAGCGTTTGTGATGCCAGACACCTCCAATTCAAGCAGCCCCATGGTTACTGTTAACTGTTTTCATTTGTTTGCAGAAGACGTGGAAGATGCAACCATAGATCACATCGTAATGGTTCCCACGGTTCTTACCTTTTCCTGGCTGTCAATTGCTTTGTACAGTTTGATGTGGGCATCTGGATCCATGAAGTCCCCAAACAGAACTGGCTGGGAGGGGATGACCTCCTCAGAACTGGTGTAACTCCTCCATCATCCTCTTCATCAGGTTGTTGCACCCCGTGCGGTCCTCCTTGCTGAGCAGGCGATCACAGAGCAGCTCTCAGGGTACCACCGTTTCATCAGCTGCAGTTTGTCCTGGTAGGAAACCCCAGCAAACAGCCCCCATGGGAGAAGCAGAGAAGCATTAAAGAGCATCACAGTCAGGAGAGCTGGCTCCTGCTTGGCCTGTGGCCATCTCCACTCCTGCTAGAAGGCAGCTGGAGTGGAGAAAGAACGAGGCAGAGGAAGCTGCATCCCCTTCTCTCAGAATCAGCTCTTGTCAAACAGCTGCTTTGCAGGAGCTCATTACAGCTTCAGCTGATCCCCCTCTGTTTGTCCATGCCAGGCTTCCTCTCAGATTAAAATTCCACGTTGTTTGTCCTTATCTTTCCCTCGGTTTGATTTAATTTCTACTGTTTTCAGAAGTGCTTGGGGGTTGGTTTGGTTTTAAAGGTCTTTTTTCCAGCTGCAGCACAGACCCAGGGTCCCAAGTACTTCCTGTCATAAATCACCTCTCCCGACCAGGCTGGAGCCAGAGCAAGGTCCTAGGAGAGCTCCATTGCTATGGGCTAGTAACAGGACAAACCTCTGCCCCTCTCTGCTCCCGTGGCTCCATCTAGCCTTGAATGGCCAAGGTGCATCATACTGACTCCCTGTGGCCACTCGCCTGCCTCCATGACAAGGAAGGACTGCGGTGGTGGTGGTGGATGTCTCTGTACTACTGGTACTAGGCAATATAGCCAAAGGGAAGGCTACCACACTTGTGGAACAGTAACAAAACACAGTTCCAGCAGGAAACTGAGGCCTCTTTGTAGGCCCACCAATGAGTTCCTTCCACTGGAACATTTCTGGTATCCCCCTGGGTGCCATGACTCTGCAGATGGGAGGACTCACCTGGCTGGTGCTGGGCTCAGCCATGAGCACGCCCTGGAGACATCTCTCCAGTTGGAAGTGCAAAGGGACTTGACTGGTGTGGGCAGCAGCTGGGATGGGATAGTCAAATACATACCAATAGCGGCATCAACCAAGGGCTCGGTCAGGTCTTTCACTGCAAGCGCTCCTGCTGCAGACAGAGGAAGGTGAAGAGGGTATAAAGGTGGTGACTATGGGTTGAGAAGGTCCTGGCAGTGGGGACTTTGCCAGGAACACACTTTCTGCTTTCTTATGCAGAGACTATGGGGGGACCCAACTAAGCACCTGCTCACTGCTTGCCAAGGAGCTTTCTGACCAAAAAGAAACAGATTCAGAGAGGGAAGAATGCATCACAACAGTTCTGTGGGGTTAAGACTTCAAGCACCCCAGGGAGGAGGAGGCACTGCCAGACTGGTAATTGGTGCTTACCTGAAATACCCCTGAGAGGTTTTCCTTCTCTCTCTTTATACTCCCGGAGTGGAGTCTCAGCTACTTTTAAGCTAGAAGGGCTGAGTGCCCTCTCACTGGAGTGCCTGGCAATTTACTGAGCTCAGCAAATGCAAAGCCACCGAGGAATGATTTCTTATGCAGCAGTCTGGCAAGATTTAAACACAGCTGCCAGTTTTAGTGCATAAAATACTGGGTTTTGCTTTTCTCTCCCAGTTAGGTTTATTACAGGCAGCGCTGGGGAAGCAGAGCTCCATGACACCCCAGCACTTTGCACTTCCATTTACTTTAAATCACAGTTAGGTGCTCCAGTGTGCCCCCAAGCTCACAGTCAGGTACTGATGCTTGTAATGTTGCAAGCACACAGAAAGCTCTGCTTTGCTTCTTTCATAGCTCACTATTCTTGCTCCTTCCCATTGGCATGCTTGCAGATGAGGGCACATTTGCAAAGATGACCCTAAATTCCCACCCTGTCAAATACACAAAGACTCTCTATGCGCCAAATGAGCCCTTTTCTCCTGGGTGGCTGTAGCACCATGCTTACATCCACCCTGCCCAGCTCTCCACAGGCTGCAGCAGATGGAAAGTAACAGAAGGCTCTGCTTCCACAGAAGGCTGTTGTCTGGGCAAGTGTCTGTGTGCTGAAAGCACAGGTAAGCTGTGCCATGCTGTGCCCATCAGCTTGTTCTGTTCACAATCTCTCTCTGTCTTCTCTTACTTATGGACTGGATCTCTGTAACCCTTTTCTCCTAGGAGTCCATCTAGAAAGAGACAAGATACATGAGTCACAGCTTTACCTGCTGAGGTGAAGGGTACCTACATCATCCATCACAAAATCCCATCTGAAAGGCCTAGATCATAGGCTTCCTTAGGAAACTGAAAGACAAAGCTGAAGTTTGCTGATTGGCACCAGCAGTTTGACCCTGAGACTGAACTGTATGAGCTCCCTGTTTGCTAGGATTCAAACCACACTTCCCCAGAAGCATCTTCAAGCAGTGAATGCAAGCTCCAGCTTCCAACCCTTTGATCAGATCATCAGTACTAATTCCTCCCCTCCAACCTCCATTATTATCAGGCTGACTTACAACATGAGGAGAAGGTGCTTATGCACAATGTCAGTGAATGTCAGTGCTGTTGGAAGCTTCAAACCAGTGGCTGGCCATGGAGGAAAAAGGGATGCTGTTAACGATGGGGAGTGGGATTGGGGTCAGCAACCAAGCGTTCTCATCTCATCAGTTCCTATAAATCTCTCACACCAAGGTTTGCAAACACCTGTGCTGTGAAATGGAGTATTTCTGCAATACCCAGAACTGGAGCAATTTTGACAGAGCCTCACTAATCCTTCTCACTTTATTGCAAATGTACCAAGTTATTAGGGGCTCTCACAATCCCAGTTCAGACCTGCTGTGTGCTTGGGGCCCCTTCAGGTCTCAGGATGGAACTAAATGGCTAAGTTGATAGAAACACTGAGCTCAGGGATGCTGCCTTTGCAAACGCAGGAAGGAAACTTGCCTCTTACCCAGTTTGCTGTCAATGAGATCTGGAGTTTGGTTAGCAGAGGTACGTGGCGAAAACATCAGGAAATGGGTAATGTATTTGAGAGGCAAGTTCTCATTGTGAGCATCTTCCCTGTGCCCGTGGGGCCAATGCACAGAACTTAGAGACACAATGAGCAGCATAACCACAGGTATACAGACTGTTCCTCAGCTCTCTGACATTTGCTGGAGGATGCAGTGACTGCTCCCTTAGGCATCCAAAGGCTGGGAGGAGACAGGAGGCTTGCTCCTGACAGCCGTTCAACACATCTCTTGGTGTGGAAGGAATCCGACCAGAGAAGCAGGAAATGGAACTCTAGGAAACAAGTAGAATTTGATGGGGAGCAATCTAGCAACTGCTGCATTTTGATTCAGCACCTGAGCGTTGACATGCCTTTGCAGTGCTGGCGTGGTGCCTGGGGGCTCAATGGAGAGCTCTTGTTGCTTAGGCACAGCTTTTGAGCAGAGAGCCACAAATCCATGGGAGTGGGAAATAATCTCAGAAGGATCAGGTAGCTGTTGATGAGAACAAGGGTAACTAAAAAGCAAAGATAAGGCTGGGCACATACTGCTTATAGTTGATGAGCATCCAGCAGATGGGCCGTTCGGGCTGTGTTTGTCATGGTCACAATAATGTCACAGAAGTTGGTATCAGGAACCATGCTGTAGGGTCCAGCACTTCTGAAAGGGATGGGTGTGTTCAGAGGGGGCCGTTGCATTTATCCTCTATAGGAAAACTGTATCTGCTGCATCTTCCCTGTCACAGCTCCTTGCGTATAGCTCAGACTCTGATGAGGAATCCAGGCTTCCAGCCCCTCTGTCTAGTCTCCACCTTCTCCCTTAGCCACAAGCTGAATGCCATGTAACCTCGGGAAGCTTCGGTAGCACCCACGCTCCGGATCAAGGCAAGCAGAAACCAGGGTTCAATCAGCTCTTTGATACGAGCTGTCTTCTCCTGGGGCATTGTCCTGATCCCCTGAGAACCAGAGAAGAGCACAAGGAAAATTCCAAGGCATGGTTAAGGTACACCAACCCCAAACCCCTCTTAAAGTGCTTGTCATGCTTCCAGCCTCTATGTAAGTTTTGCTAGCCAGCTTTTCCCAGGCCTTGTTAATGTATTCTGTGGCTTAGAACCTGCTGTTTCATTAGTGTACTTGAGAGACTCCCCTTGCTGAACTAATGTCACTCAACAGGAGCTAGGAGAAGAATTTAGTCTTTGGGTTTTAATTTGAAAATCATCCAGCCTTCTGCAATACTAATCCTCCAAGGATCTGCAATCCGAAGTGCATCACTGCTTAGCTCTGATCTCTGCTTTCCACTCCTTCTCCAATTCCCTCTGCTATAGATAAAAGTGAACGTCTTCCCTCCAGCCTGGGAGGCATGGAGCTTATCTTGAGCTCTTGCAGTGGGCAAAGCATAATCCTTCCAGGTTTACCTGTGTTCTGCAGGATGCTGGATTACCTTCTGCCATGCACATGAGCTACAGCGTGACCTTTCTGCACCAACACCTCATTCTTTGGTGTAATAACCAACACTTCGTTCTCTGGTGACTAACTCTCTGCATGACATGATGCCTTTAAGGGTTACAGGCATAATATGGTGACAGAGGTAGCAAAATCCTGCCTTAATGGGAATGAAAGGCTGAAAGAAACGTTCCAAGAGCAGGAGGAGGCTCCTTGTGAGGTTACTGTTGAGGCAATTACCTCCTTCACAAACCTCCAGCCAAAGCCAATGAAGGAGAAAGAGGAACAACTCGGTGTCACTATCCAACACATTTGACTTCGCTTTTACCTTCTTAGGATGCTAGTTTCTCCTCCCCTGCCTGCAGGCTATATTTAACAGAGAAGGTGTGACTGAGAACGCTGCCATTCCCACCGTGTCCCAGATGCCACTGTTTTGACTGGAGAGAAGCAAGTCAAACCCCTTCAGTTCAGTCTTAACCCCAAGAAACCTCTGGGCCTGCCTGTTAGTTCTGTGCAACGATGATGTGCATCTCGTTCCATCACTGCTGTTAAATCATTTGCTCCCTTCAGAGCTTTCCTTTGCAGCTCCATGATATTCAATAAAATAGGAGCAGAGTAGAAATAACAAGACTTGTTCTTATAACCTTCTCACTGGAGTTCTTATAACTTATTCCACAATGGTGCTGCACCACTGACAATCTTGTCCAGGAGATAAGTTTACAATTAAATAAAACTATAATGACCAAAAAGACTACGTCAAATCCATAGGGATCAGCAAATAACCCATGTTAAACCCAGGAAATGCATATATCAGTTTGTATACTGGTAGTATGAAGTGTTTAAATCCAGGCCTTGACAAGTCTGGGCTCATTGATAACTGAGCTGACAACCTCCAAGCTGGAACAGTACCATTGCTCACCTTGAAGCATCTCTTGAAGAGAGAGGAGAGCTGCTGTGAGAAGGGCTTCAGGATGCCTGGAAGTCTTTGCAGCCAGCACTCAACGAATGGCTCCAGCCCCAAGATGCTGGGTTCGAAGTAAACCATGCCACAGCGAGACACTGTGGCAGGGGAAGCAACAGCCAGAGCCTGGGCTTCAAACACCATGGTCATACACTGGAAACTGCAGAAAGAAAGCAAGGAGGATAAGGAGTTGATCACTTCCAAGATACCTTTCAGCATAATTTGGCAAAGATGAAATCTTTTCCTTTGTTGCTGAGGCCGTTTTTGTTGTTCCTGGGCAGCTCAGGGCTACCACTGAGACACCAATTTCATACAAGTCCACCACAGACATCAAATGGGAAGTAAAAGGCAAATCTGTTCCAAGAGAGAGGAAGGAAAACAGACAACAGGCAGCAAAAGCGTGAGAGATGAGTTACCTCTGACAGCTTGATGATTTCCCCTGAGCTCAGACACAGCTTATTGTCATCTAGCACTGTGTTCATGTTCTCAATCCACACAGCATCAACTGGGCCATCAAACATGTACCACTGCTTGATGGGTCAGTGGCCACAGCTCCCCGCTGGATGAGTGAGGAAAGGATCCCATCTGTCCTGAAAGGTGGGAGGGAGGCAGCGCTTGGCCCATTCTGGTTCTGCTGAAATCCATGGCAAAGCTTCCACAACCTAAGGCAACAGAGCTAGAATCTTACCCTGGTTGCTGTGCCCAAGGATACCTGTGCCTCACTGGATGAACTGCCTAAAGGTCCATTTTGTTATTTCTTTTACTGAGACATACATCTCAGTCTGCGTGACACCGTGACACCATGAAACAGTTTCTATGGGCATTAGGGTCTGTATTTCATGCCATCTAACTGTAAAATGCCAAGTTTCCCTTTAACATCTCCGCCCTCAGTGAAAAACAAAGAGGCCTTGCTAGCATCCATTTCAGGTTATAGGTGGGTTATCTTCTCCACCAAGTGTTTTCAGGACAGCTACCCTGCTAATTCAAATGCTTCTGTTGGGTAACTACAGGTTATGAGGACGAATCCAGGCTAAAGAGCATGCCTCTACCCTCTCTACAACTGAAATTCCCCATCCTCAGCATCCATCACCAGGTGATGCTGGAGATGGTGACCAGGGGAGCAGACACAGGGAATGCTGGCTGTTTGCAGCAAGAACTTGATCTGTACATGGAAGCCTGGAGTGCAATTTCCATTCAGGCCCTGGACTTTACTCCCATTATTAATACTTGTTATTTTTGCAGTGTTTGTCAATTGTGGGGTATTGTTACTGAGATCAAGGGAAAACAGTCTGTTCACAAGCTCAGCTCATTAAAACAGATGGATCTGTCTGTAAATACGTTTTACACCACTGCTGTATTTCTCTTTTTGTCACGTTGCCATGTCTGTGTGCTGCCCTTGGGTACAGTCACACCATAAATAAACTGTTGAGCCTAACTGGAACATCCTAGAGAACGTCCTTCAGTAAAGAAGCACCAGAGCCCGAGGTAGGAAGCTCTGAGTCTCAGCATCAGCAGTGCTTGCTCACTTGCATTTTTCCTAGAGGTAGTTAGTTTCACATTTATTTAGTTTCCCATTTTACAGAACAGAGCCTTTAGCTTTGCCCCTAAGCAAGTGGTGGGTAACAGGGCTAAAGGGAGATTCACACTGCTTCCCACACCTCAGTATGTGGATAAAGTGAGCTGCAAATTCAACCTGAGGTCACATACAGAAACATAAGCAGTAAGACCTGGCTGTCAAGAGGGCAAACAGGCTATTGGTTCTTGCTTCTAAATGTGTAAGCAAGCAGGAGCCCTGGTAACAGCAATGAAATGCCTCTTTATGTCTGCAAGTCATTCCTCCTCGTTCAAGGCCACCAGTGTATTTACACAGAACAATCCAAGTGCTTCTTTCAGAAGTAAAGCAAGTGGTTTTAAGCTGCTGCATCTTAGAGCAGGGCTATGTGCTCCATAGCAATTTAATTACTCCTTGTTATGCAGTTAGTGCTGCTTGCTGAGCTGCAGTAACTGTCTGGGCATGTGCTGGCAGCCAAGCCAAGCACACAATAGAAGATGTCAGCTTAAATGGCTGTGACTGGCTATTGTGGCTTGGGGAGGATAAGGACTTGATTGCTTCTGGTTTCATGCCACTGCCCTAAGCAGTTCTCAGCCTTGAAGAGAAGATGCTCAAGAGAAGAAGAAAACTGTTTCCAGTCTGGAAAGAAGGAAAGCAGGTTTTGTACTTTACCACTCATGCGTTAGCAGGTTGAACTCTCCATAAAGCTGGCCCATTGTGATCGATTTGGGATTCAGTACAAAGTACCTGACTGCCTCCTAATTCCCACCACTTGCTGCAGGCTGACCTTCCAGTGATGTCACTGCAGCTGCCAGAACTTGGTAACTGCAGAAGCAGGAGAGCAAGAGATTTAACTGCCACGGCTCCACTTGCTCTCACAGCAGTTGCATTCAAAAAGCAGTGAAAAAGGAGATACAGTGAAGGATAATATGGCAGTAAGGAGATGCCTGGCTGTATTCACAGAAAGCAATTCTAGATGAAGAGGGGAGGAAGTTAGATCTCCTGTCCAAGAGGCCTGAAGCATCTCAAGGTGTCAAAGCATGTCTCAGCCTTAGAAACCTGCAGCAGAGCTAATAAGCCTCGTCTAATCTCCCAACTTGAAAGAGTGAGCTAGTAATATACTTCATATAAATCAGTACCAAAAGGCATCATCTTGGTGCCCTGACTTTTATCTGAGAGAAGGTGGAAATGCTGGAGAGTGAGTCTTCTGTGAAGCTTAACCCTCTGTATCCATAGCTAGGCGATGGTTTACTGGTGCCAGCAGACTCACAACCATACCTTTGTCTTACCAGAACCTGTTGGTCCCACCAGCATAAGGCCATGTCAAACCACAGTAGTTTCATAGAGCTGAATGCACTTAGTTACAGAAACCTGCAGAGGAAGGAATGGGGAGTGGGTCTGGAACCAGCTCTCTCTTTTCCTAGGGCAGAGGACTAAAAGCCCAGGCCCACAGGGAGCTTGTGGAGAGCTTTTTCCCTCACCATCAGTATCCTTCAGGTTCTCTTTGATGCAGGATTTGTGAATGGCTTCTTCCAGGATGCCGTAAGCAACAGGCTCCTCTTTGATCTTGGGAAATACATCTGAGACAACACCACTGAAGAGTGCGAGGGCATCCTTCAGGAGTTTGGGTCCATTGGGTCCAGATCAGCTCCTGCAGAGACTGAACAACTTCAGAGATCTCAGCTCTCTTATGAGGCACAGAAAAGTCCTAATAGGTCTGTGACAATGTGAAGTCTTAGCCCATTTACCTCATCCATAGTAGGATTCTCTCTTTTTAGGTTGCCAGCTGTTGAGATGACACTCTTCACAGCTCTCATCCCAAAATCATTGCGGGCCTGGGAAAGGCACAGACAAAACAATGACATCAGATACAGGAGCACCACCTAAAATAGAGTGAACCTATGCATGCACTCAGTTAGCAGGTAAGAAAAGAAAAATGAGTTATGCCTCAGAACAACTGCTTCCTATCGCAGTTTGTTCTCAGTATCCTTCAAACAACTAACTAGTCCTCAGCTGTACAGACTACAAGTGAGGAAGACAAGAATATCTGGATGATAACACATCCTAGATGGAAGGAGAAGCAGGCAGGGCTGCTTAGCTCAACTGTCCTGCCACTGTAATTCAAACTAGCGCTGAAGCTGAATGCAAGTCCAGCCACAGGAGGAAAAATGAGAACCAGAAAGGAGGGAGGTAGATGAAGAATGGGCACTGTGACCTGTTTGTGATATGCGGTCACAAGACACTGGGAGAACCACCCAGGTACCTTGTGCCTAGGCTGAAAATCTCACATTTAAGAAGACATTTATGGACATTAAGGCATCTACTTGGGAGCTGAGCTGCTCTCACAATAGTCTGAATGTTGTGGTGATTTTTGCAAGGGTTTTGGCTTCATCAAACCCAAAGGAGTGAGATCTCAGCAATCATGGAGTAAACTGGGACCATCATAGCCACAGGATGAAAGAGAGCCTGAAACATGGCTCCAACACAGGATTAACACACTTTTTCCAGCAAACTGAGAAGGCTGGGTATCTACCCCAGTCTGTTTAGAGGACACAGCCCAAGTGTGCCTGACACCTGTCAGGATAGCATCCCTGCAGACTGCTATCTGAGGAGCATCATTTGCTTACAGAAGTGATTCAAATCTCAAAATGATCCTAGAACCTTTCCAAAAGCATCACTTCCTAATCCTTGTCATGGACACACCAGTGGTCTGGGTAGCATCCAGCACCTGTACTGCCTCCTTTCTGTCTATGCAGTCTGTCCTCCTTACCTTCAGCTTATCGGGCAGTTCAGTACGCCCAGCATACCCTGGGTTCACTGTGATGGAGACTGCACAGGATGGGACCAGTGGGATCTCTGTGCCTTCAAACATGAAGCGATTCACCTAGAAAATTAAAGATACTATTCTCCTTGAAGAACAGAGCCTGACCTGAAAATCAAGTAACACAGCAGCATCCTCCAAGAGGAAAACAGTGGCTTTCAGTAGTTAAATTATGAAGCACGGACACACAGACGGGCCCATAACTGCAGTGACTCAAGGTGGGCCCACTGCAGGAATCTGGTATTACCAGGAAGATTTTTCCCTGTTTAAGAAACTGGGCTCATGGAAGATTCACTGATAGGCTTTTTCTTTTTCTTTTTCCTCTTGAACAGACTTTTATCCCTCCAGCTGTAAACAAACATCTTTTCATTTATTCTGCACTAGAGTTTGGACCTGAATTAATTTGTGGCAGAGAGGGCGAAGAGAAACCTAAATCCTTTTGAAAGCTGTGTAGGTAGTAATTTCAGATGGGGGATAAGGTAATGCAGAAGGGTTCATGGAGAGCAAGTTTCTAATTCCAAGCCAAAGTAAAGGAGATTCAGGTCTTAACCCCTCTGAGCCCCCTGACAACAAAGCAGAGGCTGGCTCTTAGACTGGCTGACAGCCGAGTCTCCACGTAAAGCCAAAAATTCACTTTACATTGCAATTCTGGGGATGCCCAAGTATGCATTTTCCTGAACACACTGGGTTTTGAGATCCACTAAGGCTTTGATAACGCATTTAGACAAACGTGGTGCTGAGCAATTCACGGCAGAACACTGTCTTTATCTTAGCTCCAGTTTGTACCAGTGGATCTGTATTGGAGTGTCTCCCACACCAAAGCCTGCTGGCACTGCGGCTCAGGCTGAGATGTACGTGAGCCTGTGCAAGCATGGGCAACTACGGTAGCACAGACTAGGGTGAAGTTACAAAACCCACCCAAGGTGCTAACAGTGTAATGGCCTGATGTGATGCTCCCAGAGAGGGCATTGCTCATGCCTCTCCAAGCTCAAGTGTGTCTGAGTTGCCCCTAAGCAGTGAAGCTAGTCTGAAGACAAGGACTTGCCTAGACTAGCTCAAGTGGAGCTCTTTTGTCTGCCCTTGCATCCACCAGTTCATTACATACCCTCTGCTGCTGTGCTTTCTGAATGGTTGTGATCTGATCAATGGTTGTGATCTTGTCAAAGCAAGCCCATGTGTCAGAGCTAGGCAAGGAAGGAAAAACGAGGGGAGTCAGGAACATCTTACAGAAGCGGACTTGCAGTCAAAAGTTCAGCTAGATCTAGAAATTGTAGATTCACATACTGGGGAGGCAGCACAGAGGCAAGAAATGAGCCTAAAAAGCCCCTAATGCCCCACAGCTACAATGTACTGGTGCAGTGGAAGGGCCTTTAGCCCTCACCCCAACTATGCATCCCAGGCCATGGGTGAGTGAGAAGGGGCATGGTCCCTGCAAGCCCATGGCAACGACTGCTCCTACAGCCTAGGACAAATTGTGCATGTTAGAGATTTGGGCTTGAAAGGTGTCCTGTTGAATTCCTGGTTTATACCTGAGCTGTGAGTATAGCAGACAATTTAGACATCCCTTAAGTCCAGTTTTCAGAGCTTAGATCACAGTTTGAGAAAGAAGTTAAATTACTGACAAAGAAAACATCTGAGAAGAGTATGAGCTTCTGTTGGAATAACATTCAGATTCAGCAGTGTGCAACAGACTAATTGGACCAGCTCTGTTTGACAGGCAGGGAGAGGAACCTCTCTGAGAGGATCCCTCAGGGCTTAGAGCAGTCTCTCCCGGCTGCTCAGTTTTGGATACACTCAGCAGATTCTCTCTTTCTTAAGATGAAGCAGCTTGCAGGCTGAATCTCAGCTCAACGTGTATGATATTCAAACAAAGGGCAGAGCTGCAACACTTGCACAGGTGGATTAGTGCATAGTGGATTGGCGCAAAGCGTTTTAATTTTGCCTTAAATAAACAGGATCTCTTTTTATACCCCCCCTTTTTTTGTTTTAATTGACCCAACTGTCACAAAATTCCTGCCAGAAGGACCTTTGCTCATCCTGGAACACAGTAACCCCCTTACTGCTGCTTTGCTTATTCTTCTGGGTTGATGTGGAAAATACCCACCACTTCCCAGTGGCCAGCACCCCTGTACCTGACCCACAGCATTTCACTGTACCTGGCTAGTCCCTTGAAGAACTTTCCCATTGCCATAAAGTCAAGCTGGCCAGAGCAGTTGGACACTACAGTTTGGGTTGCTAGTGCTTTGCCCAGGTCTTTTGTTGCTTCCCTTTTGCCTGGTCCTGCTGGTGCTCCTCCAAATCTCAGGTGCAGAGCTCCTGTGTCAGGTAACACCTATGACAAAGAAGAGATCAGATGATGAAAAGTACTTCTACTACTGGTTTCAGTAAGGGAGATGTATGATCCATGCAGCTGGAGACAAACAAGAATCCATCCTTTATTATTGGAACTGCTTAGATAGACAGCATTCTGCAAAGGAGTTAGCTATGTGGCCTCAATTAGTATTCACCTGGGTCTGAATGGATAAACCCTTCTGCCACCAGCTACAGATTCACTCTCCTGAAAAAGGACAGTTACAAACAAGTAAAACTATTATTGCTGCTGCATGTTCTAGGGTACCAGATGTCCATATCTACTGCCTTGTAGAAGAGCTCCTTGGCTATCAGGAAGACATCTTATGAGAGAGCACAGCAATAAGAATGAGGGGAATGAAAGCAATCAGTCTGAGCACTGATCATGAGGAATACAGTAGAACCAATGCCAGTATGTTCCTGTGTCCTAATCTCAGTGAGTCCTTTACTGTACAAATGGTTTCTATTTACATGCATTAAGCACGGTCAGATTCCCAGTAAGGCTTGTTCATCCAGGAAAAAGATATTACATAGAAAATAGTCTCCTTACCTGTCAGCAAGGGGTATAATAACCAGACGGCCAGTGTTCCCCAGGTACTCACAGCCATAGAGAAGTTCAGCATTGACTGCTCTCATGTACAGGTCCCCCTTTGTCCAGTAGTATCTAATGATGAGTGAACATGACATCAGAAAGATAAAACACTGGGTGGCAGACAGTACAGCAGCTCTCAAGGCTACAGCCTGCAGGTTTAGAGACCTGCATATCAAGGGATTTCCTCCTTGAGAGAAGAAAGATAAGGTGACACACTAAGATGGACAGGAGCTCTCACAGGACCTGAAATCAGCTATTTGTCCTGGGTTCAGCGGTAGCAGTCATTTTTCTCCTTAGGAGCTGGTGCAGTGCTGTGGTTTTGGCTTTCAGCCTGGGAACAGCACTGATAACAGTGATGGGTTTAGTTGCTGCTCAGTAAGGTTTACTTTGACCAAGGACTCTCTGAGCCTCATGCTCTGCCAATGAGGACAGGAAGCCAGGAGGAAGCAGAGACAGGACACCTGACCCACACTGACCAAAGAGGTATTCCATACCACAACACGTCATACCCACTATATAAACTGGAGGCAGTCACCCAGAAGGGATAGATCACTGCTCGGGTTGGGCTGGGTATCGGTCAGCGGGTGGCGAGCGGTTGTGTTCTCTTCCCTTGTTATTTCCCTTCTCATTATTATTGGTGGTAGCAGCAGTGGTTTGTGTTATACCTCAGTTACTGGACTGCTCTCATCTCAACCCGTGGGAGTTCCATTCTTTCAGTTCTCCTCCCCATCCGTCTGCTCCCAGAGGGATGGGGAGGAAGTGGGGGGGAGCACCATGAGACCCAGAGCTAGATATCTCCCAGGTATTAGATGTGATTAGATGCAAGGAACAGTTAGGAAGGATGCAGTTTCACTCTGATTCCTACTATCTATTGTTTCAGTTCTCCTCCACCTTTGATTTCGTGGGTGAACCTGGAAAAGTTATCTTTGACCTTGTTTCTGTCTTCAGGTAATGATCATAATTGTCAGTCCTATACATTATTTGAGGTTTATGATGACACACATCTTAATGATTAAGACAGTAAAAACCTGCACTTTTTAACCTGTTTTGGGGCAGGTACTGTGTCTGTCTCTCCTATAGTATTGTTCTGGTTGTATTTATAAGTTACCTAAAGTTTAATGATTGAAAAGTCCCCATCTGCCAAAATCTCACCCTTACATTTTCATACCTGAGTACTCCGCTGTGGGAAAAGCCTGCTGGCCAAATCAGCTTCCAGAGCTTCAGACACCTCCTTTGTCCAGGATGTTTGTATGAAAACAAGGGGTTTACATCACTGCTTCTAACTTGAGTGAAGCAAATAAAATCATAGGTAGGATAACCATTTCTCACTGCCTGTCCAGGATTCAAACCCTTGATTCCTGTTTATTCCAATAGATTCAAATCATTTCCCTTGAGGTCACAAGGGAGTGACCTCAAGGAAAATTTAAGAGTAAAATTTTAACAGTTTCCCCAGTTCCCCAGCATGTCACTGAACGTTCACTTATTCATTCCAGTGGTTTTGCACCAGCTTTGCAGTTCAATTTGCTTTCTGTGTTTCCAAGCTAATGACTAGGAGATTGCTTTTAGCATCTGAGTATTGTGGTGGTGCGAGCTGTGCCTAGCCATAGAGTCTGAGGTCTATTAGGAATAATAAAGGTGAAAAAAACCAGGCTCAGCACCAGCTCCTAAGTAGGGATGAAGGCAGAAACTTCATTCAGTTCAGGCTTGTTCACTCCTTGTCCCTCTTGAGGCTGTCAGCAAAAGTAGAATTCCATCCTAACCAGGTGTCTGTGAGTAGACAGCAAAGTCTGAGCTATTTTCCTTGGCTTCCATGGTGGATGGACAGATGTCTCCAGAGGGAGTGTCACCTCCTCCTAGGATGGGCATCTAAGAGAATGTCCCTAAATTGCCTTTTGCAGATGTCTATTCTCTTGCCCCCCGCATTGTCTGACGGGCAACTGAGGGTGCCCAATTCTGGCTTTGAAATGTCTAAAGTGAGCTTTATTCTGCTCTCGTGAGACCTCCCCTGGAGCATTGTGTGCAGTTCTGGTGTCCTCAACATAAAAAGGACATGGAACTGTTGGAACAAGTCCAGAGGAGGCCACGAGGATGCTCAGGGACTGGAGCAGCTCCCATATGAAGATAGGCTGAGAAAGTTGGGGCTGTTCAGCCTGGAGAAGAGAAGGCTGCGTGGAGACCTCAGAGCAGCTTCCAGTGTCTGAAAGGGGGGTTATAGGGATGCTGGGGATGGACTCTTCATTAGGGACTGTAGTGATAGGACAAGGGGTAATGGGTTAAAACTTCAACAGGGGAAGTTTAGATTGGATATAAGGAGGAAATTCTTTACTGTAAGGGCAGTGAGGCACTGGAATGGGTTGCCAAGGGAGGTTGTGAATGCTCCATCCCTGGCAGTGTTCAAGGCCAGGCTGGACAGAGCCCTGGGTGCCATGGTTTAGTGTGAGGTGTCCCTCCCCACGGCAGGGGGCTGGAACTGGATGATCTTAAGGTCCTTTCCAACCCGAACTATTCTAATCACAGATTCTATGATTCTAAAGTGGGTCTAAATGCGTATCAAAGAATGGTATTCCTTCATTTCACCCCACCCTTTCTAGGCAAACCATGAGGCACAAATATGCAACGAAGAAATGCCAACATTTGCGTCTCTCTGTTTTATCCCCATCAGATGGCAGCATTGAAAGGCGCAGCCTTGCTTCTGTTTACATTCTCATTACAGCATCCTAAACTTAGATTGTTTTGCTCTTTCTTCGCAGAGAGAACGGGAGTGAGCCTCTCCTTTCCCATTTCCTGAACCAGGGGGTGTGATCCAGTCCCCTGACATTCCAGGTTATTTAGGAATAGCAAATCTCTTCGTCTCCAGATATTCACTCAGCCCTTTCTGCACCAGTTCCAGCAGCTGGTTACATCTCTGGAGCTTCTGTAGTAGCACAGGATCAGGGCACAAAGAAATCACCTACAGGAAGAATGGAGAACAGAGGAAGCATCAGTGTTCTGAGCAAGTGGGAGATAAGGAAATGGAGATAATTGGGCTGCCCAGTGATGTTACTGGTAGGATTTAAATGACTCATTCACAGGAGTACTTTCACAGGGATCTGGAGAGGTGTGAGCTTTGTGGGCAAGGAGGGGAAACAGCACTTATGGATGCGACAAGCACATTTCTGGGTTCCCCTAAACACCAACACTTGTAATATGGAATACAAGCGGTGGTGGAGTCCTGGGAAGTGAAGACTGGAGAACAGAAGAGTGCAGAGCACTACTACCAGGACACAAATATGGGTGAAAACAATGGCTCTAAATTTAAAGGATCAGGCTTGAGAAGGAATCAAATGACGTATATCTTATGGGTTATGATTATAGCAGAGCTGGTTACAAGAGCTGTAGGAGGTAGGGAGTATGTGCTAAGGAGAAGATAATGGTGTGGTGGATGCCTTGGTGCAAGGCATCACAGGGAATAACGCTGTTTGGACACTATAAATAAAGGCCAAGTTCCAGGAGGAGAAACCTAGCACACCGCCCTGGACAAGGCCTCATGGTTTAAACAGTGCTGTTCAAGCCCACACCACTACTAAAACAATTCAAAGGCAGCCTCTGTATGAGCACAGCTCCAAGGAGTTTGGCTTTCATCACGGTACACACCTCAAGGTTTTCATTAGCGCTCTTCATGATGTCCCTCCAGTCCTTATCCACTTCCTGGTAGAGCTGGCTTTCCAATGGGAGCTGTCTCTTGATGTCCTCTGAACTAAAGACTGGCTCCAAGTAGAGCCACGAGAGCTGGCACTTCAGCCATTCCTCTAGGACAGCCTAGTGGGAAGCAAGAAGAGCGGCATATCAGGACCCCAGGCTAGGAACCCATTGACAAAACCATGCAAACTGCACACCAGAATGGGTCTGAAGACAACCACAGCACCCACTGCTGTAACGGGGTTAGTTTAGACATGTGGAAGCCAGTACAAACACTCAAAGGGACTTTTCAGTTCTAGATCAAGATTCTGTGCCTAGTGTTTCTGTATTTTACAGAAAATAGCACAATGTAATCATACAGTAAGATGGGGATTTTATTTTGTGGGAAGAGCTTTTGGGGGAAGAAGAATGACAATACAATATGACTGCAGAATCCTCTCTCCTGCCTGATGTACCTCAGCCCCAGCCCCGGATTAAACCATGAAAAGCTCTCTAAACGAAGGAGTGAGAGAATGAATGAAAAGCTGAACATTCAAGCTAGACATCAGGCAGGAAACCCTGTCTGTGAGCCAAGGAGCAAGAGAACTAGGTTGAAAAAACCATCTTCCTCCACTTTAAGGCATAGGAGATTGGAAGGTATGGGGAGCCTGCCCAGCACTGCAAAGCAGCTGAAGTGTTTGCCTCCCTTTCATACTTCCTTAGGCACAGGGCACTGCCTCCCATCCCCTGAGCACAGGCAAGCCCCCTGCCTTAGCAGCAGGTGGGGTTCTCCAGTAATACAGGCAGTGATGTTTGCTGTGCTCCATCAGCTAACCCTCATAAGCCACTTCCCAGAAGCAGATTCATGGGCCTTTAGTGACAGGAATGAATGCAATCAAAAGAAGGGGTAGGAAAAGCAGGGTGTAAGCATGGACAACATCACAGCCAAAACCACACAGTAACTGAATTTTCCCCCGTCACCTGCTGCCTTAGGTCTTATAATAGCATTTCTGTATCTTCATGAGACAAAGCAGCCCATGGCCCAAGCACACCCAGATGGTAAGCAACAATAAACAAAATAAGGTAGTTATGAGTAACAGATAGCAATGCTGCTATGCATCAAAGACCAGCATTTACACAGAGTTCAGCCAGGCTTGTATTGGCATTTTTCTCCTGAAGCAAGATGCTATTTTGCTAGCTGAGTCCTGCTGGGTGCTGTGCATTCAGGTTCTGGTTTGATGAAGACGTGCTGGCATGGTGTGACAGACCCTGCTCCAAGCAGCAGTCTTCCTTGTGATTTCCTACACTGAGATGTGAATGCTTAGCATGGATCTCACAGGGCCTACAAGAATCTGTAAGGTCCACTTAGTGTAATATAGTGTAAAATAGTGTAACAGAGATGCAGTAGGACTGTTCTCAGCAATGGGACAGTCCTGACCCCAACCAAAAGTCTTACAATAGGCAGAAAAAAAGCTGGAATTTCATCTCTGCTGGTTGGAGAATAAGGCTGAGTTTATCCCCTCTTTTACTACAGTCCTCCCTTAACACTGCTTTTCTCCTGATAGTCTTCCTCCCAGTTCCCTAGTAGCAACTGCAGTGCCCATGTTTAAGCATGGCAGCCCAGCCCAGCTGCCTGCCTCTCCCAGGTGTGTGCAGGGAAGAAAGCAGTACCTGTGTAACCTTCAGCTTGCTTTCCCATGCCTTCATCCTTTCCTCAAACGGTTTCCTGAATGGTGAGAGGGACATGCTCCCAACCAAGACAATGTGAGCATCTAGGAGCTCAGAAGCTTCCTCGGTGTTCTTCAGAATAAATGTTCCTGTGTCTTTGTATGGGTCCACAGCAAAACAAACGGAGTTCCATTCACTCTCCATCCTGTTGAGCGCCTGAAACAGAGGGACATACAACTGATACAATGGGCAGTGGTTACCCCAGCTTCCAGAACTCTCTTAATGCCCCTCTCTAGCAAGTGAGAGACTTTTCCTCTTAGATTCCACTGGGAACTGCAGCTGTGTATTTAATGCATGACATACTCAGCAACAGCACCTTTCATCTGCATTGCCCATGGACTCAACACTTCAGTGCTGTCCCAAAAGAAACACCTTGAGGGGAAGAAAGTGCAATTGCATCTCCAGGCCCATTTATGCTAGTAGATGCAGAGAGGCTGCCAGCAAAGTGCCTACTAATGATTATGGTTAACGATAGCTTTGTGAAAGGGGTAGCTATTCGTTGGGTACTTGCCTGAGATTTCAGAGAACAAAAGCTGCCAGAAGGTAATGACTTTCAGTAAAGACCTTAGGTCACATCAGAACTGGTGAACTGAAAGACTAACCTATGGATCTCTAGAGTCAGCAAGTCTTCCTTGACCATTTACTGTGTTAAAGGATTTGCCACCTCCATTTCCAGCCACAACTAATCTCCCTGATGTAATGTTTGAGTGGCAGAATGCAGTCAATTTACTTTAACTTGAACAGTCACTAATCCCATAGTGAGGTGTCAGACCCAACCAGCACATCATCAGGCAGCACTGTTATGCTACAAGTGAAACTGTGCAAGGTGAACTCAACTGTGTGACCATTGCTCCGCTCTTGAAGCACAGCAATCTTCTTACTTTTGCTGCAGAATGTGTCTATTGCTCTGGACAAGAATATCACCCAAGACAATGACTACTTGCTCAACAGAAACATATTTGAGAAGCAACCAAAGCCTCCACAGTCCCTCTCTCCTCACATTCTCAATGGCGTATTCCTTGCCAGCTGCCTCAGCTACTTTGCTGATGCTCTTGATATGGTCCAGCAGGTTCATTTCCAAGCAGCGAGAAACTGGCAGGCTGGGATCTATCTTGATATCCATCTTAAGAGATTCCGACAGCATATCCCAGTGCCGCTCTCTCATACCGGGACTGCACAGCCCTTGAATTAAGGGGACGTAGGGCTTGAATTTGTCAATCTTGTCTCGAAACTCCATTGCCACACCCTGGCAGGCTTTCAGGGAGAAAAACAGAACATCATCAGCAACAAGACTCTGTGAGGAAGTTGGCTTCAGGAAGTTCATAGAAGTAGTCTAAAGCCTGATGTGCTTGTAGATACATGGTAGGTAAACAGCATGGGAGAACACTGAAAAATGCAGGTTGAAGTAATGAGGACACAAAGGTGCTCTCTAAGCATGGCTGCTAAGCAAGGATTCAAGCCCACTCCCAGAAGCAGACCTGCTTATTAGCCCCAAGTCTGCTATAGACAAGTTCATGCTAAGCAGAACTGTTCTTTGGCCTAGAGCTCACTAGAAGATGAGAAGCAAACAAATTTAGTCCCTTAATATGGGCCCCAAGCATGACAAGGTCCCCTCTGACAACTGGTATTTTAGAAGCTCTGGTCCCCATTCCAAAATCTTAACTCTCAACCCAAACTTGTTAATAAACTGATCGCACACCACCCTAAATAGAAGATGGGCACTACATCTCAGAGATAGAAGTAAACTAGGATCAGAGCCAGCTATGGACATGGAAAGCAGGCAGGAGAGGCTCTGCTACCCTATGGCCACATTAAAGCCAAAGGTACTTCTGCCTCACAGAAAGGACACAGTCAAGGAAAAGGATTTGATCTCTGGGGACATTCTGGAAGCCCACGTCTCTACACTGTTCACATCCTGCCCTTTTTCAGCTTGTGCTATTGTGAATAAAGCAACGGACAGGCAAAGAGCACAGGACTTGACTCCTTTCCAAAACCTGGCTACATACAGTATGTGCCTCCTTTTATTGCACCCTGTGTGGTCGCACCACACAAGCACAGCAAGGATCTGAGCACCTCACACTCCCTGCTGGGTGCTATGCAAAGAAAAGGCAGCCTCAAGGATGCAGCTCATATTTAACCAGGTGCCAGGGAATATTGAAATGAGTATGAGCAGGTATTCTTAGTATTTCTGTTTACCATAATGATTCATAGTTACTCATGCATCCACTCATCACCTCCTCCATTGGGGCTGATTCATGGCATTGTTTAAGAGCAAGTTCAAGTTAAAAAGGATGAATCAAAACTCTCCCACTGCAGAACATATTTCAATCTAAGCCATCTGGCACGAGATTTTAGAATTAGCTCTAGAGGATGACCAGCACATCTCTGAGAATCATGGAATGGGAAGTTAAGCTACAACTGAAGCCTCCGTTCCAGCTTTACTAGGAGGCATGATTAAAAGGCCTTCACGTGAATAGCAAGGGCTGGATGTGATCATCTGAACTTCATACACATTCAGGCAGGCAGGAAAACAGTTATTACATTCCAAAGATCATTTCCAGACTTTGCAGTCTCATCTTATTCATAACGAAATCAAGAGCTCCTCTGGCTTCCCATTAAATTCATTGGCCAATAGAGAAAATAAGATTGGCCAAGAAGATGGCACCCAGAAGACTCAGATTCAGGTTCCTTTGCTGCCTGACTTGCGTATGGGCTTAAACCCACATGTCTAGCCAGTAGGCTACATAGTGATTCTCTATGACTAATCTGGATTCTTTCACTTTATATAAATAAGTAAATATTAAATGCAAAATAAGAGGGTGGCTTTTATTTCAGTACTGTCTTAGGAACTGGGTATAAAAGGGATTTGCAGCCTGATTGTTTCCACGTTAAACTGGTACTTCAAGCAGCAAACTAAGATCTAGATGTGAGTAACCACAGCTCCAGAACAAAAGTAGAAAATGACCACTAGCATTTTCTCAACTGACTCTAATACACACAACGCATCTATGTGACATCCTGACAATCCCTGTTCAGAACACCCTGTGACATGCCTCACAAACATTGCTGATATGCCCCAACCTCCTTTCTCCAGACCATGTATCTACCTGATGAATCCTTCAACTGCCTCACGCATCTCTGCATTGTCTTGAAAGAGCCATTGACGATCTTTTCTATCTGCTCAGAATCAATTTCCATGAGAGGACCACTCATCCATTTCTCATACTGATGCGTCCAGTCTGACACTGTTTTCCAGAGGTCATGGTATGGCTGGAAGTCCTTAACCATCCTGGATAGCCCACTGTACTTTGGAAAGAGAGAAAAAGCAAGCATAAGCAACAAGTGTATTCTGCTCAGGACGACAGCTTTTATGTCAAAAGGCCAAAAAAGGCACAATTGTTTTTTGGATCTCAAACAAGCAATGGGAAAATGTGTACTTCAAGAGGCTGGACCGTACTACGTTTTCCTGGGACCACAATGTAGATTCCAAGGGAGAGCAACTAGCAGAGCTGCGCTTCCCACAGTCAGGCCAAAATGGGTCTAGTGGAACTGTGCCTGCACCATTTGTTGGGCATGAAAAGCACTCTCCCACTTGCTTCTACACGTGCTCTGCTGTCGAATGAGACTTTGATGGGCAGTTCACACACAACCAACGAAAGCACACATGCTTTCACTGCGCATCATATAGAAATCATATAGAAATTTGGCTCCTTACAGTGAAGGAGAAGGAACCACAGACTGAGGAGTAAAGGATCATGTGAAGGGTACTTCTGCTCTGCAGCCAGCCTGGGCTGAAGGTAGATGGCAATGATTCATTGGCAGCTGAACAGCTACTGACAAAATGAGTGTTTGCAACTATGTGAAGTGTTGCTTTAGGAGAACACTCTACAATGGAAGCCCAACCAGCTGCCTGCACGTCTATGTAACAGCAGTAATAGCCTTACAGAAACGGATGCATCTCAGCTGCTGTTTCGAGACAACCCCCCATGCAATTTCTCCTCATTAACATCACTCAGATCTAAGCACGGCCACACAAAGTCTCTCACAGTGGCTGGATCAGGCACATAAGCAGCTTTACACATTTGTCTGGCATCAGATCTTCTGTGCCACAGTGGAGTGACGGAGCAGTGTGGTCACCCTACACTCTACAGAGCACCTGATCAGATGAATCGGGAAAGCATGAAGGATGCCTTCCTGAGGAACTGTGCCTCATTATTTGCTCTACCACCTAGAAAACCCAACCAAGATGCGAGTCCTGTAGGTACAGGACCTGACACTTACATTAGTAACTTTGATCCCCAAAATTCTTTCCCTGTTGTTGTAGACAGCTGCCAAATCCTGAAGCTCCTGCAGCTGCTTCCTGACCTCCTCTGCTTTGTTAGCCAACTCATTAGCTTGGCTAGCATCCGCCTGGATGGAAAATCCACCTACAGTCAGCTGGAAGAGAAAAGGCAGGCATGAGATGTGGTTCTGAGGCTGAGTACTGCCTCTGGAGAGCTCAGCTTCCTGGTGTGCTTCATAGAACCATAGATGCTCTTTGTTACAGTCAAAGGCAAGATTTCTATGCTCAGAATTTCACCTCTCCCAACCCAATTCCAATTCTGTTTAGACCACAACATAAGCAGTGAGGAGAAGCTATAACCAGTGCTCAAGTGGTTCAAAGTGCAGATGTGATGACCAGATGCTTTCGTCTTTGTGACAATAGTTAATCCCTGAGGAACAGGAGCAGTAAGTCTGTGCCCAAATGTCTTGCCACAGCATTTATAGTGTCATTAGGTACAGAATCAGGGAAGTGAAAGCAACAGCTCCACTAGGTCACTGGGTTTGTTCCCAAGAACTGTTTAACAACACATACTGGGAGCTTCTCTAATAACTTCCCTGTTTTGGTTTGGTGGCTTGGTTTTGTTTGCTTGTTTGGGGGATTTCATTGTTGGGTTTTTGTTTCTTTCTTTTGTTAAGCCAGTGTTGTGGTATGGTACTGGGAGGCTGTTTCCAAGATAATCTCTGTCACCGACTAAAGCCTTTCCAAGGCAACATTTTTAATCTGGATTTAAGAATTTCTGGTGAAAAAAAATCAAACTCAAATCGTTTCAGCAGAAACCAGCTCAGAACTCTGCCTCTGTTTCAGGGTCTTTCAGGAGCTCCCTGACTAAATACTGTATCCTTCCCCTTGATGGCAGCACATCATGGGAGATGCTCTGCAGGGAACTGATTACACTGCTCAGAAAAAGGAGGTGTATGTGTTGCCCGAGCACCGGGAATTGGAATATTGTATCTTCAGGAACACTTTCCCAGTGAAAACTGAGGATTTCTGCAAATAGTATTGCTTTTTACACAAAAATGAAACCCTTCATCAAAAGCCCAACTTCCAATAAATTACAATGGGTGTGTGAGTGTGTGTATGTGTATGTGTGTATAATAACTTTTGGTCCAACAGTATATTGACCTAAAACCTAATCTGACTTAAATACCATCTGAAAGTTTCCCCCCTGGCTGACCACAAGAGCTTCAGGGTGCCTTTCTCTGGACAGTTTCTTGTCAGGGGCTTATTTACCTTCATCTTTTCCAGTTTGTTTTGAAAGCTGCTCTGGTCCAGGACATGTTCTTTATGAAACCTGTTTGCATCCTTCTGGTGCTGCTGCCGAAGGGACTCGGCTTGCTTCCTTATTTTCAATGGCCAGTAACTTGCAGTCCACCTGCATTCACATGGTGTGACCAAACAAACAGCAAAACCAGCAAGAGAGAGAAGCTTTCAGAGCATATGTTTGAAATCCTAAAAATAACAGAATGAGAAGCCAAATCCCACCAAACAAGGCAGCTCGACAACAACAGCAACACATGTGGTTTCAACAAAACAGGTTTTCCAGCTTGTCTTGTTGATATGCAGTCCTTGTGACTAGGCTATTCAATTGGAGAGGGCTGGGGAGAAGTGGAGGGCCTTTCTAAAAGGAACAAATCCACTATGCTGCTGAAAAGCTAGGAGACTGCAAAATAACAGTTGGCATCCAGAGGGGATGTCTGGTTTTGAATGTATTCACAAGGAGCTGAAAAAAAATGAGGTCACAGCCTTGGCTTATGGCTTTTCAGGGCTACTGAAAAAGCCAGGCTCCTGTTGAGCAGGGCAGTGAGGGGCCAGGGTAACCCAGATACAGCTAGCCAGGCTCCCGCAGAGTGCCCTGGGCAGTCGGAAAGGCTGCACAGAGTGGCTGCTCATTCCAAGGCAGGCTCCTCGGCTCTTGCTCACCCATAGCTCACCCATGACTTAGGGGCTATATGTCTATCAAGGGCTCTGCATTGCCATTTGGACTTGTTAGCTTGTGTGCAATGCCAGATGCAAGCTTTACAGCATCACACTCGAGCTCACACCCCTTGCAGTGCCTGGGAATGCAGCAATGTTCTACTAATTCTACCTGTGCCAGGCCTGGTCAGTGGCCATACAGCTACATCCATGCTAGGGTGTCCTAGAGCTGAGCTGCTTCCCTGGTTATTTTGCACTCTGTATCCCATGTTTCTGGTTTCAGGTGTGCTCTGCACAAACTCACTCAAGTTGCAGACACACTGGACCAAGCCCATGCCATATCAGAGCTGCATCCAGGGCTGAGCTGACTTCAGAAGCTGTGTTGCTGTGTTTGTGAGCTGCCTCTGCTATTGGGACACATAGCCAAAGGTAAAACTAAGAGGAGGCTGCATGAGAAAGGAATGCAATAATAATGCAGGGTTCATGCTCCTTTCCAGTCCTAAGAAGACTCTGGGAGTGTTCCTACCTTGAAAGTATTCATTCACTTTCAGACACAGACTAAACCCTGCATTTTGAGACCTTACAGATGTCTCAAAAAAAACCCCAAAACCAAACCAAACCCCAAGAGAAAATATCTTTAATACATTTAACAGGTTAATAGCTCCCAGTTTGCCTTGCCCCAGGCCAGAAGGCAGCATGAACCCACACTTCTCTATAAACCTCATTTCAAGAATTCAGTGCTCACACAGTCTGAGAGACACTTAGTTCTGCTGGAGCTCTTGCTAGACACATAGCCCCTAAAGCACTAAGAATGGTAATTGCTGCAAAGTGTCCCACTTTGACAATGGGAGAAACGCCTTATGCTCACTTGTTACTGAAATCTTCGTTGGTAAGGTTGTAAGAGAATTCCTCCATGATCTCGTAATCGTTCATGACTTCAAGTATCAGCTTCTGCACAGGGTGAAAGACAAAAAACAGACACCTGTAGACTATCCTGATTCCAACCCTCTTGTGTGCACCCCATTTTCATGAGATGCCTTTGAAGAGTCGCACAAGCTTAATGTGATGCAGGCTACTTCTGTGCTGTGTGAACAGTGGGAATGGATTTATAACCCCTTGTTCTGTGAATGATCACACCATCACCCTCTGTTCTATATGGATGAAAGGAAGTATGAGCTAGTGGATAAAGCACTGGACAGAAATTGAGTGTTTTGGGTTATCTACCAGGCTCTTTCTTTGGTATGGGCAAGTGAGTTTACAGCCTGAAGCCTTTGTTTCCCATTTGTTCAGCTGGGAGAAGACCTACACTTCAAATAAATCTGAAATAGCTCAGCACTAGACCGTCCTATCAGAAGAAATACGTTACCAGCACAATGAGCATTTGGTAGCAGAAGTATTTTCCTGAAAACAACATTAATTTTTAGAAGGCAGCTATTCAATACACGATGTGGAATGGATCATGAAGGTAGCAAAAAGCATACATAAGTCTTCTAGGCAAGATTTTTAACTGCTCTTTTGAATAGATATTTAAATTCATGACGTGTTATTTAAATATACAAATCCTGCAAATTATGAAAATACAAAGCCAGAAATCTTATGGCATTGCATGCAAAGACATCTAAGCAAAAAATCAGAGTTCTGCTTCTGAGACACCACACATTGCATTAACAGATTCCCTCCTCACTTCCCTTGGTGCTCCTTGGCCAGAAGGAGAGCAAGCCCTACCTCCTGCACAGCCAGCTGCTTGGGGATGCTCTTCATCCACTCCTGCAGCCCAGTCAGCTCCTCAATATTGTTTGGTTTCTCATGCATTCTGCAGCTGGTGGCTTCATACGTGTTGCAGATCTGCAGGAGGTCACAGCAGAGAAAAGACCATCAAAAAGTCATTAACTGCAAATGGGCAAACTGGAAAACCTGCAATGATCTACCCGGTTCCCATTACGAACTTGGTCTAAAATGATGAGTACACAGCCCTGTTCTGTCTTTTTCTTTTCTTTCTGCTCTTTGTCTTTCTCCATCCATCTCATTTGACCTCAAACAAAATGAGGACAAAAAAAGAGGAAGAGAAACAGCAGGTATGTAGTTGAAACTATGACAATAACAGATTCAGGGAACCCTCCAGCAGATGCAATTGTCTGCATTCCAGTTACCCTCAGAGGTAGCAGAAGGACCTTGCAGTTGTCTACTAGGCAGATATGTCAAGGTGTTAAGAATTTTGTCTCAAGAGATCCAGCTTTCAGGCCCACAATTTATTAAGTATATTTAATATTTTATTTGGTTGAGTCTCTGTATCTTCCCCTGGTTGGGTTTTATTTCTTAAATAATCCCATTGATGCAGTCTTTAAAATGTCTTCATTAAAGTGGCCTCAGTTGCTGTCTTTTGGCCATTTCACAGACACAGCAACTCCAAAAGCAGGACAAGACAGGACACTGACACATAATCTGTTGAACCAGGTAACTTACACTCTCCACCCGCAAATGGAGGTTTTTAGCCAGTATATCCAACATGGAAGTGGAAAGCGCTTTGTATTTTGCAGTCAGATTTTGCTTAACAGCTTCTGTGCTGACACGGAAGGGACCAATGACAATAGAAACAGGTAGAGTGCTGTTCAGGTTCTCCTTTTCTGCCAAGTACATGTGTACTATATTCCTCACCTCCTGGGCAGATGGACATCGCTCTTCATATTCTCTGCAAATAAAACCACCAACAAAAAAGGTAATGTAGAGCCATAAGATTATTTGAGCAGCCAGGATATTCAGAGGATGTCCACACATGTCTGCCCAAAGGATCAAGGCAGTAAAGTAATACTATGTTCACTGTTATTAAAACACCCATCTATTTGAAGGTATACAACTTTCTGTAAACACAGACCGAGAAGGTACCAGTGCCTTCTAGACTTTGCAACCAAAGATACGCTACATAGGAAGTGTTTGCATCTGTCAAGTACATGAGCTCTACCTTTACCATACAGTAAAGACATTCATGTAAAGTCCACCCATTTAGGTGACCAGCCTGCACTGAAGGCTTTGCTTCAGTGTCTCCACTGCTACAGTTACCAGTGCCAACCAGAGGAATCCAAGCTACCTATTGCCTTCCTGAACTGCAGCAGCACAGACCAGCCCTCAGTTTCAGAAGATGTGTATACAAGACATGGAGCTGGTATGTAACGGAGAAACACTACTGGGGTGCAAGGGAAGGGACAGACTCAAACCTACAACAGGTTTTAAAGCACAATAGGTTTGGAGTCGAATAAGAGCACAAAATCTTTTAGCTGCAGAAAAGCTATGGAAGAGATGAGAAAGGTAGTAAAACAAGAGGAAGGGGAGAGACAAGATGAAAGCGTGGGTATAAACAGGGCAAGATCAGGAGGCATCTTGGTGGAAGGCAGGCACTTCTGTGTGTTCTGGGAAGAGACAGGAATTTATCACATAGGACTCATAAATTAATCCCAAATAACAACAAAGGGCTTAATTTCCACTGTTAGTAGAAAACATGAGGCCTAAAAAGACCATTCAAGTACCAGAGGCAGCACGGGTGCAGAGAGTTTTGGCAGTGAAAGCAATGAGGCTGAAACAAAAGAAAACATTACTTCTACAGAATGTTGTCAGCCCGAACAGACACTATTTGAAGGAGGTCAGAGTCAAGTATGCTAACTGTATTTTCAAACAGGATGAGTCATTTTTAGGGCCATTAATATCTCCAATTACACTTGCAAACATGACAGGAATGTGACTGCTGTCAGAGGCAGGACAAAATTCTCACTGCCATCACCAGTGTCCCCTAAAAGCATGGACCACTGCCCATGGCTGAAGTCTGCCTCTGATAGATGCCTCATCTCACATCTGAGGCACGTCACACTCAGAACAAGTCCCACATTCTCATGCCCATTCACCCAACAGCTTCTGAAAAGGCTTCCACTTGGACTGCAGGTACCTTAGCAAGGACTGGATGTCATTGTCATTTAGCTCCAAGAACTTCTCGTATCTCTTGGCATAGGCATGGAGAGGGACCATTGCCATTTGAATGGCAGAGCGCATGGTCTCACGTAACTTCTTCACTTCTGGTTCGTGCAAGCCCACTGAGTCAAGCAAAGGTGTGCCTGTGATAGCTACGTTCTCCAGCACATACTGGAAGAGGAAGGAGAGAGATCTTTCATGACCAGGAGAGATAACCATGGCTGCAAGGGGTGAGGGAATCACCCGTGGCACCTTTGGGAGCTCATGCAGTCTTTCTGAACTGTGGCAGGGATTGTATTCTTCCCACCAAAAAAGGAGGCTCTAGGGAGATGGGTCTTTCACAGTAACAGGCAGGATGCACATGCAGAAGAGATCTGCACCAGATTGACAGCACTGGAAAAGGTGCTATTTCCTTTATGAATCTGCTTTTACCAGCTGCCATTCATTAGGGTAACCAGGCTACTTGGGACCTGTCTGCACAGAACCTGCAGCACCAAAACAGAGATTGCAACCACTTAAAATAGCTACAGGGTTGGGGAGCTTGCAGAAATCCTGTCAGAACAGGACAGCATTAGCGCAGTGTTGTGCCCAAATTAACTGGATTTCCAACTATCTACTTCTATAAGTCCCTCCTTCAGTACAAGCTCAGTGGTGTCTATGGCAAACTGCAGTGCACTGAAGCTTGCACGACTGTATCCCAACTGCATCCCCAGTGCAGTTCACCTTGTCCAGCTGTGGGACAGTGTGTGTGGCCAGGATTCCCTCATCAAACAGAGAAATGAGGGACTCCTCAAAGCTGTCCGCAGGGGGGCTGAAGTGGATGCCGCTGGTGTCTAGCACAAGGTCTGTTAGGAAAAGCGGATTCCTCAGAGGCCTGCAGTGGGAAGAGACGAGGAAGAACAGGGATGTTTTGTGAGACAATGGCACGCAGTTATATTGCTCTGGTGCTGATATTAAAATGCCTGCTGGACAGGAAAGCAGAGAAGAGGCAGACTGTCCCATGGAGATTAAGGTATGGAACACTGCATTCTGAATTTACCACCAAAGACGTTTAGAACTGTTGTCTCTGAGAGGCAAAGGAAGTGTCAATCATGACATACTAAGACCCCCAAAAGTCATAGCCTTATCTATGAATTGGAGCTGCTTTATAGAAAAAATAATGCAGATGCTCTTCAAACCAAGCATCCAACATCTCAAATCTACTCCTACAATGCACCTTCTAGCAGCTATACACAGTACCTCCCAATCTGGTACATTATCAGTGTGGCTCAGGATCAGCTGAAGTCAGTGTCAAGACTTCCACAGATTTCAAGGTAAGAGCTCTCATGTGAGTGGCAGCTTTTTACCTATTCTTCCTGTTTTCAGTTTCTAAACCTTCCTTTTTTCATACCATAAAGAACAGAAATCTTAAATCGATACGCAGTGGAACAGAATTCTAGGCACTGTGACAACCCAAATCTGGTGTTATTTAGCAATCCCAGCCTAGATGCTACTCCTGGAACAAGCTAGATCCTACTCCTCAAATAGGCACCAATGCCTCCTGGTATTTTTGCTGGCCTCCAGGAAAAAAAAGCTACTAGTAATTATTTGCTGCTCTGAGAAAGCTGGAAGTGGCTGATCTTCAAAACACTATGGGAAGTAGCATCATCCCCCTTGGTTCTGAGGGGCTGCCTATATCACTAACGGCAGCTTGCGATCTGTACTGACAGAGCAGCCAGCTCAGTGCCATTCTTCCACACTCAACCAGATGTGTCAGGTTGAGAACTGGAGGAAACAGCCCAGCCTAAGGTCCCCACACAGTACAAAGCTTGCCTGTACAAACAATAGAAAGACACCGGCTCTGTTCTTTCCACCCCTTTTTTCCCTCCCTTCCTTACCTGTAGGGACTATTGATGAGGTCATCTCCCCATTTCATGTCCTGTGAGCAATTCAGGACACCGTGGCAAGCATCCAGCACAAGCTGGGTGAAGCTGATCAGTGAGTTCTGGACCAGATACCTCAGAGCGTCCTGAAGCATGAATCTGATGCGGTTCAGCAGCTTACGCAGGTAGACATCCCAGTTGGTCTGTTCCAGTTTGTACCAGTCTGTGCCTGCTTCTTTCAAGCTGCTCGTTATTGCAGTCCTTAGAGTATGGATCCAAGTATTCTTGAGAAACATCTGAACCTAGGGCAGAGTGAGAAAAGCAAGCTGTGTAATCCCCTAAGGATGACGGGAAAGCAGTATCACAAGGTTAGCTGCTGGCTGGGGCTGCTGGACCTTTCTCTGCTGTGAAAGGCAACCCTTCTTTCAGAGCTGGGGCAGCTAAACAGTGGCTTTCAAATCCATGCACACAAATGTGGCATCTGAACCTGACCATACAACTCCTTCGCTGACAAAAGACCTACAGAGAAAGCACCTGATGTGAAGAAGCAGGAGTGCTCTATTCTTTCTTTTGATACACAGTGTTTCCTCTTTGTTCTCTTTTCTATGCAGCAGTATCCCCGGAGCTGCCTGGGTCAGGGAAGTTGTGTAGACAGTATGATGAGCAAGGAATGGACAGGATATGGTCTTCTTGTGACAAGCGAGGAGAAAGAGGGGGAGAAGCCAAGGGCAGCAGCAGTCTGCAGTGGTTTCATTTTGCTCCACAGGTAGAAGCTGGTTGTGGGTAATAGAACAACCTCAGTCACCCAGTGGATGACAGCACTGCCCCGCTATAGCAGCATGGGACTGGGAAGGGCCAGCTCGTGCCCTCTGCCACTGATTTAGTGTGCAACCCTGTGCAAGCTCCTGTGTGTGGCTGCCTCCAGGGTGCAATGGACTGTCCTCATCTGGAGAGCAAAAAGATCTGCTGAGGGTTAGCACAAAGTTGCAGGTTTTTGTTCTGGTCTGTTTGCTGTCATTGAAAGTGGTGTAATTAAATACATGAAGAACACAGGGTGTAGAAATGCATTATCCCCGTGAGTGCTGCAGGGGAAAACAAAGCTCTTGTGGCTTGCAGCTGGACAGACAGAGAAATAAAACCTAAAACAAAAAGGAAACTCTTGAGTGCCACCAGGATTGTTAGCTGCATGCAAACCAGGAGGAGGAAAGCCCATTACTCCCCGCATCCCAGTGAATTTGACACACATATGCAAAGTCCTCCCTGCTCCACCCACAGCATCTCATTTGAAAGCTCATCCATTTCCATCCAGGGAATTGCTCTGCAGCTGGTACATCTGCCTAAGACACACTGCCGGCCCTGCTGGCTGCTCCATGTGCTCACCTCAGTGAAGGTCTGAGTCTGGATCTGGTCGAATTCCTCCAAGCAAACACACTTGGCCGAGGCTGTGTTAAACAGAGACATGATGGGGACCTTGTTGCACTCATCTTGCACCTCTGTAAGGAGAAGGATGACTTCCGGCCTCTTCAGGAGGGAGACAAAGGTGAAATCTTCCTTTTGTTTCTTAAAAGGATAGTGTGGGATACAGACGAGCCCTGGCACCAAGAAAGAATATTACTGCCTCAACAGCCATCCCAGCTTCTGTTTAAGAGTACAGCTCCCTTGGGGACAGTGCTTGGGAAAAGGACTCTCCTCTGATGCATAGGCCTTACCCTATAGCAGCTTCAGCAGATAGCTGAGTGAAAGCGAGTCTCTGCTCTGCAGCAGACACCCATCAGGGGCTGAGGGACTGTCTTGGTTCCTGACCTTCCTATGGCTTTGGCCATGGAAAAGATCACAGGATTTGAAGAATCATCCCACTGAGGCTTCAAGGCACAGCCGAGTCATCTCATCTGTGAGAGGCTACCTGGGGACCACCTCGAGGCTATCCTTGCACAAGGGGACTGTGAAGGGCACAAAATACCACCTTTTACTGTGGCCATTATCCTCCAGTTTGAGACTGGGAAAGCCTGATCTCTCTTCCACGTATGAGGTATGGCACAGCTGAGCCAGCCCAAGCACAGTGCAGAGCAGGAGGCAGTTAAGCTAATTACACTGCCTGCATTTGGTGCCATTAAGGGTACACCTGCAGAGTTACTGCAGACTTGCTGATGGATGATAATGTGCTATACTGAGGTAACACAAACATGCAAATATACCCTAAAAAAGAGCAGACATACTCAAGTCTCATCTAATCACCTGGCATGGCCCCTTATGAGCCCTAACCATTAACATGAACCTAAAAGTTTCTACAATAAAGTGTGAATCCTATCAAAGACAAGAGGTCCCACAGCCATGCTGAATTCCAGCTGCTTCACCGTGTTCCATACCTTTCTCTGGTACTTTCTCCTCCTCTTTGTCTGGCAAGGTGACATAAGAAAACATCTCAGGTTTGGAAGCGACAGTTCTGTCAAAACTGATCTTGTTCATGGTACGTTCATAGTCTAATCTCACTTCTTTCTCCAGGCAACACACATGGTCTAATATCCTATTACAAGACATGGGAACAATGGGAACTCAAGGTATCTGAGCAGAAACATGTCTGGAGCTTTACTGCAAACCCCATCCTTCCCTCCCTCCCTCCTGGATTTCATAACCCTGAAGTTCACCTACTGCACCAGGAGAGCTATGCAGACAATGAAGCAGCCAGCAAAGCTATCAATTAGACATGTAATGGCAGAGGTGAGTGGGAACCTGAGGACTGTGACTGCAGCCTTCTCAAGTGCCTTTTCAACTCAAAGCAAAACCTCCACTGGGGAGAAGCATTACAATGGCAAGGGGAAATTAGAACTGGGGAAGCTAGCTGGTAGTTCTGGAAAAGCTGGGCTACCCAAACTGTCCTCCCAACTGCCTCTTGCTGAACACCTCTTGACATCAGGTTCCTCAGCCAGAACATGTGGGTAAGTGCTGAAAACCTGCTTTATTCGTAGGAAAAACAAAGGAAATCATCATACTCCACCTCAAGCAGAGTACTCTTCTCTAAGCCTGTATTTCTGCTCAGAGACTGATTCCTAGTCTCTAGCTTAGGCTGGCAGACCATTCAGCCCTTCACACCTTCCTGTCTCTGCGCAGGGCAATCAGTCATGGCTGATTCCCACCAATGGCTCATGATTCATCAGCGCAGAGACTCTTAAAGCATCTTCCTGATACAAACTGCATCTTAAAGAGACATTCGATTCTATCCAGGTGGAAATATCCTATTCTATCTGCATCACCCTGTGCAGATCAGCTTTTGATTTGTTTTAGCAGCTATTAATAGACAGAAGAGTCACCAGCAGCCAACTCTCTGGAGACAGCTGGTGGTCTGCAGATCAATCCAGCAATGATGGATCTGTTCCCTGGAAGCACAGGGAGACAGCAAGGTCAACCATGCCATTTCTGTCCAACCATCCTGCTGTTGAATGCCACCTAATTGCAGGCTCATGGATCTGCATACGAAAAATACATCTATTTCACCTGGGAATGCTGACAGATCACCCACCCTGTACATGTGCTCCTGGAGCTCTTGTCATACCCACTTCTGATGACGCTCTGGGAAGAGGGTGGTGTGCATGTGCACAGGCTGGAAGGCAGAGGAGATCCACGGTCTATGAGCTGGACACTCAAGATCTGCCTCCACTGCCACTTGTTTTGTAGCCCTATAAAGTCCTACAGCATTAATGGACTGAAGGCTGAGGTTCCAGACATGTGCTTGATACCTTACCTCTTCTCTGCTTTCCTCAGTTCAGGAGTGTTCATAGCCAAAAGCTTCATTCTCTGCAGACTCTCCTCCCTGATGCTATTTAGGCCATCTGTGGGCATGCAGTCCACATACAAGTTATACAGAAGCAGTGCCTGCGTCTTCTTACGCAAGCTGTCAGCAGAAACTACTCTCTGTGCAAACACCCGGGGATCTTCAGCCAGAAACAACAGGCAAACACGCGGCACCCAGTACTGACATGGCAACAACGGGGCTCTTCCTGGGAAAGGAAAGCAAAGCTTACAGGAGTCTACAGGGAAAACGAAACTCAGAATGGCTTGGGTTTCACACAGCAGCTTTTTGATGGGCAATATAACTGGGCTGGCTTACTGGAGATCAAACTGAGGGGCTGAAGTTGAAGACGGCAAGAGGCAAGGAGCACAGAATTAGCAGTATCTCCAAGCCTTTCAAGAGGGGGTACTTCATCTTAATCTGTCCACGTTCCCCTTCAAGATGGTATTGGCCTAGGAAGACCATCATTTAACTGTTCTTGCAGGCAGAAAAGATGGGAGACAGAGAAAAAAGGAAGATGCCTCCAAAGGGAAGACCTCAAATAGGTTGTCAAATTAAGGTGTGGAGTTCTCTCCCTTGGAGGATTCTCTGGACAGGTTGAGCAGACCTGTGTCAAGAGTGGTAACAGGGAAAGGAAATAAAACGAGGTCTTGATGTCCCTCCCGTCCCCACCTAAGATGGTGTACTTCAGAGTATATGCCAGGTCCCAAAGGGCCCTACTCAAAACACACCTTCTGAAGTTACTTCTCCATTGAGGATGTGTCTCCCTTCCTCATTCCGCATCATCCCATTCTTGGTTTTATGGACCAAGTAGAGTTTTGTCTTCTTGTCGTAATCCAGAACACCAACATCAATCCACTGGTAGATTAATTTCGGGTTTTTAGGGTCCTCTGAGAGAATCAAGGATTAAAACAGACTTAGCCCATTCTCCTAGGGGACTACAGCAAAAGGACTTTCCTGATCAGAGTGGTGATGCTACATTTACTAGTTTGAAACTCGGTCAATCTCTTATGATTTCTGCTGCAATCAAGTAAATAACAAACTCAGATCATACAGCTTACTATTTCCAACTGTTTGCACACACCAGAGCCCTTTGTTTTCCTCCTCTTATCTCTGTGGGCTCCTTGTGGACCATCTTCCCACCTCCTGCTTCAGGCACTCCCACTCACTCTTTCCAGCTATAGCCTCATATTTGGGTCCTGTGTGCCCCTAACATCTCGTCTCAGCCCATACTTGGGGACCTCTCTCTTCCCAATTCCTTCACCCCTTGATCTAGGACCCCTTATGACCCACATGGGCTCTGGTGATCCCATTCCCCTTCCCCATGGGTGGTCCAGCCCTGTGTCTCCACAAGCTCTCATTCTTCTCACTGGGAGTGGGTGTAAAACCCTGTATGTTCTCCTCCAATCTATTATTTCTCCAGGTCATTCCCAGGGCTTCTAAGTCTTAAATATTCAGATCCTGTTAAAAGCTGGGAGCTGCTAACCTGACAGATATATATCAAGATCAATATAGATACAGGTCAGGATAGCGTTACATTGAGGTTGAGAAGGGATGCTATTAACCACTGGTCTGAACTACAGGAATTTGCAACAGCCCTGGCACTATACAGACATCAGCAGTCTCACCTTCCTCAGGGCCCAGGGGGGCTGACTACAGCTGCGAGCTGCACTCAGCCATCACATGCTGGCTGGCTGGGATTCCACACAGCTTCTGCTTTATGCTTAGGTTCTGCAGACAGCCCTGCCTCTGGAGGATGCTCCAGAGCTGTAGTCAATATGCATGCCAGTTCCTATGCTTTAAAGCTAGTGCACTTGTGATGATATCAGCTGCAGCCATAACTGGACATTCATACAGCTGTACCTAGTGATGCCTTCTCACTGGGAAAGCTCTGGGTGACAGGAAAACAATGTCACATCATTTAATTTGCCTCAGATTTACTACTTGGATTTTCGCTGCTGTCTGAACCTGACTTCTGACCCTGCACTTGCAGTGAATCCAGGCAGAACACACTGCATGCGAGTTAACCAACTTTATGATGATACCTACACATCAGTAAAGTGAAATTTTGACTGTACTGATTGCCAGGCACAGAAGCAGGAGGGCAAAAGGCAGAAGCTAGTACTAAACATATGGAAGCAGTCAGTCCTGGGCAGGACTGAGAGTTGACAAGACTTGCTCTGACTGCCTGAGCCGGATCAAGATGAAGTACTGCTTTCTGCTATTCAGAGCTACCTGCATCAGAATCTAAATGCTCCCTTTTCTGAACAGGCCTGAAACTGTTAACATTGTCTCACTTGAGCACTAAGTCATTCAAGCTTTACCGTGTCCAAGAACATCATCTGTAGGTAAAAGTGCTTTTCCAGGCACTGGCTTTCTCTGATGAGATCCTGGTTCCAGTCCTAGTGAGACCCACTCCTCTGGAGTTCGACAGTCATACTCCTCATCATCAAATACCTAAAAAGCCAGGAGTGAAATTAAGTCTTACTTCAGAGAGAAGAAAATACCCCACACAAAATTTTCTGAGAGGAAAATTCACACCCAGGTCCTAAATGGCTAAAAAAATGGGAAAGAGTCCCAGTGCAAGAAGTGTGCTCATCTCAGTCTTCCCCCAAACAACAGTATCTGTACCTCTAGCCCTTTCCTAGGAAGCACAGACCCTAGGAAAGACCCTCACCACCTAGAGAGATCTCATGCAATAATACTGCTGACTGCTGCATTCGGAAGGAAACATGGAACAACACCTTATCTTCGGACACACAAATGACAGTGAGGAGCACCCTCAAGGATTATTAGATCTGATGGAAGTGGCGGGCCCCCTGCAGAAGATGCTCAGCATCTTGTGGAGATCCTTCAGGGCACAAGCCTGCTCTAAAGCATTTCCTTGTTCTATTGCTTGTTGTATCAATAAAGGCCAAGTGTCCTGCAACTGTCTGAACGGCCCTGTGGTATAAGCAATGAGACAGATCACAAGTGCCAAATGCACTCTCTTACCTGTAACGGGAGGTAGATGGGAAAGAGAGGATCTCTGTTATCCTCAATTGTGGGCATATCATCAGGATCGTGGTGCCTTGGCATGAGCTGATTGGAGGCTATCCCCTTGCTGGATAAAAGCTGTGCAATATCAAAGCTGAGATATAGCCGTCTCCTCCTGTTTTGAATTGGAATGGGAAATAACCACTCAACGCACCCAGAAGGGCTCACATGCTACAACTCCACTTTCAGATCATGTATCCCTACCAGTAAAGAAGTTTTTGAACACATGGAGCTGCATACATGTCTATTTCTACCATCATTTATAGAATAAATACCTATAATGAGCATCTAGTCCAATTTATAAATTATATACACATATATACACTATGCCAATATTTATAATCTAGAGCATACACCAAAATAGAAATTAAAAACTGTGAGAAAAAGATAAACACTCTAAAAATGTATTTTCTTCCTGCATCCCAATGAACTGTCTTGTGCACCCCCCCCAATGCACATCTCCCACTTCAGAGACCACTGCCTTATAGGATAATATTTTATAGACTCATAGAATAGTTGGGGTTGGAAAGGACCTTAAGATCATCAAGTTCCAACCCCCCTGCCATGAGCACGGACACCTTGCTCTAAACCGCATTATCCAAGGCCTTGAACACTGCCAGGGATGGAGCACTCACAACCTCCCTGGGCAACCTATTCCAGGGCCTCAGCACCCTAACAGGAAAGAATTTCCTCCTTATATCCAATCTAAACTTCCCCTGTCTAAGTTTGAACCCATTACCCCTTGTCCTATCACTACAGTCCCTAATGAAGAGTCCATCCGCAGCATCCCTATAGGCCCCCTTCAGATACTGGAAGGCTGCTATGAGGTCTCCACACTAAAGGTTCTTGACATGTCAAGTCCTGAAAGCAGAAATTAACACCCTAATCTGCTCTGTTCATTCCATAATGATGTCTCTAGCCACCTTGTGGTTACCTACCTCTCTATTTCAATGCTCCGAGGGCACTGCCCTGGAAGCACTTGGTAAGGAACCTGCACTTTGGGGTTATATGATTGTACTGGGAAATCTGACACGGTGAGGTTCTCAGTGGTTGGTCCCATCACTTGCTTATCCAGCACACTTCCAAGATCCTCAGGCATCCTGAAGGTTGTGACTAAGAGACAGAGAAACGCACATCTGAAAGCACCAGCCATCACTGTGCTTTACATGTACACACACGAGAGAACTGTGCTGTCTGCTGGGTTGCCTGCAGGAGTCATTTCACTAAGTTTATGACAGAAATCAAGTAGATATCAAAGGGGACACAGAAAAAGACCTTTTTTCCTGCTAGAACATGTCCTTATGGTTTTCCAGTATCAAAGTGATGGCACAGAAAAAGCCTCCACTGAGAATTACTGTGATGCACCTTCTTAGGAGGTAGGCACTGACCTGGCCCTAAGGAGCTCTGTTCTGTTCCCAGCTTTGCTACAGACTCTACAAGATCATGGGCAAGTTACTGTCTACAGTGCATGACTTCCCTCCCTCTCAGAAAGGGGTGGGATTCCCCATGTGCTCTGGGGGGGCCCTCAGACCAAGAGTCAGTCCTAGCTATGAGGAACTCATTTAAAACAGTGCTAGAGGAATGCTGCAGGAGAGAACAAGCTGCTCAGGTCATTTTTAGGTGCTGAAGTCCCTATTCACACCTTCCTTGGGACTAACCTCTTCTCAGTTTCTGCTCAAGCAAACCTCCCACTCACATCTGCAGCGGTGTGAGAAAAAACCGACTTGAACAGCCAGCAATCTCACGACTCGGCCAAATGTTTTCAATGGGAATTGGACTGAGCAGAAAGTATACATTTCCAAGAGCTGGCTGGAATCAAACCATGTCATTTACCCCATAAATAAACCAAACTGTTCATATTGCTAAACAAGCTGAAAATAATAGAACAGCAGCAAACTGGGAATTTGAAGCTTAACCTAAATTAAGTAATTGCATGCAAGCTTTAAAAAGCACTATTCCCTAGACAGAGCTAGGCATTGACCTAAAAATAGATTTTAGTGGAGAGCTTTCCATATGGTGAACTTTCACACTCTACTGAGGATAAACTTAAGGTTCTGGCTCGTAAGCAGGTTTGCTGGAGGTCAAGCTTTGGACCCAGTCCTTCACCCTGCTCCATGTGCTTCTGCTTGCATGGTGCAACCCCTTGGTTTCAAAGTAGCTGTGCAGAGCAGCCAATAATACTGAAGCCAGACACATTTCGGGATGATCAGGTACAGAAAGGGTCCTCTAAGAGGTCATTCCCTTTACCCTTCTAAATGGTTCCTGATTCAACCCTTGTAGTGGTACTTGGTCTGCTTAGGGAGTAATGGAAATGGCCTCTGAACTGGCTCCTCTCTACTCATCTCTCTTAGGAAGGGTGCCTAGCTTGCAACAAATACAATCCAAACATTTGCATTGTCCATCCCAGTATGTACCATTTACAATAAGGTTAAGGAATTCCTAAAATGGAGGTCCTTAGCTTCATACAGATCTCTTGCTTACGGTATGCACAGAATGACCCTGGTTAATATTTGTTGTCAGGGAGCACAGCTGTTCCGATTTTGTCACCTCACTGTTGCAAAATCCATGGCCTCATCCATTATGGCTCTTTGTGCACTATCAACTATTTATGTCAATACTTAGCGTTTCATTTGCATTTACATCTCAGCTTGATAGCTTCTTCCCCCTTGAAGGAGCAGCAGATCATAAATAGAGATCTGTCTCCACTTGTTAGGGATGAGTCTAGCTTGTCAAGATTCACTTGAGGATGCAGTCATTTGTCCTCACTCATGAAAACAAATGTCACTTCCATGCACAGGAAGGTGGTAAATATAGTTACCATCTTTCTCTAAGACTAAAACTCCTCTCACATGTATGCTTTCTCCCCACCTGCTGCCAGCTATGATCCATATACCCGAGAGTGCTCAAGGGGCCAGGAGAATGCTGGCAAACTTTTGTTTTCCTATTTTTGAGCATCCATGGTACAAGCTCTTGTATGCAGGTGGGACCAGCAGCTCTGTATGCACAAAGACCCCTTGCATCTAGAGAGACTAAGCTGTTGCAGGACGCAATTGGAAGGAGAATGAATAAATGAGAGAGTACCATGATTCTAGACTCTGAATATAACTCTCACATGCAGGTCCCAGTTTAACAGGAAAGGGGCACTGATGGCTCCATATGCAATGACAACGCATAGAAACTGAGTGCTCTCCTGGCATACAGCCTGTAAGACCATAACCCCCGTAGGCAGCAACATGGTCCACCCTGAAGCCTGGGGGAAGTGCATATATGCAGGCAAAAAGCAAGCATGGTTTTACCACCCAGTCAGATCACTTTGCTCCACCTCTAAATTCACTTTTCAGAGACATTCACGTAGCTAAGTACCATTCCTGGGCACTGAGAGGAGAAGGAAAGCAAAGCACTCATTTAGCCATCAGCCTAGCTCCCAGCATACTCATTATGGCCAGCCTTAAGAGTTATGGCTCCATTTCCTGCCACATCCCATTTCCTCTCAGTATATTTACCTTTAGGGGTGTGCTGCTCGAGGTCCGCCTCTTTTAGCAAAGCCTGGTGTATTTGGGGGCCAGCACAAGCATCCTGAAATGCAGCATGTGAGGGAAGTGTCAAAGATAACAAAGCACAGTCAGAGGGTGGGTTAAAGGGGTCCAGAGAGATAGTGAGACTGTAAAACTGACTTTACCAGAGCTTTAGGGATAATTGAGACTGTGAGTAATGGTCAGAGAAGGCTCAAAGAGACAGGAACACCTGAAACTTCAGCCCAACACACCAAGAGGCAGGGGATTTGTCAGCAGAGCACATCCTGATGTCAGCTTAAGATGTGGACTGGGGCAGGCAGTCATTAGAGTTTTACTTCCACATGCCTGCCCTGCCATACTGGCATCCTAAACCTGGCTAACATCATGACAGCAATAGCATGGGCCATGAAGGAAGGCAGCACAACTACCATCAGGAAGAGCCTTATGGCTTCACTTTGTAAGAGTCAAGGTCTCGCACAAAGGCCTCTGACCAAAATGAAGGGCTAGGAGCTGGGGTGAAAGCTGTGTTTCTCTATACCAGGTGTGCTATAGGTCTTTCCACTTTAGAAGGACAGTGGTAGGAAAAGAATTGCTCTTTGCACTTACCCTGGAGATGCTGGAGGCTGCTGGAGTGAGGACTTTAGCAGAATACATCTTTTGTCTAAATGCTAAGTATTTTCTTGGCCCCTGTTTGCAGCTATTAGAAACCAACAAACTTCCTGCACTGCAGTCTAGGCATGAAGCCTCCCTCTTGGTGTCTGGAGGCCTGGGGCTCCCACCCAGAGAACTCATCAAATCCTTCTTTGCTTTATCCATCTCTGCTGGAGAACAATGCTGTGATGCAACCCTGAGCTTGCTGGAGTGGAAAACATTAAAAGCCTTTTAAATACTGTAACTTTGGCACTCCTCCACCCCCTCCCACCACACTGGGGATCGTTGACTTGCTAAGATGAGTGGGTAACAAGGTAAGTTCAATCCCCGGTTTCAATACCAAGCTTTGCTTTCATGACCTGGGGTCCGCTGGTCTCGCGTCACTGACTCAGTGATTCACTAACCCTGGGGAGAGTGTTTTGCTGTTCCAGATGGATTTTGGAGGGGATAAACCAGCAGCATACACATGAAAAGCGACTTTTCTGAAGCAGCAGGGGCTTCCTGGATCTGTGGCAGCGTTCAAAAGGCTGCCAGGAGAATGTGAGTAAACTGGGACTGCAAGAGAAATGCTGCTGCTGTACTGAAATCCCCTAAAAATCTTGTCACGCTTGACTCCAGTGCGAGTAGGCTACAGCCTAAATACTGACACAGCTACTCCCAGGCTTGAGTCTGACTCTTTCATTTCAATAATTCAGGAGAGATGGTGAAGTATCCCTAACAAAATATAGCAAGAAGGTCCCCTCTGTCCTCCTGCAGGGGGTATTTTTGCTGGTGATCGCAGCACTTCCACAATGGGAAAAGCAAGCCCAGGCAAATACCACAGCTCCATGGCTTGATCGTACAAAAGCCTTCGTGTGCTGAGAGAAACTAATTAAGAGCAGCCCTTGGACTTCTGGCACAGCAATAGTGCAACCCCTGATTTTAGGCTTGTCTAAACAGAGATGACTGCTCTAAGTAATGAGTACGGTGTGGCTCGAGTACCGCAAGCCCCTCCAGCCTCCACACGCGTGCGCCAACATGATGGACACATGCCTGCCTAGCTTAGTCCTACAAATTATGAGCCCAAGTTCTCCTTGGGATCTCTATTCCAGGTGTGACACAACTTACTCATCAATTCCTACTCAGGGCTAGACCCAGGCTCCTCATCCAGCCCTGCCTGCCTAACGGTTTGTGTCTTCCCCTTGCTGGGACCCACACATCTGCTTCACTCACTTCTGGAGGCCAACCCCATGTGGAGGTCCTCCACCTTGCCATAGCAAAGCACTAGGAAGACCTTGCCTGGTCTTGCAGGCTACAGGTGGCACAGTGCCTGTCCGGAGTCTCATCCTGATGTGGAGACACTACCACAGTGTCCCTTCCTGCCATGCCCTCTCTGCTCTGCTCCTGAACAAGTCAAAACTCTGCCTGTTCTATACCCCTGGTCAAAGAGGGCAATTCTTTCTCAATTTCACCTTGTTGCCTGTCTGCGAGAATGAATCAGGTACACACAGCAGAGAAAGCATTACATGGATGCTGAAGATAAGAGGGAATAACTGTGCTGGCTTATTGCTGCAGGTTCAAGCCAGCACACAATTTGGAGAGGTTGAATCAAAAAAGAAATCAGATAATAAATCACAGTTACCATGATGCGAATCCTTTAAGTGAAACGGAGTAAACCAACAGACTGGAGAGACCTGGGAGACAAGATCAATAATACCCCCTCCCCTGCTTCAAGCTACAAAATCTCAACTCATTCTCCTCTCAGCTTCTCTTTGGCATGGCAACTGGAACCTTATACCCTGAAGAATGAATTTGCCATGGAGGATTTTGTTTTTATTAGCTATTTTATGCTCTGGCCATATCTATTTTAGCAGCCCAGCAGGATTGATTGGTATCAGCCAAGATCCAAGGATTCCTGATGAATCACTGCTGGACTCTTTTGTGCCTGCTGCATCAGCGCAGAGAACAGCAGCAAGGCAGAACAACCCTGTGGTGGCTCTCCTGATATGTCACCTGAGCATCCTCTTCCTGGGAGCAGGGCTGAGGTGGCAATGGGACCTGGACCAGAATCCGAACCCCATCCAAGCCAAAGAAAAGCTACCTCCAGGACTCACAGTTCATCTGAACCTTTAGGGTGAGTGATGGAGCCCACTCCCAATTCTGCAGCCCTGGCAATCTCTGCCTGGAACCAAAATAACGCGGCTCCTGCTGCCGCTGACGGCCGAGTGTCTGCGATGGGGGAAGTGTGTACCCAGCCTGCCCACAGCAGGCCTAATTCTTCAATGCTCTGCTCCCTGTGTGCTCACTCACACCTCCGTAAAGCCCTTCCTGAGCACTCAAAATAAAACAAACCCCTACTCAGTGTCCAGCTCAGAAACGTCCTTCCATCTGTCACGATCTCCCAGCTGCACAAGGGAAGCTCTGGGGTTTGTAACTGCAAAAAGCTTGACACACACCACCTAAAATAAAGAAAGAAAACAGGCCTCCAAAGTTTTCCTAGCAATTCCCTAGACAGACAAGCAAAGCAGCGCATGCTAAAGCTACCCTAGAGATGGAAGAACTGCTGAACACAAAGGGAATCCTGCTCTCCTGCCACCCCAGCTGCTGGGCTGTGGCCAGGGCTTCCAGCGAGGAGACTTCCCAGAGCATGGTGGTGCTCTCATCCAGCCCCCAGGTTGGTTTAAACGATGAGAACAGAGACCCTCTCTCTTTTACTCAGCCTAGCTGCTGAGCCTAGGAGTTTACTGCACAGCAATTCACTCTTCCCCAGGCTCAAACTCCACCAACACCACCTTCTGCCTTCCCACTCGCCCCAAATGATGAGCAGTGTGTAGGCTCCAGGGCTGTCCTCCCAGTTAGGGGACCTTATGATCATCTAGTTCCAACCCCCTGCTATGGTCAGGGACACCTCACATTAGACCACATCACCCAAGACTCTGTCCAGCCTGGCCCCGAACACTGACAGGGATGGAGCATTCACCACTTCTTTGGGCAGCTTCTTCCAGTGCCTCACCACCTTCAAAGCGAATAACTTCTTCCATATATCTAACCTGAACTTCCCCTGTTTAAGCTTAAACCATGTTTGCAGTCTTCAATCCCTTCCTATTCAGAGCACTTTCCTCAGGGCAGGAGCTCCCCTTTGACAAGTTGAGGCTTTAAGGAGGGGAAAAAGGAGTTCAGCTCATTGCAAGTAGACCAGATGTCTCCTTGAAAGCAGATCCTCTGCCCACCTCAATAACCCTTTGCTCTACACTGCCCCTGTGCATCTGGGAGCATCTCCCCCCTCTCCAACATCTGCCTGGCACCAGCCATCTCAGTTTTAGCTATAATCCTCTTTGAAGATCTCTTCCTGACTGCTCAAACACCTATCCTTCAGCAGTTCAGACATGCTCCCTCACACCTGAAAAGCACGTTTCCTAGATATGCCAGGTATGTTGTACTACACTAAACTGAACTACTCAAAATGAAAGCACACTGTAACGGCACCGCTGACACATGAGGTACAACGTCTGTGTGTCATCGTGGCAAAGCTGTAATTACAATTTCTTGGTAAATTCAGGCTTTACATATCCAAGAAGTCAAACTCCCACGTGTCTTGCTCTATGTCTGCTATGAGCTTTTTGATCTGCTGCCTGTACTTCAATTCCTTGATGCAAAGCTAACAAAATGGGCTCTTTTCTTTCAAATAAGGTTCAAAAAGGCTAAAACTGCAACAGAAAAAAAAAAAGTACTTTAAAAATAATCTAACCCCTAAACAAAACTGCAGATTGAAATCTAATAGTCATTTATCTGAAATTATTTACCTGCGGATAGCCAGAAACCCAACTACTGCACTATCTGGTTGCCAACACGCCAAAGTTCTTCCTTCCTATCATTTAAGCCATATAAGCTCAAACAGGGTGATGCGCTCTCCACAAAGCACTTTAAACCTTATCCTGTGCTTCAAATTTCTTCTGTTTCAAAAAGGGAGTGGAAAGTAATGGGGTTTTACAGCAGCCCATTCCCTCCAAGGATCTGTGTGGTTCCCAAACTGATCTGCCTCTGCGTTTTTAAATGCATTCCTTTCTCAGTGGGAAAGCACCATAAAACCTCCACTAGAACCTGAGGACACAGGGGGGAACAGCAAGACTGATGGCAAGCAGCACCGTTTATTACACGGAGCACCCAATGACAAGGATCCACCACACCTTTTGGGGTTACAGCCACGGCGGGTGCTACGAGACAGCACACAAAGCACTTAGACCGTGACTCCAACAGCGTTTGTTTCATTTATGAAGCACAACAGCCTCTGTCTCTATAGGCAACCCAAGGGCAGCCACACGCTAACTCTGGAGATGGATGGGGCAGCGCAAGGCACCCGCCTCCCACCTCTCACGTCTGAGGAATCCAACCCCTGCCCATTTCCACTGTCTCGTACAGCACAAGGGGGCTCGCACCCCCGGCACCCACAGCAGCGCGGCCCCCCCGCATCCTTCCACACCTCCTGCCCTCCACCGCGGCGAGGCCCGAGCCCACCCCCCCCAGAGCCCGAACCCCCGAACCACTCCCGGCCGGGGGCCGGCGGACCTGTCCGGGCGGGGGTCAGCGGCTGGACCGGCCCGGCCCGGCTCATCCCTCCCTGGCGCCCGGCTCCGCGCTCGCTGCTACCGGGCGGAGGGGCGGGCCCAACGGACGGAGGGGGCGGCTCGGCTGGCCCGAGGGAGGTGCCGGCAGCACGGGCCGGGTGCGGCCACCCTGAGGTCACCACCGAGCATCACCACCGAGCATCACCACGGGGCCACCATCGGCCCTCACCTTACAGGGCCGCCACTCGCAGGATGACGGGGGCTCGGCCGCCCCATCACCGAGCACCTCCGGGGACAGCCCGTGCGCAAGGGAGGCGAGGGGCTGGGCTGCTCTGGTGCCACCTTCCATGCCGGCTGTCCCAGGAAGTCTGGCAGATCCCTCCTTTACACCATCCCCAAAACCACCGTAGTCAGGCAGGCTGCAGGATGTAGAGCCACACAACGGCTGGTCTCTGACCGAGCTTATGTACCCATGAAAGTCTTGATCAGCTACACCTGGGAGGTTATGTCAGCTGGGGATGTGTGACTTACCACCACTCGATATCATCATGAAGAACACATCGTGCCCTGCAGACAGAACGGTGGCACAAAATCCTGTTGGGAAGGATGGGGGGAAGTGACAAGGATTTTTAAAAAAAATAATAAAAAAATCCATCCAACCCGCCCCCCCCCAAACAAACAAAAAACCCCAACAAACCAAACCCCACAAACAAGCAAACAAACAAATCACCAACCAACCACACACCAAACTCAACATAAAAGCACTGTAAGAGTTAGAGATACAGTGTGAGAGGCAGAGAAGGAAGAGGAAAGCAGGAAGCAGATCGGACTGGAGGCTCCTGCAGGAGGGGAGCCATAGGCAGGAGCTGCTCCATAGCCCCTTTGGCCCCCCCTGCTGCTGCACAGCCTTGCAGCGCGGCAGGAACGAGTCCGAGAGAGCAGGGCTTCCTGAGCACAGGGGATCCAGGGACCATGGCCTTGCACAGGGCCAGGGGGGCAGAGAGCATGCCATGAGGAGGCAGCAGAGCCCAGGCAA